TTTTGGTACATAATGAGATGTACTGTACTGTAGCTAAATTTTTTCACATCTTTAAGTGCAGTTGTCTAGAATTTGACATACAATAAGTGAAATGAATGCATCCAGTCCAATTTAAATGGTCCCTACTGTGCATGACAGTTGTACCATAGTTTTTCCTTCAAATTCATGGCATTTCATTCTTTCGATAACTTAAATTTATACTACTATTTGTTGTCAATTTAGATGGCGAAACAAAAAAAGTAATATTTGCGAGACATATCTTGATAAGCATGTAAAATTTAACACATAACAGTAGCAAACACTATGATCTGCGTGATTTGGCCGTGTGATGTTATATGTCACAGTTAGTGCAAAATTTTCATATTCTGATATTAATCCTTAAATACATAAGTTATTTTTACGTTTGTTAATCTAGTATCTCAGCGAAACGATGGGTGCTGCTGAAGCGACGAAGCTTGATGAGCAATACAATGAAATGGAAAGGGTTTGCTTAATTACTTTCTACATCTATCGATTCTCCGTGCTAACGGGCATTATTTTAGCAGCAAAATTACATTTTGAATTTTACCTTTTGTCATGATTCTTATTAATGCTGTTAAATATGTTTGGGTACTTTTTACTTTTTAAGAAAGTGGATCTGACGTACGAACTAATTAGTGCATTAATTGCTGGAACTCACGAACTATTGCAGCCCAATCCAGGTAAAAAAAAAGTGTTTTAATAACCCGTGACTCTGCGCTCTTTAATGAATCTCAGCTTCTTAAAATCATGATTCCACTTTTTCGTATAAAAATTTGTTGTTAGCAACTCGAGCAAAAATGGCCACAATGGGAGCTTTGTCAAAAGTGCGCGGAACATCGAAAACACAACCATATCCACAAACCGAAGGTCTCCTAGCAGATACCATGCAAAAATATGGAATAGCCCTAGGTGCAGATTCAGATCTTGGGAAAGGTTTGAATTGAATTCAATCACATTTGTTTTCTTTTATTTTAGATTTCATTTCATATTTATCTTACTATTTCGATGAAAGAAAATAAATAATGTTTCAGCTTTGATCGATGCTTCGGAAGCTTATCGTCAATTAGCTGATATTAAATATCAAATGGAGGATAATGTAAAGCATAATTTTTTGGATCCATTAGCACATCTGCAACAAAATGACTTAAAAGAAGTTAATGTAAGTCTGTTAATTTTTTAGAATGTCTTTTATTCTAGTTTAAAGTGCAATTTTCAGTCACTCGCTTATCAAATTATCGTTCCAGCATCACCGAACAAAACTCAAGGGACGACGTCTAGATTACGATTGCAAGAAACGAAAACAAACACGAGGTTAACTGTTCAATTGTTTATTTAACTGAAAAATCCAATTCAATGAATATTAAAAGAAATATGTGTTTGAATGTAAGATATTAAAAAAATTCCAAAGGAGGAACATATAAAGTCAGAAAAGTGATTTGCTAAGCCTTTATAAAGTATGCTCAGCAACAGTATGAGACATATGCAAGAAAATTTTACTATGTAAAAAATTCTTCAGATTTTTTCATTGCAGAATTTGGCCTGATCTAACACTTCTTTGTGATGTGTGATCTATCATCATAAATAAAATAGGGCATGTAGAGGTATATGTTTGAGACATGCAAGCCGGGCAAAATGACACCGGAAAAAAGAAAATGAAATTGATGATAAGTTGAATGATTACTGAATCTTTTTCGCTTAAAAGCCAGTAGCTGAATCGCTTGGTGCCTAGTAACTCAAGGTCTTTTCCAACAATTCAGCTATATCCGATATGCATTCGTCATCATTAATAAGTATGTTATACTTGCATAAACAACAATCCGGATGATAATCCTAGCATTTCATGTCGTTATTACATTGAATAATTAATCCAATAACTTGATACAGTTGCTATTCAACTGAGAGAAATTGTTTTTCAGATGAGGAATTGATTCAAGCGGAAGACAAATTGGAAGAGTCAAAGCAGTTAGCAGAACTAGCAATGTATAATCTTTTAAGCAATGATGTATGTAGTATCATTCTCAGTTAAATTCATGAAATTCGACTTAAAATTTTTATTGTAAAGAAAAAAATGATGTAAAGAAAAACAAAAAGTTTGTTAAGTTAAATGATATGTATTTGTAATCTTTTAAGCGAATTCGATACATATTGAAATTTAGGTTGAACAGGTGACTCAGCTTTGCGCTTTGGTCGATGCGCAGTTGGATTTCCATCGGCAGACTACGCAAGTGTTAGAACATTTGAAGACACAACTTAATGAACGGTATTTCTTCACAGTTATGATTTTGAAATGAACATTACGTTAAATAAATTATTCTAAGTAAATTTTCATTGAATAGGTACAGTACAACACAAATTTCAGTGTCGCAGAAGCAAGCATTCGACGACGTGCGGAGCATGTCATTAAGCCCGTTTTAGCAGACAGAGTATCTAGTTCTCGGTAAGTTTTGTCTAAAATGTTTGAATTTCGGATTGAAAAATATATTCTTGGAAATAAATTCTCTAAAGTGATTTCGTTTGCCACTACGCCTTGGAACAGAATCAGCAAGGTAACTGTTTAAGAATATAATATTACATGGACTGTGAAACATTTTATACGTGATAAATTTGGGAATTTATCGCATGAAAATATTTCACAACAAATATATTACCGAATTAGTTTAGAGAATCTACATTCAGTTAAAAAACTTTTCCGGAATGAGTGAACCTTTCTGTTTTAAAAGGATGACAAAATTGCATTGCAGATCGCCAGTACATGCAGAAAATTCGACATCAGTCAACAACGCCAATTTTCAACCACCTTCAGTAGCATCTTCTGTAAATCCACAAAAACAGGCGGCAGATAATGGTAATTGGAGTTTGAGTGCAAAAGCCCACAACTCAACGGCTAATTTTGGTGGCGCGAATGCGCCAACCCCTCCTGCGCCGCCTGTTCTTAAGCCATCTTGTCGAGCCTTATATGATTTCGAGGCACAAAATGAAGCCGAATTGGATTTCAAAGAAGGTGATGTTATTAATTTGATCTCACAAATTGACGATAATTGGTATGAAGGTTCACTGCTAGGAAAAACTGGTTACTTCCCGATCTCTTACGTTCACGTACTTGTGCCATTATAATTCTCTTCATGATTTTAATTTAATTCGATTTATAATGGAACTTTATTCTTAAATTCTGTAAAAGATATCGAAACTTTTTAAGGAAAGATGTAAAAGTATCATTACTTTGTTTTAAAACTAATGTGTTATTTGCAGTTCAGATTCAAAAAATTCGTACAGGTTTAAAAACACTAAATTGCAATCAACCGTTGCCAATACTGTAAATTGAGGTCTTCATTATGTTTATTATATGGAGAAAAGAAAAGGAATTTTATAACTAGCTTATAAATTAATTCTAGTAATGTGAAGCCTACTTTGCACAATGTCACTTCAGCACCATTCAAAATAATCACGTTATCGAGTGCAGTCGTAACATTAAACCAGTGAAATTATGTTTCCGGTATTCGTTGCTGCTATTTATTTATCTCATACTAGTCCATGAACTAGCTCTTCAGTCTCTATTATTTCCGTCACTTCTTGCTATTTATTCTAGATCAGAATAGGGAAAATCAGTTTTTTTTTTTTTCAATTTTATGATCAAACCGTCGACATTTTGGCCAGTCTTCTTTATTGATTGCTTCATTTGAAATTTTGATGCTGTGTCCAAATTTTTCTCATATAGCTTTATCTTCAAATATTTGTCAATTGTTGATGGGTGTACAGTTGTGTCGAGAAATATGCTGCTTTCATGATATCCTAGTTTTTTTTTACAGTCTGCTAAAATCAATACCCGGTGTTTACTGAGAAGAACGCGAATAAAAAGTAGATATAGATATTATTTCTACTAAAGTGTTCCAATTATAAAATAATCGTGCTCTATTCAACATTCTTTCATTATACTTTTACTAAATGTAATCGACACTTATATGCACAGCGGGATATTCTTTTATCAAATTGTTAAAGGCCAAAATTATTTTTTTAATTTTTGAAACTTTTATTATATAACTGAATTAACCGACTTAAAGAGTTCCACATTAAAGCCAATATAGATGTAGCATATTTACGAGGCCATAGTTTCTAATTTCTCAACACAAAAACTGTTTCTCTGCATTATATATGGTAGTGGATATCCTTATCCAAGTCTTCACAGATTTTATCGCAGAAGAAAATTGAGAAATTAGAAAAACATCGAATTTAAGAATAGACAAAAGAACGAAAGATATTTTCCGAAATCGAATTTAAGTCACGCTTAAATAGTGGAATGAATACCAGGTACATATGTAATGTACCAGCTGATTTATAACACGGAGCAGATTGTAAAGTAGCTGATTTTAATAAAATAGAATTTATCTTCTCTGATGAGTTGAACTTAGCATTTGTCGATGCTTTTTTCGAAGAACTTCTTGTTGCTGTTCAAGGATTCTTAAGAAATGTTGTAGCAATGGCTTAAAATTCACTTTTGCGTGCAGTTGATTCTGTTTCTTTTCCCTCAAGCAGAACAGTTTAAACAATAACATATCGAAAATTATTTTAGAAAAGATTTTCATTAAAGAAAAGAATTTTGAGCAATTAAAGCAGACTTTATTGAAGGATTATTTATTACTGCTGAAAACCTCTTTAGGCAGTTCAGTTTCTCGCTTTCTAATGGATTTATTTTAGTAATTTTGTTACATGTTAATCGAATAAAAAAAAAAGTTATACTTACTCATGATCAACAACAGGTGGAATACACTGTATGCGTTTATGTAATGTATTGAATGCATCGGTTTGAGGCAGTATCATTAGAAGAGCTGAAAGAACAGCTGTGAGGGGCCGCTGGTGTTTGGCATCCAATAAATCGAGCCGTACATCTGAAATATTTTTGAATATCGGTCCTAGCTAAGAATTCAAACAAAGTCTGGATTTAAAATTTGAAGTAAGTCAATAATTTTATTTAATTAACTTTTCAGAAGCTTGATGATATAAAAACTTTGAGATTTCGAGTCCGAAACATACATGAAAGTATAGGGCTTTCGATAAGCTGTACAAGTCGATCGATTTCAATAAGCACGTCAACCGTGACATCGACCTTCCACAGGTGTCGCGCCAATACGCTTGCATGCTCGTAGTTTTGCGATAGTACACACAAGCCAAGCAATGCAATAGGTTGGAAGGCCCACGTACGATACAAAGACTCGAAGAGATTTATACAAGCCTGAGAATTATGTAAACAGATTTTAACTTGAGAAATTTCCGTCAGATCCATCTTGATTATAATAATTTTTATGAATGTAAGTATGCTGAGCAATGGAATAAAACATATCAAACATAATTTTAGAAGCAGGAAAAAGACAAACTTCGGATTCCAGTGTTCTTAATTGCTTCCTTAATTCGAATAGTTCACTAGAAGTGAGCAATATCCCATTCAGTAAAGCGACCATTTGAGATACGAATTCTGTATCATTATCTTTCAATAAAAGAACCGATAAACAGCGATAGATGGATCCGGAACCGAGTAGCATGCACAACTGCCTAAAAAAATATTCCTGAATTCTAAAAAAATTGTATTATAAAATCTCCATTTTCGAAATGAAAATAGGTTACCTAACGATCAAGACACCTCTATCATTGAGCAAAGCCGTATCACTTCGAAACATTGCTAATAAGCTTGATGTAAATTTCACTAAATATGGTGATATGCCTGAAAGCTAAAACATTAAAGTAGTTTTTACGAAAATATAAAAAAGAGGAAAAAATGTCCCTCTTTGTTCTATGGCATTTTCAGGAGTAACTTCTAATTCGACTAGCAAAAGCAAGAGCAGATCGATCATAAAAACAAAATATAAAAGACCTGCTTCAATGTATCTTCATCGAGATTAAGCTCCTGCAACTCAACACCACTAGTGTTTTTGCCTTCGCATATGTCGGAAAGTAACTGCAAATCCAGCAACAATACATCATCACATGTGTCGGACAGTAGTGAAAGTAGGAGTGGAAATACACGGTCCATGTACGAAAATAACTGCAAATAAATCCCTCTTTTTGCTAAAAAGAGGAAGGAATATTATTTTTACTGAAAGAAATTAATTGCACAATCAATTCAGTGTATTGCTATATGATTTTCTTAAATGATTTCAAAAACGATAAAGCTATCTACACCGCCATTCACGGCCCAAAATGATTATTATAGGTTCGGTCCCCAAATGGCTGATAATATTCTGAAAACAAATTGTCCAAAAATTTGATTTTTGTAATAAACAATATTATATTAATAAGGATCTTAAGCAATTCAAATGCATAATAGGATTCACGAATCATAAATCACTATTAGACTTAAAAAATTCCTAGAGATAAACCAAATAAAATTCAAAATATATTCTAAAAGACCTTTGCAACCTTCTGTTTTGAAGGTATTCTCTGCAACTGTACTTATAAAACTAAAAAACGTTACTTTTGCAGGCGCAGTAATGTGCATCCTACTGATCCAGTTCAAAACAGCTATCCTTGTATCTCGAAATTCGTGTCTGATATGCTTTAGAAGTACTTTAATAACAGCATCATACTCGATATCGGCATTCTCCGATAACAATTCCATTAAATGCGTGTTGATTTCTTTCGCTGGAAAGCAATTCATAACATTTAATAAATTTTATATTTTAAAAAATTCAGAGAGAAACTTTTTCATTAATATTGATTTCATAGCAAGTAAACGAAATCCCTAAAATGAGGTGCTCAGGTATATCAATATACAATTATCAAAGAACTTTCGGATTTAAGTTCCATTCATTTTTAGTGCAAATATATTCTACGAGTGAATATGAATAATCTAAACTTTTCGATACTAACTACATCAATCAAAATGTTCGATATGATTCGATAAACAAGAAAGCACTGCTATTCTGATGTTCGAATTGTTATTAGTGAAACTACACACATATTTCTCTAAATATGCCATTCTTGCTTAAATATAAAACAAATCAAAACCTTTAAGCTGTGAATCATTTAAACAGGGAAGCACGGCTGTTAAGAAAGACGAAAGATATTGTAGGAGCCCAACATCATGCATTTTCAGAAAACGGTTCAACCAAATAAGAGCCGTCATCCGAGTAAGAGTACTTCCTTCAGCGCAAGCATGTACTATCAGAACATTAATCATATCATTTAATTCAGCCTGTAAAAGGACTAAAATAATTAAACCAGTTTCTTAAATTGTCATTTCTCGCTTCTAAGCAATTCAAAGTAAAGTTTACTTTGTCACCATCTTTCTGCTCGTGCATTCGCTCAAGAAATTGTCCAAGAACTGTTTCTGTAGCATCTCGGACCCCTGGCTGACTATCGTTCAACATTTGGAATAAGCCATCAAGAACTTCGGGAAGATATGTCAAAAGAGATAGTTCTGGCGCTGTCAACAAAGCTGACAGCTGCAAAATTAAATAACATTCAAAAATATAAAATATATACTAAAGAGAATAGCGAATCGTTATTTTAAATTCAACGCTTGCAACGCTGCAGGAAAAAATTGCAACCATATTGATGAAAAATTAAGGTATATTCACCCAAGAAACAACAAATCTTCGATTTGAGCTGTTCTGTGAATATATTCTATCACGGACCAATGACATCAAAGTCGAAATTTCGAATGAGCTCGTAGCGAGTACAATATCCTACAAATTCAAAATAATTTTTTCAAAAATTGGATGAATCTTTATCCAGCTTGAATATGAAGAGATAAAATATATAATTACAGTTGTTGATTTTCATCTTAAGGGGTATCTTAACAGTTGATAATTCTAATCTGAAGTCGTCTTGAAAGAAATTTGTCTTTAGAATGAAGTCTCAGACCTTTAGCAGTCGGTCCAACAATTCTGCTCCGCTACGCACATTTAAGTCTGTATCGGCAGATAACTGAAAACAGTTCTTACGCTAAAAAACTGAGATTAGCATTTTGATGAATATAAAAATCAAAAAAAAAAAAAAAGAATAGAGGTAGTCTTCATATAACAGCCATGTAAAAACCTACTCGCCAGAGAGTATCAAAAAGTTCATCGAAGTGAGACAACGCAGATGAGCGGCATATTTTCACAATGTTGTATAATGACTGCAAATATATCATTAAATAAACAGGGGAACCAAAAAAAAAATCACACTGCATCTTTAATTAGCATCTCAAATTTCAGTTTGAAACGGCACTCAATCACATACAGTTCATCAAATCAGGTATAAAATAAAAATTTTCAGTATTTCTGAGCGTAATAACATAACTTAGGCTTAAAATCACTATTATTCAATTTCTATAAAAGTGGTAGTCAAGAAGCAGATTAGTGGTTTAATTATTAGTCTCCGATTACAGCAATTTAAAACTACTTGATTTAATTTTTTATATAATTTTTTTGCTATATGATTTTATAAAATAGAAAAGTTTTTTTTTTTCACAGACAGTTTCTGCACACTGACTGCTAAATGACTGCTTAAATAATATTTCATTTACCTCACAAGCATAGTATCGTACTCGGGGATCGGGATCACTGAAACAAGTCAAAACTGGTTCGATTAACTGTGAAGTATAATCAGCGGTATTCTGCAATATTCGAATAACAAATCTTACATAAACGACATTTTGTTTAGTATATTAAGAGGTGTCGTAAAAATCGTAATTCCTAAAAAATACGGCAAAACTACACCCATTTCAGCGCAATTTTAATCTCATTTATGTTTCACCTTCCCCAATGCAATTGCTGCAGCTGCTAAACCAATTAGACCACCCTTTCGTGCATGCGCATTTTGTGCTGTTGTCAATCCTCTAAGTACGGCGAGCAACTTTTCGAGCTGTGACAAATGATTTGCTTGTAGTAAATCCCTCACTTGTCTGAAAAGATAACTAAAAAGTACAAATTTGCAACAGAAAAGACTGATAAAGTGCAAAAAAATTTTGAAAATCACAAAAACATATTCTTTATAAATCTTTGAACTAATTATCTGCTCATACTCGCAAGTTATATACAGACATATATGCTAAGATGAATCAAACTTTTCTATATCAAGAGCAGCGGCTTTCCTCTTCTCGTACAGTTTATCAGTAAGTGTTCTCACCAAAGTAGCAGTAAGCGGCGCATACTGAGCATCAGCCATTTTCCTAAAAATTCATGGAAGCATGGGTAACTTTCTACTGCGAACTATTCCGGCAACCTCATATATTATTGGTAAATTAATCCACTTTTTCCCTTCTCAGATCAGTAATATCAATTGATCTATGGCATGCCACCAAACGATTCATCAATTTTCAAAATTCCCCATCCGTTACTATTCCATTTCAGAATAGATGTTTTTATCTAATCGAATCTTTTTAATTTCTTTTCGTATGTTTACATTACATCGTGGAATCACTAACTGCATTGCTCCATAAGTCATATTGACTGGGATAACCAATTATTTCAGTGACGAACAACCCGAAATAGTTTTTGAAACTTCATTTCAATTAAGATGAAAAATTGAAAAAAGAATGAAAAAACTAACATCAAAGAAAAAAATCATAATGCGTGAGAAATGAAAGAACTGGAATTCAATAAAAAAAGGAAAGTCGATAACAATGCACATAGGGAAATGAAGGACAAGTGAGATTCATAAAATATTGCTTAACATCGATTAACTAGCATTTTATAATAAAAAATGCAAAATTCTAAAATAAAAAACCTGAATGTATAAAAATATTTTTGTAAATTTAAAAAGCAGTTGCACAGTATGGAAGACTATGTACATAGATAACATCAAGTCAACAAACTGACGAGAGAACTGAATACAATATGCTTTTTAAAGAAAAATAACGAAATGTAAAAATTTTCTAGAAACTTTAAAAAACCTAATTTCATCTTCAAAATAAATTTTTTACAAGTTCTCTTATAATTCCTCTTCATTTGACGTATCTTTGAAGTTTTGTATAAAAGAAATATTCATGTCTTTCTCAAAACCTAACTCACTGTAGCTAGGAATCTCAGTCTTACATTCCAACAATAATCTGAATGCTCCTACATGTCGTGCTAGTGATACAAGATACTGACAAAGAATCTTAGGGAAAAAAAGATATGGAACTGTTTTGTCGACAACAATATCTTCTATTCGTCCAAGACATCCAGCTTGATGAGTGAATTTAAATTCAAGAAAAAGCGTTGCTGATGCCACAATGCGTTTTATACTAAAATTGTAAGCTTAAACTTTATTTTAAAAAATTCTTGAGTGGAAGTAGCTAAAATGTCTAAAATTTGTCTGAATTTTAAAAAAAAAAGTCGAAAAACATACTCAATCTGTTCAATTACAATAATATAATATGAGGGTGGCGAGGTGTTACGCATCGCATTGAATCTGTAAAAATTGCATCAACTGAGCCTAATGTCATTTTCAAAAATGAGTGACAATAATATAATAAATAGATTTTATTGTTACTAAACGAGTTTCATACGAATCATTATAAAGCTTTCCGGTGATTGGATGGATGCATCAAATTTAATTATGTGAAAGATCTACTGCTAACTACAAAAAAAGGCACACCAATTCACCTTCGTGAAAACATTTCTGAGGTTACATTAACCTCCTCACCAAGCTGCGACAACAATTCCAAATAGCCACGGTAATTATCACTCCGCCTTAATGCACGAAGTTCATAACTTTCTGGTAAATTAGGCAACTTATCGTGTAAGCGAACAAAATCCAGGAAGCTTTCAGCAAAAATAGATAAATGATCTGTAAATAAAAAAGTTTGAAAACAGAAATTAAATTTAATGGAATAAATCGAATATCTTTTACTTCAATTCGATTAAATAGAATAACAACCTGATTTTATGGGAGACAGACGTAATTTTTCTTCCGCGGTTTCTAGATTTTTCAACTGCTTACTCAACTGTTTTATTCCATCCATTCCTTTGATAGAACAACGTAATGTTAAGTACTCCTAAACATGGCTTTAATTTATTGCTGTTTTCATGAAAATAGAAATAAAAAAGACAAAATAGCTATCAATATAGTAGTGAGGATGTCCGAAAATATATTCACGGTGCTTACAGATGTAGTCCTTAGTTAGCCTTAATTAATGAGAATGAAGAAAATATTGACCATGAAGGTTATTGAGATGATTAAATCAAATCTATTGACCCAAATGGAATGATTTTGGAAAACAAGTTTTGAAATCGTATAAAAATAATCTCATAGTCTCTCATGCTAAACTAACATCCTTACAACATTTTTCGCCAAACAATTTCAACCCAAGCGGCATTGATCTGGAGAAATAGAAACCAAAAACGAACGATGACCCTTCATGACCTCTGACAACGCAGTAATATATCAAGTGATGATCTCTATAAATAATTCTGAGTTATTAAGAAATGATATAGCAATGATCCATTAAAAAAAAGAACTAAAAGAAAAACTTAATTAAAAACGACTTATGCGTAAACTTTATGATTGAAGAAAAGAGAAGAAAAAAGGAAACTGATACCATTTCAGAACAGCGTGGGCGATCCACGCCCTGGACGATATTTTTCCGGCCGCGTTTTACGATTAAGTGGCGGTTGATAATGGTACACGCTGGATAGTGATTACTGTTCCGTGTGTCACGCCGGTTGACTGGTTTATTTTGCATTTGTTGGGGGGTATGCTTTTTGATTTAGAAAGAAAACAGTTATTCATGTTACAAATAATCAATTCTTTTTCATCTTTCAGCAAATACTCATCATTGGTTGTTGATTTGGTTATTGTTGGTTAAAGTTTTTATTTACATATTTAATTATTTCTAGATGAAAAATATTTCAAATTATTTTTGTTATAACAAAAAGAGGACGAGAGATTTATACACGACTTTTGACTTTAATAGCTAGCAATTACTATTAAATGACTTGCAGCTTTAGATAATTTTCATGCTTGCAACATTATGGATGGTGGCGAAAGTAACTGCACAGTTGCACAGGATGTGGCTGCTACAAGGTTGCTCTTAGTTTGCATCGTTTATTTGGAAATTTGCGGAATTTAAATTTTACATTATAATTATAGTTTGTCAACGGGAAGTGTCGAAGATTATGATAAGTTATTCACCCAATCTTCTGTTGATCTATCCAACAAACAGTTAGAAAAATTGCCAAATTCACGTCAAAATTATCCAAAGGTAGAAAGGATCAATTTATCACATAATCAGTTCAAGTTTATCAATAATTTGTCAAAATTCACTGCATGTTATGAGGTGGGTTTTCTTCTCAATTTTATTTATTCCAAATAATTTTTTGAGGCTTATAAATATTGTGCAGTGGAGACTTTAAGTTTTATTCACTTCACCGCATCATACTCATTTTTTGGTAGAGAACAGGAATAACTAGGTAATAAACTGTTTTACTAAGAAGCTGAAAATCTACACAAAGTAAGAAATGCCTATGCGATAATATTTTTTTCAGATGAATGTTAGTTTTAATATGTTGGAGCGATTTTCGAGCTTTCTGCCTCTTGCTAATACTTTGAAACATCTTGACATTTCGCACAATTCTTTGAGCAATTGTGATAATTTGGTAGCGTTAATAGAACTACTCTGGCTTGATGCAGCTTATAATCATATCCAGGTTCCGATTTCTCCATTTTTTTTAACAAGTTTTGTCAAATTATTTGATTCATGTTAGATTATCGACATAAACAACATTTGTTTAGGCTCTTCCACTGCTGGATCGACTTACACATTTAACTTACTTGAACATTTCAAATAATCGACTCAGTGTTTTACCGAATCTGAGCAAATTAGCTGTCTTAAAAACTCTCAATTTAAATGATAATGAAATTAGCACACTAGACGAACTTCATCGAACAATGCCACAGTACTTGCAAGATCTCGATATCGGTGCTAATGTGATCACAGATTTACGAGAGGTTATAGTTATCATTATTCTTAGTTGGTGGAAGTAGGTTGTTTTATATTATATATTATAATAAGTAAACTAAGTATGCGTGTAATGTTGGTGATTATTTTTCTTAATTTTACCAATGGTTGTTTTAGGCTCAATACTTATTATGTCTAAAGAACATACGATCTATAGTATTTGCGGGAAATCCTTGTGTTCGTTTGAAAGATCGCACTTTTTGCTATCGTCCATACCTTTATTGTTGTTGTCTCGAACAACTACAAATTGTTGACGGAAAGGAACTTAGTGAAACTGAAATCATTAAAGGTATACAGCTTATTACATTTATTACCTGAAATTGAGGATCTCTATTTTATGGTATCATTTACAGAACATCTAGATGTTAGAAAAACTTAAAAAACAATAGATAACATAAAAAGCCATTAAATCGTTAATAATCGTTTTAGGTGAAGAATTGCATATTAATAATCGTTTTAGGTGAAGAATTGCATACTCATGCAAAAATACGGCGTATGGAAACACATGCTCAATTGTGTGCTTATCTAGAAAAGGAGTGTCCAGAAGATTGTCACCATTCATTTTCATCAGATGACAGTCGTTTGATGAAGGTGATTTCTTTTTAATATAGCTTAGCAATATATATTTTTTAATATAGCTTAGCAATATATGCTTCGAACTCTGTACCTTAAAAAATTTTATTTTTTTGCAAGATTTCTGAAGATACGTATATGGACGCTGCCATGTGTATACTTAGTTTTTTGCAGATTTTGAAGAAAAGACGTGAGTACACGTCACGATTTAAAGATGATACGACGAGTGAGGAATCAACGGCAACAACCCTTTCACCGTACAGGGAATGGCTTTCCAAATCAGCCTCTTCTCTATCGAATCCTTTCGAATATAACAGTTGTACTACGGAGCAGAAGGAAAATTATGCGCCTTTGATTGATACTAATGATTTATCATCTCTGTCAGCAAGGTCTGTTTATGTAATTTTATGAATGATTTCTAATTTTTGGGAATTTTTTTTCAAAATTTCATGCATCAAATCTTTTCAGAATATTCTTCTTTCATTATAAGTAACTTAAACACTATAATTTAATTTAAATATGGATACCTTCAATGTTTTTTCTTCACAATATTTCCAAATAACATTCATTATTACATAGTTAATATTTTAGAATCAGCACACCTCCAACATCTGCGAATTCTAATATTTCGTCTTCAACAGTTACTTTATCGGCTCCATCAGTTTCATCTTCCACTCCAGTGAGAACTCGCATTCAGTTAGTTATGCATTTTAGTTCTTTACTAGGATGTATTTTAGATTTCATTTTTTTTCTTGCTCTTGTTCAACTTGCATTAATGACTGGTTATAGGAGAAGGCTACAAGGTAAATCAGTTCAAGTTCACAAAAATCCAGTCATAACAAGTAATACACCGAGAAAAGGCAGCATTTTTGAGCAGTCTAATTGGAGGTTTCTTTGAAATGATATTTCTCATTTATTCATATTTTGTATTATCATTTCTATTGAATTTTTTACTGTGCACAACGCACAGAATTGGTTTTTATCTATGATTTTTTTTTTCGTTACTTATCGTCTTCATAACAGCCGAGTTTATTCTAGATCAGAATTAATGAACAAATGCGTCTTATACTTTCTCAAAATAATCACAAGAGCCTAGACTTTCACTTATTACTCAATTAAAAAAGTATGCAGTGAAACTGATTACCAATGGAAAAAGATTGCATGATACTGGTTATGTTTTCAGTGAGAGACGGCAAAAATCATTGGTGAGAAACATTATCAGAGATCCACCCAATAGGATAAAGGTTATGATTTAGTGTATGTATTTTTTAATGTGCGTATTCGATCTAAGCAAAATAATACCGACTTCAAATACGATGAGACACATGTTATACAATTCTCACGATTTTATATAACTGTACAGAATAAGTTGCTTCTCATAGCATTTAACTATCTCTCTGCTAACTAATCCTTACTATTAATAATTTGATATGTAACTAATTGGTGCTTTGAACAATTTTTAAAACTAAAATCAAACTATGTTCATTGCTTCAGGTTTCTGCTGTTTCCGAATTGGTTACAAAGAATCGGAGTTATCGCTTTAGATCCACAGAAAATTCTAATGAAATTTCGTTTGTGAGTGCCCGCAAAGTTCGAAGATATAGTGAAAAGGAGAAGAAATCCGCTTTACTTATTCAAGTATTTAGCTTTGTTTTTGAGTGGTGTACGCAAAAAATTGTGTTCATAACAAAAAATGGGTTGTCATTTCACGTGGTCATTTTTGTGTGTTTCTCATTGTTCGTACGTGCAATGTCTAAAATTTCAGTCATGGTGGAGAGGTATAAAGGTCCGACAAATGTATCGAGTACCTTTTCTCCAAAGGCGTATTCAGCGCTTTGAAACGCTGCTCAAAGAAAAGTCAAACATAATCTTGAAGTTGCAAGAGGAGTTTTCTAATTTAGAATCTAATATTGAAACAATCATAGCTGAAAACGAACAGCAGGCTTTGAAGATTGCAGAAATGCAACAATTCATGACGGTAGGTTCCAAAATTCTGATTTAGGTAGTAATGAAGTTTTCAAATTAGTTCTGGTAACAATATTCCCATGTATATTATGCCTTTATTGGAATAATTTTTTTGCAGCAAATTGCTGAAACATGTAATGAGCGTCAGAAACAGTTCATGAATAAATTGTTACCAGTTCCCGACGAATTACAGTACGTACGAAAATCGGAAACTGAAGTATTACTGCAGTGGCAGAATCGTCAGCGTCCGCAAAAACCGACAAGTTTATTTTATACACTAATTCCTTGTGTTTTCAGTTTTGAATAAGTTTGATAACAAGGCATTAAATAATTCAGATCATTTAAAATGTTCAGTTCAAGCTCAAGAACATCCGAGAATAATTTTAAGGATATTTGGTAACTGTAAACGGTAATCCATGCGGAACAGTCAGAGGTATCCATAAAAAGGCTCTTGTCACAGATTTAGACCCAACAAAAGAATCTATGTAAGTAATTTAATCAAATTTTGTGATTTACTTGTATTGCTGTTTATAACTTACTACCATTATCAGTCCTATGGTTATCTTTCTCACCCCTCCTCATTATACCTGTACAATTAAATTGAAATTTTCAGTGTAAGAATGCAGTGTGTCTTCAATGAGTTTAGTGGAGATCTCTCGGAATGTTTGGTCATTCCTTCACACAAGCAGGTCTGTCAAACTGTATTCTCAAAATAAGCATTTTGATGTGCGATATTTATTGCAGTTTTTTAGGAAGCAAGTTCTGTCAGTGAGGATGAAATGGAGCCTCTTCCAAAGCAAGCTGGATTTAATTTGGATTAACTAACTTTATCTGTTTAAATTGATCTCATTCCTATCAAATCTGTTTCATGAATTGGTATTTTTTTTCTGATTAGAATGATTATTACAATTCCATCATTGGTTACTTCACATGATTTGCTTCGAACTTTGCATAATTCACTTCATTTTTTCATTTTTATCTTTTCCGCTTAGGTACACTGTACATTTTGCGAGATTTGCGTTCACCCAATTTTTTATCACTTAAATCATTGTAGATAAAGATAATTATAATATTTCAATTATATTTATATTTCATGAGAAATAAATTCAAATATTTGTGTGATTCTTTTAAGATGACCAGAAGGCTTGGTTTATTCTATCTTTAAAGAAAGCATTTTCGTCATGGTTCTTATTATGCTGTTAATTTTATTGAGTGATTAGAGTCTCCGAAAATTTTACTGATCAGTTTTTTATGGTATATGTTGTTTTTTTATTCAGTCAGTGTCGCTTTAGAAACCTTGTCTTTACAGTCCTACACTATTGACAAATCTGGTACTTAATTAATGCATCATCATTGACTGAGTAATCCCATTTTGAAAGGGATTTTGGAATCTCATCAAACTTCAATTTTGCCTTTATGGAATATTATTGCTTTCATGTATTGATAACTCAATAAAAAACAAATTTTTGTTTCTATATATTGTTGATCTATATTTTTCGAATAAATTTATATTATGAGATTACAGCAACTATCTGCAATAGAGTGATTATGAACGAAGGTATCACTAAAATATTATGGAGTGTCACAGGACGACTTGAAATGCTGCATCACATCTGTACATTAAACACAGCAGTTTTTGCCTAAGACATGAGATAAGTTGTTGAAATGCATTCTGATTGCAAGGGAATGTGCGTAATCGCTATTATTACGGCTAAAATCTGCAATATTAATGTAATATACGTTAAACTTTCCTTAAAACCAATTAGTTCTTGAAAAGCAGAAGTTAGTGGTATGTCTGTGCTTCCAGACGAAGGTTCATTATAGAAAAGTTTAGTGGGATCATTATTTTTTAACTTCCATTTCAATTTAAAGAATATTTAAATCGACATAATTTGACAGTGCAGATTTCAAAACATCAAATTCTTCAAATGAATCAGCATTGACCTAAGTAGTCTGTCGCAGTAAAAACAGCGAAAAAGTTAGTTATTAATTGAAAAACAATACTCGAACCATAATCCAAACGTTTGAGCATTGTGTAACAACATCATTCTGAGATGCCGGCGTTGCACAGCGTTCAGTTTGATTGATATTCGAGAAGCGAATATATGTGTAGTCGTAATTGGTTGGGTGTATGGGGTCATCCTAAGATTATACCTCGTAACCTCAAGTGGCTTTTGCTTGCTTAATAATAGCTCGAAGGCATAATGTTAACGATACAGTAATTTAGATCCTTTACTTGCGTGGGTAATTAGATTTTGAAGTGCCGCAGATACAGACTCCTTAAATTGTCATAAGACGCGACTATAACATTCATATCATAATATTTCTTCAGTTTTTCTTCGGAAGTTCCAGAATGCCATTAATGACAGATGATCTGGATGTAAAATATGGAGTAGTGAATCAGGATGATGTGGCTGACAAGAAGAAACGAAAAAAATCGAAGGGAAGGACGCTGGAAATCGATTTCCCACTTCATTCGGATAGGCCAATTCAGTGGGTTGCTCTAGTCTCGATCTATCTGGAGATTACGAAATTTTTTCTTTTTATTCGAGGAAAAATAAAATTTAATGTGATGGTTGATGTCTTTGTGACTTTTGCGAATGGGGGAAAATCCACTTTTTGAAATAGGGTTCATGTCCCTGTTTATACATTTCCATGAATGTGGAACAATAATGCACCTGAATTTTGTTGTTTTAAATTATTTGCTCGAAAATTGACATGTTTGCTACTGACTTCGCTCGGAATTCGTTTCACATTTTCCATCTGCATATTATGATCCTTTCTCTAAGAAGCAACAAAACCAATGAAGTCGATCCCTTTTATTAGATAAAATCAGCATATTTCAGATCATATGAATCTAGCATTTGTTATGATGCAAACAATCAGAAAGTTTTACCCGCTTATTCCGCTGACATTGCTGCAGTGGAAAATAACTGTTCGGATGATATAATTAGTCAACTTTTGCCTACTGTCCGAGATGCTATGCAGTGAGCGTGATTTATTTGTTCATTTAAGATTCTAACAACATGTTTCAGTTGTGCAGTAATAATCGACTGGGTAAAAAGACGGAAGGAGATAAGGATGGTGAGAAAGAAAATTGCTCATAAAATTTGTAGGAAGGAATTCAAAGTCTGAAAGCTGTAAAATAAAACAAAAGGAAGGAGTTACATTTGACATACCTGGATATCATGTGATGTGTGAAGGAAAATATGAAAATTATGGAATATGGGGGAGAACTTTTTAGTGCGTTAGCTGTCTAGTGTTAGCTGTTAGCCGTTAGCTGTCTTAGCTTTTAGTGCGTTAGCTTTTTAGTGTCTTGTGTACGATTTTTTTACTAAAACGGTATCACATTGTTCCTGCAACGCAGCTCAGCTGAGTCTTCATTATAGCATGAAATTAAGAAGAAAGAAAACTTGTCTACTCAAAAATTTGCACCAGAATGTATTACGTTCTAAGGACAGGAGCTGGCACTTCAGATTAATTCTTAAAATAGTAGTGATTGCTGATAACTTCGATATAAAATCGAGTATCAGGATCCCTCACACATTTCAAGGAAGTTGTTGCATTTCAGGGAATTTTTGTATGATATTGGCAATCGTGCTTGTGAAATAGAAGAAGTCGTGAGTTTCTTGAAATTATCAAACATTGCACTGCAGTATAAACAGATGCTTAACTCCTTAAGTAGTGCGCAGTTATGTAGGCTTTTCGAAAAATTGAATATATTTCACATATCATATGAAGGCTCGAGGATGATTCTTCAAATGGCAAGTTTAGTTTCATTCATGTTTTAATTGAATTTAGCTAATTTTTGTTAGGAAAGCTGAAAGGTAATGAAAGGCTCCTCACAATTTTCAGCAATAATTATACAAACATCAATTAAAAGTTATCGTTATTTTCAGATTGAAGAACAATATCATCTTTCTAATTCTGATACGACATTGTCACCAAGTATCTCATCTTTATCTAATACTAATAATAATGATCAGATATTTATATTAATGAAGGATACTTTGAACAGTACTTCATGCGCTTCTGTTGCTCAAACTAAACCTCTCTCTGCGATTACAAATGACTTCACAAAGTACTTTATATTTCTTTGTCATTCCAGTTTATTGTGAAATTCAATATGAAAATGTCCATGTTATTCAATTATTCTTGGCAGATTACCGCAACGATATTCAAATGGAACAGAAACAGTGGGATCAGAACTTGATGGTATAATTAATTCTCACCAAAAAGTTATTGGAGGTGCGATGGTCCATAAACGTTTATCTGCGGTAAATCCTTTTCATTATTTTAAGTGTTCTTTTTATATAATCTAAAACTACAGTTATAATTCTTCAACTAAATGTGCTTAGATGGTCACAGTATTGAAACGAAGTGGATCACAATATTGAAATGAAGCGGGTCACAATATGATATCGTGTGAGACTTTAGGTTCAAATCGAGAGTAAGGAAGGAAAAAATTTCCATTGCGCGGTAAAAGTTTAAAAGGAATATCATTTTTTAAGTCTAACTCGGTAAGCCGGTAAACATTCCATATCTGAATTTTTATAAGCTGTCTCTAAAATTTGCTATGACTGGGCATTTCTCTCTAAAAGGTTCAAATTTCATTTTTAGTTTATTTATTTACATATCTGAATTTAGGATGAACTGCTTATTCAACAGAATGGTGATATTTTTTATGATCAGAACACTGAGCTGATGGATCGAAGGATGCTCTTACAAGATGCAAAATTTCATTTGGAGTAAGACATTCCTGAATTTTATGTTTTTCGTTTAACGATATCATAATTCCGAAACAATTATTTGTCTTTTTTCTGATTCTTATATATAGGAAGAGAATATCGATATTGATCGTTGATTCAAAACACTTCTTTTACTATGTTGTGTTATCATTTTCGACTGCACTATGGATCACAACTTTGAAAATAATTTTTGCGTAATTGAGATTTTCAGAAGAAGATTTATAGAACAAAGATTGAAAGATATGGAAAAAAGATATGAAGAAAGATTATCTAATGTCTCTTTAATGTTAAGAAAAGCTTATGTAAGTTATTCTTCACTTTCAAATTCGTTATTCTGTAAGAGATACTGCACTTCAATAATTTCTAAAATCTAAATCGTTAACGAAATAAGCGCTATGTCATCTATCTTTTTTTCTACAGCTCTAGTTTCTGAATTTTCTCTTGAGTTGGTATTGTATGAAAGTATTGCTGCCTGCATATAAATGTTTTTCAGAAAGAAATATTAGATTTGCGCTTGGGGAAAGCAAAAGCATTAGCAAATAAAAGAATGGGACAGGCTGAACTTGCTTTAAAGCACGCTAATGTAATACATAACAGGTCAAATATTTTATTTAGATTCTTGCAAAATTCATTTGTTTCACTGTTACATGATTTGTTATTGAAAGGTGAGCAACTGTCATTAAAATATTTTTTTATTACACTCTACAGATAAAGAGTAAATGGAATCCAAAAAAAAATTTGTTGCTGCATTAATTTTAATTATTTTTACATATGTAGTTAAATATTTTTGAGATTAATAGTAGCTTGTTATAAGTTTGATCCGTAAAAGTAGAATTCTTTACTACAGATCTGATATCTTTCTGGTTTTTTAGAAATCACGTGGTCCTTCGTATCTTCAAATTTCAATTATATTTGAATTAACCATTATTTTAGATGAGACATTAAAATTTATGATTTGGAAGACATTATATTTATCAATAAATGCTTAGCATTTTATGTTTTGTGCTCTTATTGTATTTTTTAGGATTGGAGATGAAACAGTTAAATCAGATATAAAGCAAATGGTAAGGCAGTGGGAACAGATACTCAGGGATTACAAAGCTTGGCATGCTAATTTGGATGTTTGTTTTTTTGGATTCAAATATTGTTTAATTTGATAAAGTGTCTTATATTCTTCACTGATGAACAGTGATACAGTTTAAAGTAGTCAGACCATTTCGTATTTTAATGCAGTCTGATACCTTTTTTTAAGGAGTCATAAGAATTTTTTTGTGGAATGATTCACGCAAGGCTTGATGAAATATGTTTTATATCGGTAACCAATTAATAAAAAAAATTAGTAAAAATTACAGAGAATAGTAGATGGTCAGAAGGCCCAGGTGGATTCAAACTATCGTTTTGATGAGTTGGCCCTTCTTTCGGTTGGTCTTACATCATTTTTGATTCTGTATCATTTAACTCGTATCAGATTTATGAAGCTCCTCCGAACAACTTTAACTTTAACTTTCAACGCTAATGTGAAAAATATATTCCAGCCACCGGATAATATTCCATGTGCTCCGCAGTTACCTCCTAATGCTTTGAAGTATTTTCAACAACTTGAATTAGAATGCTGTTCGGGTGATCTGTCGTCGGAACTTCTTGTATGCGACAGATTTGTATTTTTTATGTAGTTAGAAGTTCTAATACAACAAAATATTTCTCCTAAAATTCTTTTCATGATTTGCTACTGCTGATAACGAGATATTCCAGATATTTAGGACAGTCGGAAAGTGCGAATGTTGGAACAACAAAGGATATTTTTTGCATTTTAACTGAATTATTAATTTGGAAAGTCATGTTTTTTTATAATGTGGTGGGATTATTAATAATCATTCAGCGAGTAATTGGTCCGCCGGTTGGCTTTGAAAAGGAAGACGTAGCTGGTAATCGATTTGGTGCAATTGGACAACCCGCTCCTTTACCACAGAGGAAGATATTCACGGAAGCACAAATAAATAAATTAGTTTGCATTTTTTTTTGCCTTGACTTATTCTATATTACGATTTCCTTTTTCTCATTTGAGTTATGTTTCATTTTCATTGTTTTTTGTGACCACTTATAGGTTGAGATGACGCTGGAGCATTTCCAGGATACTTATGGGAGCACTTCAAATTTGAGAGCGTATGTTTTAATTTACTCAAATGTACTTTACAATTAATTTTAATTCTTTATGTTTTTTTTTGAAATATTTTTCCAGAGAACAAATTAAAAATATACTAAACGAGCTCGAACGACGCCCTTTATTGCTTGCATCGGATGTAACTTTTTCTTCTGTTCTTTCTCATGTAAGTTCTTATGGTTTCATTTCTAGTCTTAATTAAATTTTTTCCTTTTTAGTAGAAAGAAAACAAAGGCGATATGCATCGTGAGACAAGATTAAGAGGAATTTTTGAATAATAGTAGAAAAATTATCAATAAATTAATTATTATCCAAACTATAATTATACAGTTCCGTGTGTGTTTATGTTTAGAACTCTAACTGGAGTTACCAAATATGATGTCCTGAAAGCAAGAAAATACCTTGTAGAAATGATGTGAGTAGGATTTATTTTCACAAATTCTTAGCTTTAATAAACAATTGTAGGTAATAAAACGACTTATGGAAGTAAATGGTGCTAGCGGTGGAAAAAATAGCAGTCAACCAGGCACACCGTGTTGGACATCATTATCATCCGAGCAGTCTGTAACCTTTTCACCTCCTTTCACTGAAGTCGAGATAGGGAAATAATTATTATGCTAATTTGGTTCATTTACTTCAGCTGACAGTTCTTCTAAATTTAATATGGCATGATTAATCTGTCATCAATTCATTTTTAAAATTACAATTTAAAGATTACTACGGTCTTTGGCAAATATTTTTTTATATTTTTTGTTTCTTCAAAGCGAAAATTTTTTAGGCGCCATTCATCACTTTATCATATCATTCATACTTTGAGGTAATTTATAGTATGTGGGGTGGTACTTCCCACCAAACATTGTTTTTGCTTTAGCAATTTTTACAATTATTTACCATATTTCGATTTTAAATGAAGACACCACCTCTGTCGCTTTTTTATCTGTAAAAGAAAATTTTATTCATAAACATAAGCTGACTTTTCTGTTCAGCGTAATTTATTGTCTTTCCTTCTAAGTTTATCTCCTATATTTCTACTAGCCTGTTTTGAAATAATGATTAGGGTATTGACGTTCGATGTACCATCTCGCAGTTATATGCATGTTGATGTATATTGGTTGTTTTGTGTCGTGACGGCAACAAATGGAAAAGCTTGACATTAAATATACATGAGCTGTCTTTCTTTTGAACACGATCTTTTTTTTTGAATTTAGTGTGAGATGAGACAATGCCCAAATTGGAATGAGAAAGGATTTCATTATTGCCATAATTAGTTGAAATTATACCATCAATAAAAATCTTTGGAAGACGTTTTGTTAGATGTGCTCAGTGGATTTGATCTTTTGTGCTTTGATGAAATATTAAAGATGTGCCAAATGTAGAAGTAAAGAAGTAGAAGCTTTAAATTGTCGTGTATGGTTAGCATGATTTAAAAAATGTTATGGCAAAGTTCATTGAGATAAAATGTGAGAAATTTTTTAAAACGTATGGATATGCTGTAATGAACAGATGAGTACTTTCACTTTCCTGTTTTCTATGATGGAAAGCTGTTTCACCTGGAGTTCTTAAATTTTTTAAGCTTTGTGCCTTCCGACAGATTCTTGATTCGAACTTTCGAACACTTGCACGGCGTTATGTAGCACCATTTTTGTTCGTATTTGAGAAGTCAAAATTTTCCATTTTATTGAAAGCTGATATGTCATTGTAAATCCTTTGTGATTGTATTTCATACGTTATCCTTTTTTTATAATGTCAGGATCTGAAAAGATACATTTGAAAATTGTGTTCCAGACTATTCATCATCCCGTGGATTTGGAAAGCAGGACTGTAAAATTTGCTTACAATCACTGACATATAATGACAAATTAATACGGTGCCCTTCCTGTCTCGATTCCTATCCTTATGAGGTGATTTATTCCCTTCTTTTTTGATTCAGTTTCAACATGTATGAAAATTCAGGCAATTCACTATGAAGGTACCAAAGCATTAAGGCATAATGGAGTGCGATATCTACATATGCTAGAGGCTCATTTTAGTTGAATAAATATTCTTTCAAGATGACAAGGATGAGGAACTCGTATCGGTTTGGTTTTTCTCACCCGTGTTATTTTCACGAATACTGAACTTATGACTGTACGGTGTCGTGTCAATATCGTGCTTTTGCGAACTTTGCAAATAATAAAGAGAAATTGTCTCGTTGCCATACATATTTCTGAGTTTGCTAACAATTAACTGTATTTGGACCAAATACTTCTTGAGAACAGAGTAATTCATGGCTTTGCATCAGGACAATTGTCAAAGACTGCTTGTGTATCCATTGCAGTGTGGAATCAAGTGGCTCAAACAAAACAATACCTGCTCGCATTGCCGCCGACTAGGAAGTAATCCGGACGAATTTCCATCCTTAGCCAAAGCTGCTCTGTGAATTATATAACTATAATTTTCATTTGTTGCTATATTGCATCTCTCGGTTATCAACTTTTCAAATATATTTAACCGTGCTTATTCTATGTCATTATAATCTTTTCCTTTCATTGATTCAATGGTATTTTATTTCAAGAAAAGCTTGACCCCTTTAACCTACACGCTCATCTTGTTACTGCAGTACTACAAAGCACTATCGCACCCGAATTATCATATTTGATCGATATTATTTCACACCAAAGTTCATGAAAAAGCATATTTTGACAGCTAAAAAACCATCCTGATAAAAATGTGCCAAAAATACATTCTGCTCATCATGCACCTTTAATATTATTACTCTTTTCATTAACAACACTCATTGATTAGTGAAACTCGCAATTACTTCACAAAAAAATTGCTAATTTTTAAATTTTAAGCATTGAAGTATTCCATTAAAAATCAGTCGCCTTCGACCTTGATTTTCATCTACATGAATTTATGAAATTATTTCTTTACTGATTCAATAATATTTTTTCCAGTGACGGAATTAAAGACTACACTTGTAACAACAAGGAAAATCCTAAATTTTGTTTATACTTGAAGTCATTCAATTTTGTTTTTTTATTGTAACTTTAAGAGCATTCACTGCAATTAGGATTTATCAAAATGTGCCAAAAACCAATTTGGCAGGAAATTGAATGTAGTATTTGATGCGGAAGTTTGAAACATTACACATCCTTTCGAAGGGTCAAATTCTAAAACATAATATGTAAGATCTGAAGAAACTTCTAACAACTCTTTTAAACGGTTCAACACTGCAAGAAGAAAGTTGAAGGTAACATTTGCGGACCACTGACGAGCTTTTTTTGCGAGTTGTGGCACTTTAAACTGTTCAATACGAGTCACAATACCTGTAATAGGTTTTGCAATTATAGATTTTGGATTGAAATGAAAATATGAGAAACGCTCATCTACTATGTCAATATTATTCAACATAAATTGCAACGTACCGTTGTTATCTCTAAAGCCGACAACTATGTTTTGTATACCGATCAGAAAAGATTGCACCCACCACTTCATCGCTTTATATCTCCAAAAATTATCTGCTAGTTCCTTATACTGTGTCTTCAGTTCCACATATTCGCCTTCTGTTTAGAAATGCCTCATAAAATCAAGGAGTTAAGTCAGCTTATACAAGATAAAAGAATAACAATAAAATTTTTCCAACATTTCTCACTAATTTTAGCAGTTTTCTAACAATTGATTCGGCCTAACCGCCGAACTGGTGCAGCACAACCATCATAATTTATAAAACCTAATTATGAAGTAATAACGCTACGTTCCGAAATACGGCTGACTCCAGTTAAGTAACTTTTAATTCCATTTATCGCCTCCTTACTACATACTCTGAGAACTTTGAAATCGTAGGGGAAAACATACCAGCATCGATGCAATCGGTCTCACCAGAATACAGGATACGGAAACCATCCCTTCGTCCACCCAAGCGTGCTTTAACAATAACATCAAACTCCTCCAAATTCGTCACGGGTTCATTTCTGTTTGGTTCACTCTAGAAAATTCTGAACTGCAACATGTAGAGATCTTTATTTTCTCTTTATTCTTCAAATATTTTTAAAACGAACTTAAACCTCACGAAATTCACGGAAAAGTATTACCGATAACGAATCACTTGTCACGTACTGTTCAAACTTAAATCCCCAATATGTCATCAGTTTGTCGCGATCAGACATTGACTTCAATCGTAGGATTTTCTCATTGGTCGGAAATTCACAAATGAAATTTACAGATTTATACCGAACAACAGCTACTCGCCAACCATCTCGACACTCATATGGTGAACATGCAATTCGCGTCAGAGTACCACGCCAACAAACGAAATCAGCCCTATGGCAAACCTTGAAATGATGCAAATCTAATTTGTAAAATTTTCAAAAAAGCAAAAATAAATGAGATAAGCGGCAATACCGCTGAATGAAAATTAGCTTGTCGTGATCAAATAATACTTCAACTGCCATATTTCTGTATTGGTCGAGATTTTATTCCTAACACAGATTAATTGCAAATAGCAGTTATCTTAATTCATTCAAGTTATATTCATAGGAAAATATCAGAAATTTAGATATTATTATTAACAGTTAACTAATCATAGAATAATTCAATTATGATTCTGTGGATGAGTTTTTCTCTTTTCTAGTTTTTTTTAATTAGCAAGTTAAAAGGATGAGAGAAAACCAATAACAAAAAATACCTTCTCCAGAGAAGATTCAGGTTCACTATGTATAAGTATCCATTTCAGTAGTACGTCCAATTTTTCATTATGCAAAACATCTTTACTTTCAAATTGACGATAACCAATATTTAAATCGAAATTACATCGTTGCCCAATAACTTTCTCATGAAGATATTTTGCCCGGCACCTACCCGGCAACACATCACGCTGTTTGGTAACACACATTTCTCCGATCACCGATGGTTTATCGAATGCTGGAAATGTGCCCTCATAGAGCGATGGATCCGTCTTCAACAGCATCGAAAGCATTCTGAAAAGTTGCTAGTCATCTCCATCATTCACCATAATTGGATGACGTCAACAATTAAGATGATTGGGATCAAACGTCTATCCGTTTACGTTCTCTATTGTGCGTGTATGTGTGTGCATGTGTCTGTATGTGTATGTCTCTGTATGCGTATGTGTCTGTATGTGTATGTGTCTGTATGTGTATGTGTCTATATGTGTATGTGTGTATGTGTATGTGTATGTGCGTGTATGCCTGCGTTATGTAAGCGGAGAATATGGCAACTTAATTGCCGATGCAATCTGATGAGACAAAAATCGAAAGGACGCGGAACACAGTTTAGATTTAACGGTGAGAAATATGAGATTGATGTGCTGAGATTACGCAGAGAGGACATTCCTGAATTTTACGGGATAAGGTTGTTCTTGATCTGTTGGTTGTATGTTAATTGCAAATTTTTGCAGCTACAGTGGAAGAGAATGATCGCTGGCGATGATACTCTTAACGATTCTGAGGATATCGCTTCCTTGAAGGTAATTTGTTTTGCAATGTTTTTGTTCCATGCAGAATACTTTAGATAAATACTTTCATCGTTTCTCTGGTCTAGTCAAAAGAAGACATGATATGATGTCTGTTGTTGATCTTGCCAGGACTATAGAGATGAATCATCTTACCTTTAGGTTAATTGTGTCAAATTTCTACTCCAATTACAAGCACGTAAAACACTGAAGAATTTTTTTGATTCAGTAATACTAATGGAGAATTCAATAACTCAATTTTTTTTTCGAATTCACTAATAATATTTTTTTGTTTGAAGTTCTTATTCATATTTGTATTTTCCTTGCATATATCATCCTTGTCAGATTCCACAGAAGATACTTGATTATTCAGGATACGGATGGTATGACGGCAGTCGATTTGCATCTGGACGACGATCTTCCCCAGCCCAGTGTGCTTGCTAAGCTTTCATTTGCGGATAATTCAGATATAAATAACCCGTCCACGCCTTTATCATATTATTCAGAATCGCAAATTGAAATTGTCATCAAACAGTTCGAGAAGAAAGGAGAAGGGATGGGTGCTTACATTGTTTATAAAGTTGTGACAACGGTAAGTACTGACCTCTCTTGTTTAGGATCAAAAATTAGTTGACTCGAAATAGTACTCGTATTTAATTTTACCAGTAATGTTTGGTATTTGCAGACGCAGAACATGCAAGGCTACATAGATCGGGAATACGTTGTCTGGAGGAGATTCAGTGATTTCCTCGGCCTTCATGAAAAATTAGTGGACAAATACTTTTACAAAGGTTATTTAGTGCCAGCAGCACCTGAGAAAAGTATCGCTGCCCTTACACGAACAAAAATGAATGCATCCATGGATGATAGCACCAACAAGTTAATTGATTTTGGAATAAAATGTAAAGTATGGGACGAGCACCTTAAATTTTGTTTCTAAAACTGCTTTTTCAGTGAATTCGCTGAACGTAGAGCTAGAAGTCTTCAGAGATTCTGCAAGCGCATAGCACGTCATCCAAAATTGGTATTCGATTGTGACTTTCGCGATTTTTTAACAATGACTACTTCATTACCTAAGGCTAATTCAACTGTGGCTCTAAGTGGTGCTGGGGTTAAGCGGATGTTCAAAACTGTTGGTGATGTTTTTTCGAAAATGGCTTTCCATATGGACGAAAATGATCGTTGGTTTGAAGCTGCACAACAGCAAGTGAGTTTTTGTTATTACATTTTCAAGGAAGGACTCGAAGCGTTTTGGGTGGTTTTGCTTTGTTTTTTCTCTTATTTGTTGCCTTTTTTTTATCATTTATGATTTTTCTTTATAATCTTGCTATCACAATTAAACTACATTTTAGATGGAAGATATGGAACAGAACTTGAGTAAACTGCTTCGAGCAGTTGACTCATTGAGTTCATACCGACGTGAACTAATATCTGGAACAGATTCATTTTCGAAAGCGCTTTCAATGCTTTCTTCATGCGAGGAAAATACAAGTCTTGCACGATGTTTGTCGCATTTGACTGAAACATACGAGAATATTGATCAGTTGCATGGCATGCAGTCAGATAAAGACTGTGCACTGCTCGCTGAAGGAATCAGTGAACAGCTGCAAGTCATCTACACGTTGAAAGTACGCTGTTTAGCAGGTTTAGACAACTAAGACTTGTCGTTAGTTTTAAATTAAAATGCATGAATAAAACTTTCGTCGAATCGAACACTTAAGCGCAAAAATGACTTATTTTGTGTAAGGCTATTTCCCCACTTCCATTTTCCAGCCCTTAGTCTTCATCTTTTTTAACTGTTGTAGTGCACTTCTCTCACACTTGCTTCCTTCCCTAAATGTTTTCATTATTTCATATTTATCGTTTCTATAATAGTCATTTTGCATAAAAAGATTTTCAGGAACTCTTTTTTGAGCGTGTTAAAATTTGGCAGAATTGGCAAGGTGCACAGCAAAATCTTACAAGAAAACGAGAAATGAAGGCTCGTCATGAACTTTCTGGACGAACCGATAAGGCTAATCAAACCATAGAGGAGCTCAGTAACGTATGTTTCTTTCATGATAGGCATTTGAGTGGAGATTTTTGTATTTAGCGCATAATTAAGTTAGCTCAAAAGTTTGAATGCTAATTGGTTTCGTGATGACCCCTTAGACGCCATTGGATTTTATATCGTGTCGAGAAATGAACATTCAGCTAACACTAATTACATTTTTTGGCTTTTATAATCTTTATTACTTCATTATCAAGTCCAGGCAGAGAAAGCAGTGGATGAAGTGGAGAAAGAATTTTCTGAAGTAAGCAAAGTTATTCGCGGAGAATATGAAACGTTCTTGGTGGAGCGTAAAAATGATATGAACACTATGTTTAAGCAATACCTTCAAGAACTTCTTGAGACGCAGAAACAGCTGCTCAGATGCTGGGAAATATTTGCCCCAGAAACACAATCTATCGAAACGATCTAACTTTTCGAAAAATATGGGACCCTATCCAAGCTGTGATGTCTTCATGCTCGTATATCGAATTAGCTTATTTTGTTACAAATAAAGATGAACCCTGAGTGATTCGATTTCTGTATATCCATTGGATACGGATCATATTCAAAGATTATTTTTTCGATATAGTATGTGGTGAATATTTTAAAAGAACAAACAGGAGAGTTCAGTTACGAGCTGATTTGGAATAAAATGAAAGGTGATGTGATAACTCCATGGATGGGGAACTTTCGAATAATTATGAGAAAGAAAAATTTTCAATATGTATTTGGCGAACTATGTGGGAAGTTATATATATGCTACTTTTGTCACAAGCGAGCAGACAAGAAAGTGTATGTCATGTAACAAAAAGATAATTCTATGTCATTACAAATTTCGATCGCATCCCCTTCCTTACATTGAAGTCTGTGCTAAAACTATTTTTACTCTATGAAATAAGTGAAATCCTAATCATGATTGAGCAAAAAGTTCTTAAAACAGATATAAGATTTGATGACCTCAGTGCATTAACACATGTGAAAAAAAAAGGAAAGATACAGCGAAAGATTAGCAGAGCTAGTACTTTCCTGGAAAATCACAAACTTCATCGTTGGAATTTAAGGAAAAGAATGTTTTCTTACCAGTAACAATGCCTTCAAATAAAGAATAAAGAAGGACCTCATGAGCTATGCTCATAATTCAAGAGCAATCAGAACTCGGTATGTGTGACTATTGGAAAAGCGTGAGCTTCAGTATTAAATACCCATTTATTCAAAGGCATTACACTGTCGTCCGAAAAGATGAGGTATAAATACTTGAATGTTTCTGCAAATAAAAAGCTTTGCTGCACATCGTCGTGTATTACTTCTGGATTGTATACATTTTTTATGCCGGAATATCTGAAAAGTCCAAAGCAATGAACTTCGCCAAACTGATTATTATTAAAAATTAATAAACTGGCCAAATTTTGATCTTCGTATTCCAATCTCTGAATATTCTAGAAGCAAACATGTGGTAAAAATTGACTAAAAGATTGTACAATGAAAACGAAAATAATTTGAGGACCAGTTTTTTAAAGCTATAGTTTATCTCCTCGTGCTTCTATGGTTAGCTCTCCGCTGAGGCACACATAATAAAGGGGAGTGAAAAACTTTCCAGTGTCTTACAACATATGAAACAATGTCACCAAGTTTTTTGATTACGCTGTTGATCAATTAAAAACTAACCCTCCAGCTGTTCGACAGTATTTTTCAATATTTTTGGCGGCCGTCCAACACCACTCCCTGTATTTATTTTTTCGTGTTGCACGCCATAGATAAAACCATCCTTCAATCACCTAAAACTGAATCAATTAACATGATGATTCCTATTTATCAAATGTCTTTCCTAAATGTATATTTTAATCGATTAGAAAAATGGAAAAGAATAATTCCAACTTCAGGTCGAAGAATGTAGTATTTCTCATTATCCCTTATCGCCATCACCTCCACTTCGTCTGTGAATCGAAACGATTCAGGACCAATGCCTGTAGCTGTAAATTAATTATATTTAATATTTGAAACCAAGCTACTTTCTGTGCAATTCAATTTTAAAACATAGTTTGTTTTCAAACATATTAGAGGAACAGAAATATTACCAGTTCTAATATATGACTCGTGACATGTATTGGCGATTTCTTCCGCAAGCTTTAACGTATCATTGCGTCTCTTCATATCATTTTCATTTAAGGCTTCGAGAGCGAGCAAACCAACAATAAAACATGCCAAATGATCCATTTTGTGCACCTCACGTTTTCCCTTTAACTCTGAAGCAGCTTTTTTCAAATTTTTCAACATACGAGGTATAATATTGCATAATGTTAGATGAAGAATAAGAGCAATGAAAACTACAAATAGTTTTTGAACAAAAAGATAGAAAGTTACTAACCAATAAAATACGCGAGATGATTTTGCCTTGAATAACGTAATAAATATTTCTTGATTGCTACTAACGCTGCATCATACATTTCTTTATAAACTGTATCATTTTTACCTGATCTAAGCCATGATTTCAGAAGATATTCATAAAAGCTATCACCCAGTGCACCAACTGAGACATGCTCTGAATGAAAACACAGTTGAAATTTTGAATTGTTGTAGCGTAACAGTATGTTATGAGAATAAATCAGGAGGAATGAAATACAGTTGATATACTACTTATTTCATGAAATGGATGTATTAATGTAATTGCACGCAATTGTGTTATCAGGAATGATGGGTTATATTGAATGAGCGACAATCTTGAAGATAAAACTTCGAAAATAATGTGATGGCAGAGCAAAACTTACTAGGACCCCATTTCCCAGATTTTGGATTCAAATAATTCGGATAAAGTCCATCTTCTGTCCTTACAGAAAGTACCACTTCTCGTATGCGTGCAACCTGCAAATCGAAATCTAAGAACGAAATGTGATAAAAAGAAATAATGTAATTGGATAAAGAATCAGCAAACTAGATTTGATTAAATTTACAAGGAACATCACGGAAAAGTCTCGAATTGCAAAATAACTAGCCGCTCAAATATTCCCTCAACAAACTTTTCCAGAAGACAATGCAAGTATTTCAAACATTAATAACTGCGTCAATGCAATGCACAGATACTCGGTATCTACAGCCGTTTCTAAAATTCAAAGTCATGACTTCCACCCCAACATATATACATTATCAACAAATCAGTCAACCAAAACAGCAGTATTTAAAAACAAACCTTATTAGAATAAATGGAATTTTGAGTGAGGTGAGATAAATAATCTAATTCCAACTGCAAGGAACCAAATTCTGACAATATCGAAAAACCGCCATTAGCCCAACCCCAATTATGGGACTGACCCGAAACAGGATTAACTAATGCGTGAGGTATACCAGTTGGTGTCTCAAAAGCTGGTAACAATATATTTGCGACATCAGTTGCCTTTTGTATATACATCTGTAAAAACTACATGAATACACTGTTTTGAATGAGGTGAGATAAATAATCTAATTCCAACTGCAAAGAATCAAATGTTGACAATATCGAAAAACCGCCAGTCCAACTCCAGTCATGGGACTGACCCTTAGTATTCCTTGCTGGATATCACATTTACTGCAGAGAAACAAAAAATGAATTTTAACTGCTTTGAAAAGCACATTACAACTTCCAAATTACATCATCATGGATAGAAGAATAGTTAACAGTTAACATTGCTTATAAAGTGGAAAAATGAAAAGTGCATAACGAAAAAATGAATTATTTTTCTTTAAATGTGTTCATTTTTAATGAAAACACTCAGCACCGCATTACTCCACAAGCATTCTTTGGTCCAAACATCGAAAGTAACTAAATCAGTAAGTAAAATTAAATAATTACCTTATCTTCAGTTAAGGCATAAGCAGCCAATAAACCTCCAACGAAACGGATATTTGTCTCAAAAACAGATATATCAGCAGCCTACAAATGAAAACTTTAAATAATTACAAAAGAAACCATATTATAATTATATTCTTCACTTTAATTTGATACAATATGACGACAACTTGCTTGACAAAGATCCCATTTCCTGTGAAACTTTTTTTCCTTATTTTCTAAATGCATGATTTTTTTACAGGGAGGACTGAGATGCTTCGACAGCACCATTAATAAGCATAAATATCATGAAATCCAGTGCAACTTGGCTTTGACAATAAACCTTCTCCAAAAGACTCACTAGTCCAATAAATTCTGAGAAACGTCCAATTACTTCCGTTTTTGAATTTTTTGCGTTATTTCATGAAAAACAGCACTAATTCTGTAGATCAACTCAGTCCCCAAGGTTTGTTTTCCCCACTGCCCATCGTCTCAACCTATTTGGAGAAATGACCTTCTTCCTCTTTCGAAATGTTTACTCTCTTTAGTTACGACATACTGCCTTGAAGCATCACTTAAAGAGAAAAAGTGGTCTAAAGTTTGTTCAGAAATTAAACGCTTTTATTTCTTGTCTTTAGGTTTTCTACAAATCAAATACTGCACTTATAAATGATTCGGATGCACCATGGAATTTGTTTAAAAAAACTTACCGAAACTTTTAAATCAAAAAAGTTTTGCACCCAATCTCGGCCTTCTTCATACTCTTCTTTTAGCCCCATAATGTATAAGGTATCGAGCGCGTCAACAATGGTCGCACCCAGTTTTCCGCTGCCAAATACTGATGCACTATGCTCAGATCGTGATAAAGGTTTCAATTCGTTGAAACCCCATGCATATTTTCGATAATTCTCCCAAGCAAATTTAGTCATCTGCAGTAGGAAATGTAATAAGATAAAGAGAAGTTCAACCATAATTTTTAAATTTAATGAAGAATGACTAACATTAAGGGATAAACGTAATATGCGTAATTCTGACTATTCATTTCAGTTCATTTTTTCTATAGTCTAAACTCCTTGTGACAGTTTAAAAGTTTCTCGTTTAAAATTCGATGTGTGCTAGATTACATTTCTCATCATTTCGTATTAGTGCAAATAGTTAAATAAACAGTGAAATAAAATTTTAAACTTTATTAGCAGTTACTTGGTTCTGCAGTAATCCAAGATAATATAAATTTTGACTGAAAAGGAATGATTCTCACTACGTCATTTTTATTATGAAAGAACAATTTTACTTATTATGAAAACTAACAAATCAAAAACCAAATTTCCAGGCAAAATTTTTGTACACAGGAGTTTCATTATCTTACGTAAGCTTTACCAAAAAATAGGCTTTTATAAAGCTAATGTAAGTAGGACTGACAATTTGAAAAATCTTAAGTAATGCGGAACGTATTCCTTGAAGCATGAAAAAAGCTAAAAATACAACTGAGGATTCCAACGGGCTCAAGCAGAATAGCCTAATTACTGGTAATCCTATTGCAGACGCATCCATCGAATGGCTTACATCTTGTGCAACAAAGCTCTTCTGCTAGCTAAGTCGCTGTGTAACTGTGCTCAACATGCAAATGCACTCTGCGGTAATGAATGCTCAGAGAATTTTCATGATTCATTCATTATAGGCTTCATTTAATTTTTTGGCTTCCAAAAAAGACGAAAATTTGCAGTATCTTGCATTTCTTTGCATTTAATCTGTTTGCCATAATTTCAAATAATTGTCTCAGAATCTTACAAACTGTGAAATTTATACATTAATTATGAATTGACGGCGCCAATCAGAACTGGTATCAAATTCACCTTCCACCTTCCTTTCTTCTCTAGCAAATTGAGATCTCACAAATTTAAATTCATGCCGTCGAACCTGAGCCAAGAAACGACTCTTGTCACTTCTGAATAATCGTCCGGATCTAAAAAAACTGATATTCTTTGGCTTTCAAAAATATAGGTGTTCTGAAGTTACGAAATTAACAAGTATCGAACTTCTAAGCTAAGTAAAATTTCATGTAAGAAAATGTTATAAACCGGTTGTATTAGCAGAATATTTGTAATTACATTAAAGAATAGGGACGTATTAATAACCTGAAGAAACTGTCGTCACCAGATGGCAAATAGTAGAGCGAAAAAAGGAATGAGAAGAAAACAGTTACAGCGATAAGAGTTGATTTTTTCCAGTAACGGACGACCATACTCCATCAGTCCTGAAAATTCAATTTTCTTAAGGGAAATTTTATTAAAGCAATAACAAACTTTTATTTTTGCATTAACATCTTGTTTCACTAGTTGAATGAAATGAAATAAAGTAGTAGCAGAACTATCAAAAGGAGCTTTTTCACAATAACTCTCAGACAGTTGCGTCACCATTAATATATAACTAATATATAACGCTGAGTGTTTAGCTTACTTTTGCGCTTTACTGTTTATTTTTTTCTATCGCGAAAGAACATAAGCAGCTAAAAGTGCATTATTACGGAACAGATTAGTTGAAATAGTTATGGTAAGAGTACACTGACATCTATCTCATTTCTTATTTTTCGTAATCATTCGAAACGTTTTCAATCACCGCTTCAGTCATATTAGAACTTTAAAGTCAACCTTTGTCAACCTTTTCCCCCCTAACAAATAGCAACATTTCGTTAATAATAAGTAATAATAAATTGACCTCTATTTATTCATGTTTTGACTTTCCTTTTATAGGCAAAGGTTGACTTTGAAGTGTTTCTTATGTGAAGTTATTTTCTCTTAATGTCACAGAAGCAGTCAAGCTCTAACTCCTTGCTCAGTTCTCCACTAAAGGGATGTTGAATAGTAGTACAGTTTAGATTCCATTCACGGCTTACTTCATTTAGCCAGAAGTGGAGATCTGAAAATAATCTCGCTGTGGACAATGAAATCTCACCTGAAAGATGACGTCACATATACTAACTGTTGCAATTAGCTCCACGCTAACTTCACTTTCTCAGTTGGTCTGAATATTATGAGACCAGAATGATTACTGTATAGAAATGGCCAATCTTTGACTCCTCAATATTCAAGCAACTAAAGTATTCGTCATGAGAGCCTGCAACATGCATGGCTCTTCTCAACAAGCAATCCATGCACTCTGTTGACAAAGAGAACATTGGCTGATCCTTTCAAGGGCATCATGGTCTCTACGTGCAAGACAGGGCCGCGTTAATATAACTTGCGAATGAGGGTCACAGTCGTTCACGTTCAGTAAACGGTTTAGCGATATATTTGAAGAAAATTCACTTTTGTACTGCCATCAATGAAAATTGCTACAACTAGTCTCCGATATTCTCTTTGTGTATCATATTATTAGGATGACCCGACGTGGTGTCTGACTATGATGACCTAATAGATGCCTTCCATAATGACTGGTACTTAGCCTTTGCTAGCATGTCTCTATGTTTAATCAAAACATTCATATTGCACTTTGTCGATTTTCTGAATTATTAGATTGACTTACCTAATACTTTTATCTGTTAAACTCTGTCAAATAGATCATGTTCTTAAATGTGAAAAAATTGCTGTGTGTTTTGCATAAACAAATTGAAACTAGTCGGATATTTAGTTTAAAAAAAGAAATAAGTACTGTACGTGTCGATTGTAATACCGGTTTTAACCAGAATGTTTTGCATAAACCACTGTGTTAGTTTGTTCGAGAGACGAATCACAAAATGTTTATAAGAAACGGAATTTTCAAAGTTTTACAAAATTCTACATAATCTATCCAGACAAATGACTCCATATAAACAATTATATACAATCGTATTCCTACTACGTTTATCACGTTATATCACAGTAAGGAAGGGAAGGCAGTAGGTCACGTATTCTATACCTTGCTCGCAGTATATGACGTACATCGCTTTTCTGCAACATCTTGTTTTAGTAGATGTGAGAGGCAATCCTCGCACTTAATTCAATAGTCCAATCATATCTTCTCATAAATAAATTGAAATAAATGTTAAAATTATCATGTTTGCTTAGTAACTATCTCATAAGCTATCGTCACTTCTAGTCAGACTCACGTTGCATCTATGATTTAGAGTAATTTGTCATGATATGTCTAAGTTCTCTACCTGATTGGTAATTTGTTCCAGAAACGGTATTAGTTTCAGTAATTCTTGATCGTCCTGTTGGAAAAACCAGCTTTCAATAGGTATACCGTTATCGATTTGATATGCAAATGACTGCAAGGAATTGTCGATAATTATTGTTTTTGACAGATCTCTACCCAAAATGGTCAAATCCTTGATATAATTCCCATATACGAATACGCAGTGCTCTCTGAAGAGTCGATGACGTATTAGTCGCTTCCCGGGATCAAGTAGATTCTGTAAAAATATAAGGATAACGTAATTTATAAACTTAAATGCAGTCATAAAGTTTCACACAGTACAACCTGAAATGGCTCATATCTGATTTAAAACATTTTTTATTTATATGATTTCTTTTGTAGTGAGTAACCTACTTTTTGCGCTCATCTTAAGTAATTCGAATGCTGGGAAATTCTTTCATCTCTACCAATCTTATTTGCTGCCAATCACCGAATATATATTTTCCTTTTCGATGACTCAAGCTTCATTTGTATTTGATGAATAAAGTACGATGACAAGGTAAAAGACTTTTGTAGCTTCAAAACACCTTAAAGAAAGATTTATTGCCTTATAGCTTTTTTGAATCTTGAATAAAAAAACTCAAAGCTCTGAAATAGATCATCCATTGTTTTAGGGTCTCAAATAGATTACCAAGAGTTTATCAGCATAAACGCGTTTACTTGCTGTGAATAAGATGATTTCAAATGAGCGCGATAATCGTTCCAAAAATTCTTGAAGATGTGGCCGTACACGGACGTAAACCTTTAATGCAGCACACATGAATCCAAAATTTAGAAATGTTATGAATTTTTACATTTAGATATCACATTTTCAAGAATGTAAATAAAAGCCTGCTTCTCAAACATTCGTATTTTAACAAAGAATCTGATGTTTTTTATTATTGTATATCAGTATTTATTATTGATAATAATCATTTTGCATTACTTTTGATCTATTCTCCGAGAAAAATCATTAGGTTGTTCAACTCGTAGTGTAGTATTTTTCTAATTTTAATATGTGCATATTGATGGACCAAATAAAGGGAGTAACAAGACATAATAGCCCTTTCCGTACCAGTGAATGTTTTAATGCCCGGAGCTGCAGGATGGCAGTGGAGATAGTTTCATAAGTGCTATGCCTGAACATATCATCCAGTAGTAATTTAGTTCACTTTTATACATTTCGCTAGGAAATGAAAAACGTCTTAGTACCTAATTCGTACTGCATAAAGCTCAACAAATCTGAGTACTTAATACAATTTTTCTCTGTTAAGAAATGAATAAGGTTTTCTTCCCTCAACATTTTGAAGTGAACTTTATAGCTCAGTTTAGCTTTATAAAATACAAAAAATTAAAAAAGTGGTGCAGAAATATTTTATTTCTCGAAATGTTTAGATTTGTATAGCTAATCTAATGAGCAATAACCATTTGCTTACTTGGTAAGTATTTTCCTGAAAATGCACCGGAAATGTTAAAGAAGCATCGGGTAGTTCGGTTAAACTGCAATGTACCAATGTTTCATCCTACAACAAATTATTTTTCCATAAGTTAGACACTGTTTACTCGTTGCTTACAAATTTATTGTCGCCATTTCTTTATCTTGAGAAATTTTGGTATCGGAAAATCGCAATGGTATAATTAGCGTTTCTGCGATGCTATATGAATCTGTGAAATTTTGAATTATGTATTAACGGAATGACCGTAACATAATTTACTGAGCAGTAAATTTTATAGCGGAACTGACCAAATCGAGGACCAGAGAAAATTCTGGTGTTGAGCGTGTCCGAAGCGGCAACGCTGGGCACCGGTAGCGCATTTCATCACTAAGCGGCGGTAGGTGTCGTAACAAAAATATTCTGAATTATAACGGTTTTACTATCGAGATTCCATCATAGAAAATGAGACCTTTTCTATAACTTTATTCGTAAGCTGAGAATTTTTAAATGATTTAATATCGAAACTAGAAATATCTTCCTGATAAGATTCATGAAAGTATCTTTCATATATTAGATTTCAACTTCTACTCTTCCTCCTTTCTCTCTCGAAGAATACCAGAACTGTTAATGTCAAAAATATGGGAGATGTGTTAAAAATAATAAATATTAATCGCGGTGATATAGTATAACTGACTATTTCCATTATGGTCGCATTTAAAAAATGTTTTTTAGGAATTTAACTTATGTTTGTCTGTGAAATGTTATGAAATAGATAGACGACAATAGGGTGGATGTATCACCAAATACGTGTGAAATAAGATGACAGGTGAAGATGAAGAATGGATAGAAAGAAAGAGCAAGTTCAGCTAGTCTCCAGTAAACAAAATATAAGATGGGAAGTCGTCAGAGAAGTTGATCTGTATCTCCCACATGTTTTGTATCAGTGGGATTATTTGCATAAATAGCGGTGATGATAAGAATGATAAAAACAAGAACTTACGAGTCAGCATCAATGACCGGATAAACATGCCGAAATGTTTCAGTTTCGGAAGCACTGCAAATGATTGGTGTATCAGTAGCTTCATCCTGCTGTTGCTGCTGGCTGGCACTGATGGTGGAGTATTCTCGGTGCAGCCCCTCCGAGGAGGAAATTCTCCTCTTCCGTCCTTCTTTTAAATTCAGCAAAGCTCCTATGGTAGCTATCTGAAATCACGCGATCTGTTATCATCATTGGCATTACTGAGAATCATGGAAAGAATGATATATTGATAATGATAATAATATGATATCATAACGAGTTACGCAAAAGAGGACAACAATCAGACCACATGTCCTGTTCTACCGCATTTTTCTGCATAAATTGTGAGGGAGGAACGCAAGAAGCGACAAACAAGCAAGCCTCTAACATCCACATCGACGCAACATTTTGCAAATTACACTGGAGAGTAGGTTGCAGTTAGCTGGCTCTTGCAACCTCCAAGCAGACAACGGCAGTCATCCCATTAACTAGTCTCCGTCACCCACCAATCGATCGATGTATATGCATACCATGCTATATTGCTCACTCTACTAACCACAAAATGTTGCCGATCGATCCGTCCATCGATCGATCGACTGACATGAGACAGCATGACTGACTGGCTGCACCCTACAGCTGTTTGAATACGCATGCCTTTTATGTTTACCGCATATATGCATATAAGTATTTCTGCTTGCCGGCCTGCATTCTTACTTGCTGCATGTTTAGCAGCTGGCAATATCACTCTAGTCGGCATTCCTTCATCTCGCTTCACATTTCGTTGCCTTGTCATTCTGTCAGTGTCACTCTTCAATTGATATGTTCTTTTACCGTTTATATGAACACTATCCTCTCTAGAAAAGAGTTGATAAGATTGAAATGAAATACTTACAATACTTCCCGGATAATTTGCTGATAATCTCCAGAGGCGTTAATGTCATTCATTTGTAACCATTAGTGAATAATTTTAGCACCAAACTATCTGAGGATTGAAATATTCGTCGATTGATATCGATGGACCACTAGGTTACAGATTGACATTATGTATTTGAAATGTTTATTTCCAAATATAACTATGTTCGGGGATCCTGATGAACTTTTCTAGTTCTCGAGTCGTAGTTTTGTAGAGGCAAAGTGAGTACAGCATTTGATTGATTATCCATTTTTTGCATTTTTTTTTTTTTGATTGATAACTGTTTGGAGATGGTGAAAAGAAGAAAAAGATCCAAATATGCATCCGAGCAATCTTCGAGCATTAATAAACGCTTCAAGGCTGAATCGGAACTGCACCAAGATAATGTCCAGGACTCAATTTCTAAGAATAGTAAGCGTCATAAGAATTCTAAGAAGTTTCTTTGAATTTTCGGACATTTAGTAATTATGCCAAAAACTCTCATGACAAGCGGTCTGATTTTTGAATTTTAAAGATGTTTCGGAGAACTTATACGGCCGAGAAAAGGAAGTAGCTTTGTTGGAAAAGCTTCTCCGTGAAGGCATAGTCAATCATTGTCCTGCATCAATTTTTATATCCGGGCCACCAGGCACTGGTAAAACTTTGGCTGTCAAAACAGTTTTGCAGCATATGTTGTTACAACACAGGCGAGTCATACTATAGTTTTAATGTAATCCTTTTGGATATTTTTCTAATCGATGGTGATATGCCTGTTTGTAATCTAGTTTTTATCTGCTCTGGCATTGGATGGAGAATTGTGTAAATGCTAGGGTCCGCTCCGTTTTTTCTTATTTTGTAATATTAATTATAGAATTAATAAGTGATGAATTACCCAGTTTTAAAATTGACTAAGAATTCTTTATCTGATCATTTTTGTAAGCTACCGTAAGTTTTTCAGTGTTCGTTCCACATATATTAACTGTGCTTCGGAAAATACTAAACGAGATATACTAACCGCTGTGTTAAATGATTGTAGTAAATCCAGCAAAAGACTTTCCGCAAAAAAATTGTTTATGGAATTTCACGAAGTGCTTGCGAAAATGAACAAACATACGTAAGTACCCGATTTTGCAAAATCTCTCGTCTAAGCTTATGTATTTTATGACTTTTGAGAAGAAAAATCTTATGACGTTGTTTCTATTATTGAAACCAATTTAGTACAAATAACGAATATTAATTTCCAGTTTATTCTAACGTTAGAAGCCAAATCATTCACTTTGATTAGTTTTTAGTATTGTTGTGCTTGATGAAATAGATTACGTAAGACCGAAAGATCGTGATTCTGTTTGTTCGATGTTTCAATGGCCTGTTCTTTATGAGAATATTTCAATTATTGGTAAGTGTTTCATTAACAATTTTCCTTTAAACTAGTGGATATAAATAGACAACTCCTCACTCTCTTATTTTTATTTCTCTGAATTATAGTATTCACATTTCGTAAAACAGCTCTAATTTACAATTTACTTTAACAAAAAAGACGCCTTTTTATGTGTTCAAGTTACGAAAAAATAACCAAGTAATTTTGAAAAGTTATAGGATTCAAAAAAAAAACATTATTTTGTTACGTCAATACTTTTTACAAAATTCTTACTTCTGCCTTCAATGTGAACTGTTATAAATTGGAACAAAACTCATTTTAGGTATTGCTAATACATTATATATGATGGAACTACTGAAGCATAAATTGAAGTCTTTACCAGAACTGATAGTTTTTGCTCCATATACTGAAGTTCAATTACAGCATATATTGTCAAAGAAATTGGCAAGTACTTAATAAATATAAAAATGTTTTCACATATGCGTTGTCGATTAGGACATTAACAAAAATTTTTTATGATTTACTTCATTATTTATACTTTACTGCTGAAGAATGCTTGATTTGAATCAGAATTGTCTTCCAATAATAGCAGTGAGATAATGTATCCTTTAGCATTTGTTGATATGCTCGTATTTTTTGGTAAGAAGGTTGACAAAAAATTATAAAATACTTGTTATTTTAATATATTTTTCATACTAATTTTCATTCTTTTTGTATTTAAAATTCGTTTAACTTTAGAGGACTAATAGCGATGAGAATGCGATTGAACTTTGCGCTCGAAAAGTAGCTGCGGTAACAGGAGATGCGCGGAAAGCAGTACAGGTTGCACGACGGTATTTATTCTTTAACAATTTTTTTCGAAAATATATTGATTGTTTCTTTACTTTCTTTATTTTGTCTTTATTTTGGTCTTTTTTGCTTGCTATCTTTCACTGCTCTTTGCAATTTTAGCTCTCTGTCGATAGATTTAACTGGAAAAACTTCTTGTCGAAATATCTTTGGAACGCTAAGTAGTGTTTATGGTTCTCCGCTGCTGCAGGCAAAAATACCATTACAACAAAAGATACTTCTGGCAACAGTGATTCGTCTTGCTGGCGATAACTCCTGCACTATGGTTGAAAAAGGTTTGTATAGGTTTGAATTTTGTTTTTTGGTACATTTCTGTATCTTTTACTATTTATTAAAGTATTCAGTTAAAACTTTTTGTTAGGAAATATTAAATGAAGTTTAAATAAAATAGTAAATTGTGGAGAACAACCACAGAAAACCACGTATAAAATACCCTGATATTACTTATTAAAGTGGTTAAAAAATATTAAATTGGTTAATATGACCATATTGACATGCACATACAATCCTAAAATCGTTCGATTTCAGTGAATTGTTCTTTCTGTGACTAAAAAATGTTTATTGAAAATCATCCATTTCCGATCCTTTCATTTGAAGCTAGTTTTTTCTGTAAACGAGTGCCACTTTATGTTCTTTCATATACTGTTTTTCTGGTAATGTACTGTCGGTCATATCACATTTCTTTATTGACCGTGTTCAACTGCAACTTTCAATAAATGGATGGTTAAATTAAATTAATTAATTAATTAATTAAACTTATCTACTGTTTTTTTCCTTGCAATTATAATAACGTAATTAAGCCAGATTAATGTAAATATTCTGTTTACTTAAATTTTAGATTTACATGTCTCGAAAGTCACTGTTTTCAAAGTGTATCTCTTTAAAGGTTGTCTGTTGTCAACTTATAAGAAACTCTGTGAGCGCTTATTGCTGCCAGCACTTGAAGTGGATGAAATACACGAGGCATTATCGTTGCTTGAATCACAATCGATTTTAAAGCAAAAATCTTCCTCATATCAATTGCTCGTTGACAAAGCAGCGGCTGCAAAGATGATCGCTGATTCTTCATTGCTTTCACAGATTAATATAGTACGTTTAGATGAGAAGTAATAGCGTTGATTTAGGTAAGAATAATGACATTTATAATTTAGAATGCCTCGATCTCTATTCATGTTTCTTTATTACTGAAATAAACATAGGCATGTGAATTACATGATTTGATCTTTCATATTCTGTCGATAATCTATATCGCAAGTTTTAAACTGAACAACTCTTCATTTTCTCTTCACTTTTCAATTAAAAAATTTTTTTTGCGATCTCGTTTTATGCGCTCAAATAATTACCACTGTTATTTTTTCCTTGTTGCACTTTCCTTGCTATTTGAATTGTCAAATTGTTTTTGGAATAAATTGGTTTGGACATGATTGTTTCAAGTATCATGTATTTAGCTGTGTCCATACTGATATAATTCTTTTTTGTCGGAGGCTTAAAACAAGTTTCTCTCTCTATAATGTCTCTGATGTCGGAAGACGTAAAAGGTTCTCGTCATTTAACCTTTTTCAAGATTATTCGAAGAAGCGACCGCTTATGTGCGTCGATCCAAATATGTCTTTAATAAGTTATGGTACTTTCCAGAATGCGCCCACTGTCTGATGAAGAAGCAGAAACGGTTTTTAGAAAATTAGCGCATTACATTGGCGATCATGTAAGGTTACTGGTTGAACGAGGAGATGCCGCTTATTGTTTCAGGTTACACAAGGTGGTGTTTTGAATTACCAAATCGGAAATTCCGATTACTAAATAATACTGAAAACTTTGAAGGATCGAGTATATTACTGCACCGAAAAACTAATGCGGAAGGCAGCTTGTGTATCACGAGAGCCATTGCTCAGCTTTGGTACATGCCTTGGCAAATTTACGAAAACGAAGAAATTCCGAATGCATATCACTGCGCTCGATTATATAGCACCTTACGCTAAAGTATGTCTTTAAAAACTAGATAGGAGATCAACGATCATGAGAAGTGTTAGGAGTGGTACGACAGTTTGTTTATTTTTCAAAGCTGGAAGAATTTCAGCGTAATTTAGTGAGATTTATTTCTCTTTGATTATGGGAATACTTCATTTAATACATCCTTTAGATCTTATCAAGTGAGCATTTCCTTGTGGTATCTGTACTTTTTTTCAATTTTAGTGTAAAATATGGGTGAAACCAAGTGCAGAGCAGCAATTCTTGTACGGTAACAATGTACTGAAGTCGGGAATGAATCGAATGACAGAAGGTGCTGAATCCCACCAAGGAGTTGTAGTATATAATATGAACGATTTACCACTTGGATTTGGAGTTACAGCAAAGGTACAAAGAATTTTTTTTTTTAATTTCTTTTTTGAAATCGAAGGCTTTCTGTAACATGATTTGCCGAATTTATTAAATATCCGTTACCTTTCGACGTGAGAAGTCATAGCAAGCATCTCATAATTCCGGACACGCTACTAGAGCGTTATCTAGCTTATATTTCAACTTAAGACATTGAAAAAATTCGAGACTTGGACCTTGATTACACTCCGTCTGTTAAATTCATATGAAAGAAAATTAAAATTAGAGCATGAGATAATTCCATTACAAATAATTTTGTTGAAAAGATGTTTATTTAGAGTACTGCAGAATGTAAACGTGCTGATCTAACATCTGTTGTTGTACTACACCAGGCGGATCTCGGAGAGTATATTCGTAACGAAGCTATGTTGACTTAATATATTTCCATCATAATAATATCTGTCTTATGCCCGTTTTTTTATTTTGAAAATCTATAAATCCGGATGGGATGGAAAAATTCGTTAAAATTTCACTGCTGTGAGAGAATGAAATACATGAAGTGCTTTTAAATTAGCAAAAGACAGTTTTGACAAAAACATGTTAGAATTTGGATTCTTGAAAATTGGACTCCTTCAAAAATCAAACTTCGGAATAAAATTTCGCTAAATTTGCACTGGCACCTTTGGTTATACCCAGCTTTTCGGAGAGAGCTGTTGCTCGGTGTTGCTTTGGAAGGGAAGCGTAAAAACCTGCGAGTGCTGCAAAGGATGGAAATCGATCAACAATAAGTGATGCTTTCTGTACGCTGATCTGCGGGCATACGACAAGCTGCCGCAAGAAGACATCTTTGACGCTACGGGACTGAGTTTTTTTCGACGTTTTTTGGAATTTCTCAAAACTCATCCCCGTGAGCTGAAAACAGAAAAGTAGAACAAATTCGCTTTCCCGAAAAGTTTTTTCAGTCTCTGCTCCCTATGTTTTCGCGATTTACAAACTACTAGCGATATTAGATGAATAAAGCTGACCTCTTTGATAGTTGCTTTTTTTATTAAACGTTCCGAAATTTTAAATAAGACGAGTGACGTATGCTCCACATCGCTGGTACAATAAATCAAAAATCTGCAATTCGGCTGAAATGATATACATAGTACTGTTAAAGACACATAAGACCACAACCAATAGCTAAAAAACAAAAAGCTTTGTTGGCACTGTGGGAACAAGTCTATGGAAAACAAAGTCATTTAAATTTTAAGGACGTGCCGGTTTTCTACATGAGTAGTAACAAGTGCTTGTTCAAGAGCAGGCTCGGAAACCGTAGACCCTTCCAAAATATAAACTATGTTTGGAATACCGACTGATATCAAACGTTGCTTCTGCTCTTCATACCTGGAATTGCAAACGATTTAATGATAATCAAAAGTAATTACTTTCAAAAAATCATTTTCACGAAATGAATGAAAGATCATAACTTCTCTGTACTATACTAGACCATAGATCGTCAAGTGTCTTCCGCTCAACAATGGTGTCAAGCACCATTTCTGTACCGTCACACATACGCATTATCCATAAGTAATCACCAACGGATAATGAACGCATTTCATAAAGAATCTTCTACAAATAAGTGATCTTTTTAGCACATTCTGGCATTCAATTTCCTACTATAATTATAGGATTTAATCGGAATTTATTTCCGAGTGCTTAGTAGTAAATGCACTGCATATTTTAGTTGAGAAAAATTTAGAGCTGAAGACATGGATGATAATGTGTATCTAGAAGCGGTAGTTCCAGAAAAGAAATCAGAGTTAATCAATTTTTATGGATGTTAGAAATTCATGCAGTCAGCAAATTTTCACGATCAATTCCCTAAAGTTTACCACTGACCTTTCTTTGGAACAAGTTGCACATCTGCTGGAATTTCCTAGCATTGGCACTTTCTCGATTATCAATAATCAGTATTATCTGAAGAAAAAATGAACTATAGCAAATAAATACAACTCAATCCTTCTTAATTTTAGGGATAGCATATATATTAAATGAATTAAAATGTAGATCATACTTGAGCAGTACTAAATGTAGAAGGATGGTAAATAATGCTGTCATCACATTCCTGCGATAAAGTGCAAACTTGTTCCAATTTATCATCCTCGGCAGTTAGACTAGTCCGTCCAACGTCTTCAGCTACATAATCCATCATTTTAACATTCAGTGCAGCAGGTCTTCGGACAACTTGTACTTCTCCGCAACACGGTTCATTTATGATCAATGACGAACCGCTAATATCTTCGATTTCCAGCGCTTTCTTCGATAATTGTAGTGGTTGAGCTGTCCTAATAAAGCGTTTACGTATGCGGCTATGACTCGGCTTCATATTCTCAACATCCAAACACTGAGTCAAATCTTTGACATTCCTTGATTTGATAAAGTTAACATTATCCGCATGCAACGCTTCCCCAGCTTGAGATGGTTCAGATTTTTTTTCTAGAAAACATGAACGATTGAGAAATTGTAAGAATTCCCCTTTTTTCATCTGATCGATTTGTTTCAAACTTGGTATAGTCAAATTTTGTGAGCAAAATACATTCCATGCTTCCTCAAGCTTTCGAGCTATTTGATCACCAATACCTAGAACAACTGAACATGAAATAACAATTAATGAGTCAAATTGTATGGGTGGAGATCAATGGCAATGGATAAGTAAATTATTAGCAAAAATAGAATATGTGATAACAGCTGCCACTTATGCACCATCACGTCAACGAGTAATTAAAGGATTGACCAATTTTCAACAATAAATTTTATTCTTTCTATTTTTAATACAGCTTATTTCTTATTCAAATGAGCTGTAATTTGCACTTCAATCAAGGTTATGCATTACTATTATTGTATTACATGCATCTTTTAGTGCCTGCCTTATTTGACCAGGTATTGTAATCAAAGAAGGCATGGCTCCTATATAGAAGAATAAGTGATCACCTCGAATATTTTTGAGATCTGTAAATGTAGCAATATCCAAAGGATATGCTTTCAAATTGATTAATGCTCGGCATAAAACAGAACGAAAATTTCGGTCATTTACACTCTCTTTCCAGTCCATTAATAACCCTATATAAAATTTGTTTCGTGGGAAAATACGACGTATTTTCACTCGATTCATAAGCCTTTTCGTGACTATAGAGAGTACCCGGAATCTCTGAAAATTTATATAGACGTAACATCGAACCGATCATGCACAAAAATTCAACATTGCAATCTTTCAGTAGTACTCACCTCGCTATCTCAAAAGTCAATATATGTCGCTGTACACAAAGGAACCCTTAGCTGTGAATCAGTAGAACGATCATTCCAAAAAGTATGTACCTAAAGAAATTCACTGTTCAAAGTGCTTATCAAAATTCCTTTGTCGGGTAATAAGTTAGATCAATATCACTTGATACTGATGTCCCATAAGTAAAAGAAACCAAAAACTGCAGTCGGGCATAACCTGGTAAAAATTTGACTTTCTAAGCAGGTAAATAAAAAAAATCAACATTTACTTAATCAAATAAATCCAACAATGAAGAAAAATGCAAGATCATTGTATTACCTCGTCATTGTACAGGACATGAACAACAGACGATGAACAAATGAACAATGACAAGCAGCACTGAAAATTTCAATATTTCACCTAATTTTGCATTTATTTTTGCGCGCATATATTGAAATTTAATTTGAACAAAATTAGAAAATACTTGGAAACTTGACGAATTTTCTGAATTGAGTAGAAATAGGAGTGATCATGGAGTTCTTTCCCACATGTGCTCTTTTCAGTTCTACTTTTCTTTAGTTTATTGTTGCTACATCCTTCTCAATAGCGAATTATTTTGTAGAAATGTTATACGCTGCATTAATCTGATTTGAATAGAGGTACGGAAATCTTTTGGCAACTTAGTCCAATGTGTAATTGTATCCTTATAACAGTAAGCATCGCATAATAAACTGAAGTAATCGTAATAACACTCTGAAGCAATCTTAGAGAATTGTGGGAGTTTACTACTGATCTTTGCAAACACCAAGATGACTACATCGGAAAGAAAAAAAAAATGATTTGCAAATCAGGCAGTTCCAGAAAACAGTATAAGAAAATCAAACAAGAAATGGTTAAGAAATGAAATAAAAATGTGAACCAATTAATAGAGGTATATTGACTGCTACACCGGGCTTTACACTTACATGCACCCAGAGAGGCAAAATATTTTGCATGCAAATAGCAAAGTTGAAAACATGTCTGACAGCTAATAAGAATCGAACTACTATCGAGTCTGATGTTTTAGTTACTTAGATGGTATGAATAGATAACACCGAAAGCAAGTCTATGAAAATTGCCTAATATAAAAAAATGACACAGTGGCTTCGACATAAACGAACTCAAACTCATCCTTAATATAATTCAATGATCAATCCTATACAATAATTCAAGTATTATCAGTAGGAGTTATGAACTTTATTCTTTCGTGAGTATTGGCCATCACCGAGTCGTGCCAGATATTCCGCCACGAACTTCCGTGCTTTATCTCGTACTGATTCTGTGACTTTAAGTTCTGTTTCACCGACTCGTTTCAATTCTTTCTCTAATATCGTGTGTGTCAGCTGCAAAATAATAACTTAGTATGAAAGCATTAGTCTCACCATTCCTCGCGAATTTTAAACACGTTGTGAACTATCGGTGCTACATTTTTTTCGATATAAATGATGACACTTCTACTATGTATATTATTCGAGCAAGATAATGGAAGTCATGTAGATCCTGGGTAAGTTTCAGCAAGTTTAATTCTATAAGTTGATAGTTCTATCTAAAATCCAAATCAATCTTACTTTTCGTAAAACATATTTATAATCATCAGCTGATGCAAATTTCAGCTTTCGAATTGGTTCTAACATGCCTCCGACATATTTCACTATCTCAACTTTGAATGTTGCACGCGTATCAATGCGATCCGTTGTAGTGTCAGCTGAAGCATTTCCACCTTCAGATTCATCGGGCAAAGTCCAGACCGATTCCCTAAAAAAGATTATGTATATATAAAGGTAAAATCTACAGTTTTATGAAATTTTAGAACTTTAACTTCCGCACATTCTACGTTTCACTGCTATACTGATCATTGATAGGCATATAAAACTCATTCCATATATATATATATATATAACACAAGAAAACATGAAATACATTTTTCATTAAATGACCATCGACATCGCTAATTGATTCAAAGTCATTTTAATAACAGAGATCGAGAACATTTCTGAATTTATAACAAACAAAGCTGTAAATGTCAGCACCATATAATAGTTTAAAAGTAATGTTTACTACACCTGGTTTCTCTATTGTAATAATAAACAGCTCCTTCCTCCGTCGTAGCCTGTATCCATAAAGATTGTTTAGTTTGTGAAGGTGGAGGAGGTGGTGGCACACCACTCATGTCATTTGATTCCCTCTTTTGTGCCTCTTGTAAACGTTTTCTGATTTCTGCCCGTTTTGCCCTGAGCGTTACCAAATGCTGAAATAGTTTTATTAATTGACAGTTTTAATCGCCCATGTTGAAAGTTTGCTTCAACTGAAGGAAAATTGGAAGACTAACACAACTTTGAAAAAACCAACTTTCTCGAGCATTTCAATATCTTCATCTGTTGGGTTTTCCATATCGATCGGACCAATTGTAAGCATGTTTGGATTCTCTTCTGGTGTTTTGGGTAGTTTTGGTGGTGGTGGAGAAGGTGCTTCTAAGATATTCGTTATTTCTGCCGTGCTCTATAAGGATTGAACTGATTATGCAAAATTAAAAGAATTCAAGAACAAAAAAAATTTGATCATAAATTCTGTTTTGACAATTGCCACTCAAAAAAATTAAAATGAAGTTCCATTACTGATATGACATCACGTAGATTACCTGCGGAGTTAATAGCATTCCCATCATAGGATATTGTTGCTGTTGATAATAGTCAATGAACTGCTGGTAAGCAGCAGAAGATGGATCATATTTTGCATATACGGCGTTCCAGTCGAAAAATTCCGGGAATGGACGCTCGCTATATGAAAAATTTATTGAATCTGGTAAACCAGCAGCAAATAATGCTTCAGGAAGAAGCTTTGGGGGTGGAGGAGCGTAGAAGTCACAATCTGTAGCATACAATTCATACATTGAACTTGGATTTCTTTCACCAACAATATCAAACCGTGAACGACGCCTTTTCGGTCTGTTTTCACATTCATCATCTTCATTAATACGCGACAAGTCAGTTACAGTTACTGGCGATTGCTTGAAATCCTCGTTTTCCAGATGCGTCAAGTCTTTGACGAAAATTGGTAAATCAGCTAAAACACACCAAAATTCATCATGCTAAAAAAGTTATCTCCGCAGTACTAACTAGCTCACTTAATCGGGTGGTAAAATTTCAAACCATATGAAGTGACACGTACTTTGAAATGTTCAAATAATTATAGACTTTTCTGATGACTAATAACAAATATAAAGAAAATAGGATAAAATATCAAACATATGAAGATGGCCGTTCTACTAGGATTTAAAAAAAGGTTACGTTTAGAGAAACGACGTCGGTCAAAACATCGCTTTTTGGGTGGCGGTCCAAATCCATTCAATCTCCATAGTGTACTGCCATCGTCCTTCTTGTCTACTATAACTCGTTTGCTCTTTTCATCCTCATCAATCTTCTAAATTAGAAGCAAAATATATGCAATTGTGTATATGTTCAAGAGTAGAGAAATATGCATTTTCAAATTTAGCCAAGATGAAAACAAACTTCAAGAAAAAAAAATATAAAAAACAGAAACTTACTCGCACATAACGACTAATATCATGTTGCGTATGAACAGGATCTGTGCGTTCCCGGCGAGGGATTCGATATTCTTCGCGCAAATCCCGCCACTTAAATTCATATCTGTTACACAAAATTTGAAATAAATTAAAAGAATACATAATTTGGAAATTAATCCACATATACACAAGATATGATCAACCTTTCCCATTAATTTCGCAGCTTTTGAAACCATTTCATAGTGCAAACTTTCTATTACAGGATCCGGATCTTTTGAAAGTGTTAAAGCTGAACACTTGGAAGTAGAAGGTACATCACAACAGACTGCATCTACTAATCTCCCTACGACATCTTCCACAACTTCATCTACCGGACCTCTCTGCAAAATGAATGGCTCTTGCAATAATAGAAATATGTAGAATCTATATGAAAAAAAAATATATCATTAATATCAGAAAAAAAAATCAGAAACTAAAGACTCACTTTGCCAGCAATTTTTTCCACAGTTGAAGCTAAATGACTATCGATAATTTGATTCTTGTTCACAATAGGCATAACATCTAGCAAATCAAGTGATTTGATTTGCAACTGCAGAACAGACTTCTCATCATCAATCGGATAATCGGTAGCTAAGAACACATATAAAAGCCTCAGACCTGCAAGCATCACGCTTTAGTTATGTTTTATGACTATGTTTCAAATTTCGGATGAAAAACATGATACAATAAAATAATATGAGATAGCCTGACAATGCAAGAAAATAGAGTTTAATTCAAAGTATAACCAGTAGAAAACGAACCACTTTCTTGAATGAAAAGCCGTAATACATCAGGATGCGCAAATCGGATACATTGTATTAGAGAGGAACGCTGTGGTGCTTGTTCCACTTGTACCATTAATCGGACGAGATCACGAACTTGAGTACGGTTTCGAGGAGGTCCGCGTGACAAAGCATTCACTATTGCCTAAAAATATGCCACTTAATATTTAAAATACAGAAAAACATATTCATTTAAAATAGAATATATTATGTAATAAATCTGCTATAAAAATACCTTATTGCAACGTTTAGCTGATGGTTGTCTTTTCCTTTTTTTGGCAATGCGTGAACTTTTTTCCTTTTTTTCTGATTTGAATTTACGTTTGGCCATTGGGATTTCATCATCCGTATCACTTTCTTCAACTTCGGCTTCATCACTGATTTTGTCCTCCTCTCCTTCTTCGCTTTCACTATCATCACCTATTCGACCTCTACAATTTGCAGCACCACAAAAGCATCGCTGTGCTTTCCGCCTAAATTTAGCAAACTTTCTAATAATATAATTCGCATTTCAATTATTTCGTAAACTAAAAAATATTCTAATTAGAATATTCATCAGATGTTTGATTCCACGTAGGATTCATTTCACAGTGACTCGTTTTTCGCAGAACACTTTGCAATACAGCAAATCAATTTTCTTATTGTGCATAGACGTGAAAAATCTAGCATTTCAACATGTTCCATTAAAAAAAAAAAACATTCGATATTGCTGACGATATTTGATGATTACGACATGGAATATGAAACAACAAATTACCCGTAACGCTCGAGCTGATAGTCAAAAACGATTTCTTCTCCCAAGGCAATTGACTTGATCACGAAGAAACCCACTCTCAATTGGCGATCAACTGTCCACTGTAATCACTTTTTTAAAAATAAATTTCCATAAAATATATATCAAAAACCATCTAAAGACACTCAATGGAATCTTAGTCGGTGTTTAACATATCTGTTAAAACAAATTATAATCCAAGCTGTAGAAAGGAATTCATAAAAAAACTCTAACTGCTGCTTATTAGAGAATTTTTGACTCAAATTTCCAATATGAGTTGTTTCTTCCACACGCACAGCAAGAGTCTCATTCTTATTTCTCTTTCAAGAAAGCATGTGAAAACTCATGTCAATTAACAGTGTTGGAAAATAAAAAAATTTAGTGGGATCAAACCGGTGTGTAGCAATAAATAGGTGAAATTTTTTTTAAAAACAAATCGATGAAGCTATCATACGATGTAAGCTGACAGTATTAAAATACCATGTTTAAAGATAAAATGTATTTTTGGGATAAATTAAAGTGGTGATCTTACAAAAAATTCTAAGATAATAATGAAAGTATCCTACACCCAACTACATCACCTATGACTAACCTACAGTTACTCATTTCAAAGTCATCTTGATAAATTACAGTTGTCTCGATACTCTTGTGCATTTCAGCATATTATTTCGATCGTCTTATCGCAGAATCCATGGCAAGCGCATTTCAGGAAAACTCACCAACTTTGCACTGCACTTCGGTACTCGACAACTGTAATTTAAAAAGACAATTCATAATTTTCTAATACTACTGGAATTTCTCCAACAGCTATCTCAGAGCAAAAAAAGATATTCAAATTGGAATTTCATGACCGCACAAATAAATTTTTCAATCTATTTGACGCCAACAATTCTTAATAAAAAAGAAGTGAGAGCTAAAAAAATCAAATTGAATTGATCACAATACAAACCATCACAAAGAAACAACACATACCTTCTGGCTTTCACAATTCGGATCACACGAATGATTTATGAATCGTGAAACATTCCCTTTTGCAGTTGCATCTATCACAGCACCGTTTTTTAGCGCCATAAGATAGTGATGCACATGTTTCGGGTCTTTACCATACCTGAAAATCCAGAAAGTCTTTCTCTGGATTTGGAAAGTAGCTACATATCCATTTTTTAGTAATGGTCATTTTCGAAAACAAATAACCTTCTTCCACGACGTATCATTTCGTCAGCATCAATAACCTCACCAACATATTCAATAATGAAACGACCACTGAAATTTTCAGAAACTGAGTGAGTATGACGAAAATAAAAATAAATAACACTTGCCTTATCTGGAAGCTCTAATCAGATAAAGTATTTTTTGTAGAATGAAAAGAATTCAGGTGTGTCTTTAATTTCGATCAGATGAAAGGAAAAGATAAACCTTCGGCATTGCTGACAAAAAAATGATTGTTAAAAGAACTTGGTAAAACATACGGTTCAAGTGGTTCCGCAGCTCTCAATCCCCAACCTTTCACACCTGCATTGAATACTTCCACTTTCGCATATTGTTTCTGGAAATACCAGACGCGAATTTATTTCACTTTAAATTTTCATTTTGGACCAGAAAATTCAATCAACAAAAAATTTGGTATGCTGTATGACTAACATTATGAAACCGCCTATTGGCGCATCCTACTCCACTTGGACACCGTGATCCACATTCTGTGTAGAGTTCTCGATTGATGCAACCGGAAACGCAACCACGACCTTCCGCTATTTCCAGCGATGTCGGCTCACAGAAACAACGAACAACCTGTAGTAAATAAGTGAGTGCCTCCTTCGTGACCGTTAAGTATATAAATTACCGTATGAAGAGAACATTGGATATATCGCCACCAAGCAAGTTTCGAAGCAATTCTTAGCTGAAAATGAAGAAATTACTACCTACCTTAGCCTCTTTAATTAGGCTTTCATCACAAAGTATAATATTTTCATCCAAATGTTCATATTGCGGAGGTTGAACGGTTGGCTTTAGCTGCATTAGGGGAACTTGTATTGTTGGTATATCAAGTTCTCTTTCATCATCATCCAGAGTCAACGCAGCTTCCGGTAGTAACGATTCTTCGTTTATCAAACTAGTTGAATCAGTAGGTATGTTTACAGTGTCAGCATTTTCTGAGATTTGTTTCCGTCCTTCAGCAGTTCGTAGATGGCCATGATCTAATGAAGAAAGTGTTTTCGGAGAATTAAAGGAATACATGGAAATCGATGTTGCTGACGAAACAGAGGATATTGAAGATTCCTGTTCACCTTCTCCATTTGTTTCAATTTTGCAAGCATCCATCCTCCACTGTTGCTGAGGAAATGATATTGGTTCCGATGGTAACTTCGATTCGTTTAACTGAAGCTCCTGTGGAAAATGCATCGCAAACCACGATGCGACTGTTCTTTGAACATTGGATTCTGCAACTGTCGTAGTTTCATTATCTACTAAAGCTACAGAATTCATTTCCAAATTGTGATCATATTGAAGCTTTGGACAGAATAGTACAGTTTCTGCAACACTATTGCAGTTTGATCCAAAATTCTTGTTTAACATTGACTGCCCTTCACTTGTTTTCTGCGATGCTGCCTCTTGCTTTACACACTGATTTTCTAAAAACTGCACTTCATGCATTATATAATCTGATTTCTTCTGTTCGATTGATGAAGTAGTATTATCTTGTAATTGAATATTCGATTTCGGTTTTGGAGAGCATGTGAAGACTATTTCTCCAAGGTCTGTAGATTGCTGATTTAAAGACTTGGCGTGTAACGAATCTCTGCCTGTATCACACTCTAAACTCCCAGCAACAGATCTTACATCCACTGAAGTCTCCGTATATCTTATTGTTGACTTTGCCTGTTCTTCAGAATATAATTTCGACAATTCGCGTAACTTAACCTCTGGCTCCCAAATCTTCACATCTCCGGTAGGAAGTTCTTTTGATGTTTTCGTGAACTTCCATTTAATTATCACTTTTCCCTTGTCCAGCACAGCTTCGGAAGCAACGTCATCCTCCGTAATGCGAGATACTGCACAGCTAGCATTACCACTTAGCTCAGATGGTTCAGGCGGTAAAGCTATATCACAAGGATCACACGGAGGTGCTATTTTATCCAGTGATAGGTCAACACAGTTACTACTTTGGCTAATACATCCTTCTATTTTCGTACTAGCAATCTTCAACATCTCATTTATAGAAATTTTTTTCCTTTCATTTTCACCAGTTTTTTTGTCATAAGCTCCGCTGCGCGCTTCATCCAAACCAGTTGTACATTTTTTTCCAACGGTTTCATTTGTGTTCGATGTCAAAGCATCATTTAATTGTATGCAAAATGGTGCTCCGACATCCCATCTTGAAGGCTTTTTCACTTCCAAACTTGCAATATTTCCTGAACTGTGCATATTAATTCCAATAGTCTCCGGCTCTTCATTCTCCACATCTCTTTGTGTGAGAAAATTTGAAGGTTTTTCCATCTCCGAAATAATTTCATATTCGTCCTTTTCATCGACATCCATATCGACCTAGAAAAAACTTTGAAATCGAATTTCCACAAATTTAGGAAAATTGAGCTAAAATATTAAAGTCAGTAAGAACGGATTCATACATCCGCACACATAATTAGGAATGCTAACCATTCATAATTATGTATGGGGATGTACGAACTACTGCTAAGACATCCCCGCTACTTTGTCTCTGTCAACTAAGGTTCATGCTCATATGTACAATACAGGAATAAGATTTGCAAGGAACAGATTTGTGCTACCGCGTTATTTTCTAATTCATGAATTTTATAGCAAAAAAACCTCAGTAAGAAAATATAATATAAGCTTTTGCCCACAACGCCAAAACCACAAAAATCATCATCGATTCAAACATTTGATGCAACCCATTCTACCAGCTTTATTTTCTTCTGCGGTTAGTAGTATTAAAAACTTTTGTAATGCTTCCATAAAATGTGAATAATTTAATCCACTTCAAAATTTTTAGAAAAATTTATCTTCCAATGTTTAAATTGTACCACAAATTTTCAAGATAATTACGTCACACAGAGAGAGACAAAAAAAGAAACAAATTCCCGCATCAAACAATTGCGGAAACATAATCTCATCAATTTGAAATATAATCTGATGTTTATATACCTTAAATTACATTACTCACCAATAATAATCAACACCCATATCTAATAGACAATTCGACCTCTTCATGATGTTATTTCGCTTCGCAAAAAATATAATTCCCAATATTTTGAAAAAGGTTAGCGTATCCTTGCATACAAAACATATATCCTGCTATCACTTTTTATTGTGAAAACTCTTTATCCCAAACGAGTGAATTTCAGAAACGAGCTTACTATTTCAGTTGAGTCCTTTTTCTCGTCAACTTCTTCCATTAGCCAGCGTTGTTTCATTAGTTTAATACTCATGTCTTCTGAACAGCAGTAAAATAAATTATAAGGACATTTCCAATAAACCAGCAAAATCCTAAAAATATGAAAGCATTTTTTGTTTGAACTCGTTCGCAAAGCAATAATCGCACGCATCACCGCTTTAATGTAGTATTTTATTTAAAAACATCTTTAAAAAATTTTAAAAAGCGGAGTTACCAGGATTCTTATTAGCTACATATTACTTACGGTTTCACTTATTGATGAACACAATGAGATAGAAAACGACTGAAAAAAAGATCAGAACTACGGAGAGAACTGAACACTACCAAATCTTCCAAATCTCCAAATCTCCACTGCTTTCTGCAACCTTAAAAGATTTTAAGCCAAGATTCACATATCTTTCCAGTTCGGAATAAATATCTTATAGCGTCATCACTCAAAAAATGAGGTACTGCCACAGAAACACTCTCTCCCATCATGGAAGCTGAATGAAAACAATGTCCTAAAGGTTTCCCGAATTTTCAGGTCTTTCACAACTGAAGTTAATGTAGGTTGAAAGAATACTCGCGTTTTTTTGCTTGCACGCGACATCAAGTGAAGGTGCAGCGGAGGCAGAAGCAGTAGTGCAACCAGGCAACTTCAAATCAACAGCACATATCGATTGCTCTTCTCTCTCCATCTCTTCTTCAACGGCCATCTCTAAACGTAATGTTCCCTTGCAGCTGCACTCGAATCCCATTATATAGCCGGTACTTTTCCCCCCAAATAAATCCTGCAATAATACTGCGTCAACTCAAAGTAAACTTGAAGAATCAAGTTCATATGCACAGTTTCCGTTCAAGCGAAAAATGCGAACTTATACTTCAATGACCTTAGAAGCGAGTTAAAAGTTATTTTTTATTTAAAATTTGACTGAAGTAAGCAAGAATTGGTTAGTGATCAAAAAATACTCAATCCAGCTTTCAAAGCCTCTGCGAATGAATATTTAGGTTATTTAAAATTCATCGCAATAAAAAAAAACAGAAACCAAAATGACTCACAATTTAATACTTCCCGATAATCCTGAAACATATAAATTAATTTCAGATTTTTACTAGCCATTTAAGAATTATTTTGATTCCATCATTTCTGCATATGTTTCGCACTTATGGCAAAATACCCTAAGTGCACTCTATATATTCACGTTTTCAGCCACCAAACATTTCGCCCTCTGTCAGATTGCGATTGTTGACCTAATGAATACTAATAAGTCAGTTCAGTTTGTCACACTTTATGTGATAAAGGATAACTTATTACGCAGAGTTTTGAATCATCTATCTATACAGTTTAAAAAATAAATAAGACCGTTGCGAAGCTTTCCGACATTACCTTTTAATAAATCTGACTTGTAAACTTCATCTACTATAAATACTAAAATACCGTGGTATTCAAGTAGCATTTAAAATTCTCTACTGTGCTGCATGCGTTAATCCATATCAAAAATACTTACCATAATTCAAAGTCGAAGTTTCTATTAAAAGCGGGTCATCCTACATTCTCCTTGCTAGCCAATACAGATAATATATATTATATATAAAAAGAAAAACATAATAAAAAAAGATAGACGAATCTTGTGAATATATTCGGCAAAGGTGTCAAAGATGCAGACAGCAAAGGCGTACTATTGTGCCCAAATCTTAAAAAGGAAGGAAACCATTCTTTTGGCCCTATGTAGACATGTCAAAAATGATAGTAAAACAGGAAGATAAAAATGAATATTTGTAATCCCTATATGATAATATTTAAACATTTTCCAATAGAGTAGATACTAACTTTCAAGAGAATCATAATTCGTTGTTGCATCAGTTAGAATAACCAATCGCCAGCACCGATAGATCACTTATTGTCGTGCATTCATCGAAGACGAATCGATCGTACGTCGGACACAGGCCAATGACATAAGCCCACCTTCGAAAATGACGCAATGAAAAGCCATCGTCGCTGCTTCGATTTTTGGTATTTTTATAAATTTTCATGATATCCGATAGGTAATATATAGTGGATTTTTTTCACTTCTGGAAATATGCTCCACCACAATCATATGTGGCCACAGTTACATCGCAACAAACTATTCAAAACTTCTTGAAGTACAGATTGTTCCTAATCATATTTGAAAAATCGCACAGACATAAAACATCACAGCTTAAAACTTAGCTAACATATTCAGTATTAGTTAAATTGCATAGCAACAATTCATTTTAACGAAATTCAGTATAAAAAATTTACCATCTTTTTTGGAAAATACTCGGTGGACTACGAAGAAAATCTCAAAAAATAAACTGATCTTTCGATCGTTCCATTCGCCCATATTGATATTTTAATTTTTGAAAATACCGAACTAGAATAAAAATTTTCTATAGAGCCGGATTTTATGCTTGAAATATGAGTGCACAGAAAATAGCTGAAGCAGATACATCAACGGTTATAGAAGAAACATCATTTATTACTTATCATCATTATCAATAACCAAAGCTTTTTCAGCTTTCAATCTGACATCTGAACATTCAACAAAACGAAGTTGCTTCTCCTCTAATTTGAAAATCATGTCCGTGCCTATAATGGAATTCCACTCGGTTGTGAAGAGAGAATTTGAAATTTGTAGTATCGGATTCTCTGTGTTGCATCGACGTATAGCACTGTCATTTCGATTCAAAGCCTGTCGTGCTGCGTTCACATCCATTATACCACCAATCTCCAATATCACTCTTTTCGATTCCCATTCTTCATCCTCTTCTATGGTCATATTATTCTGCTTATCTGAAAGATTCAATTTATCAATATCCTAAACTTTGTTTAAAAAAAATCCCTAAATTCTTGTTTAAAAAAAAATAAAAAGTACCACTCGCCGAAAACATGTTGCACTGCTGAAGTAAATATTGACATATATTCACTTATATTGTGCCAAACGATTAAGATAGGTTTATCAATATCTCTCCATGTCAGCTTATATTTCTCTTCAAATAATGATAATTCATCCAAATGATACCTTCTTCATGAATCTCTCGCATGCTGACGCCTGTTTCTCGAACCAAAATCTTGTTTCTCTTCCTGATTAACGAAATTGTATTTAATACTAAAACTGTATTTAATTTTGAGTTTATTGATTACCATTTGATTATTATGGCTGATTCCTAAACCTATTGAAATGAACACCATAAACTCAAATTTGATTTAAACTCTTTGCTCAAAAATAAATTAAATTTTACCGAAATCAACAAAAATATTTAACTGAAATAATCTGCTATAGTTCAGAAAATGAAGTGAAGTAAATAAAAAGTACCACTCGCCGAAAACATATTGTACTGCTGAAGTAATTATTGACATATATTCACTCATATTATGCACCAAACGATTAAGAAATGATTTAAACGTTAATGATAGGTTTATTCACCCACAAAGTTAAACAAATAGTTCATCATTTATTTTACAGTGTCAACAATATTCAAATAAGACTAGCACTTAGAGGCAATTTTTTGTAAAACGTTCATGATTAGAGGGTAATTGGTGACATACTCAGTACGGCTAGATGAAATAACAGATGAAGTATAAGAACGCATAAGAGATAACAAGAAATCCAAACGATCTACTGCGCTGTGACTCAAACACCATTTTAAATATTCTTCCAGTGACCAGTTAGCTGATATATGCGGGGACAACAACGTCTCCTCACTCATACTTATCAACAACTGTACAACAAACCAAAAAGGCAATGATTTCGATTGCGCTAGCTGCTCTGCGGGTAGCTTGAATGCGTCAACAAACTGAGGTATGGAAAGCATAAGAGAAGATTGCACAGTGTATAGCGAAAGGCCATGATCGGCAATGTACTGTAAATCCAAAGATAAATGCGAGAGCTGATCTGATGAAAGCGGTCGCAAAAGCGATGAATTCATTAAAAATAAATCAATGACATAATCTAAGAATGAACTGAAGACTTCTTCAAATCCAGCAAACTTCAGAAAAGATGAGTGGGACTGCAAAATGCGAAGATAACTGCAAAGTTCCTTTACATATGGAGATGGATCACCTAAATTCTCATAGTGCATTGATAACAAAATTGTAAAAACAGATGAACGTGCCACATCCATTAGTGCTTCTCGAACTTGTTGAGAGATTCGTATTAGAGGTTCACTGTGCTCCGGCCAAGATAAACTTAATATATGTGCCACAGAGACTAAAGCATAATTTTGTACCTAAAAATCAATTGTAGGGTGAGACTCTTTCTTATTTTCAGTTTCAGACCAGAAAATTAGAAAAAAAGAACTTGCAACTGCAACCTATTATGTTTCGGATATGCAAGATCAAAGATTAATCACAAAATATTTAAATTGTTTACTTTACAAACATCTATTTGAAATCCGCCCATCTCTTTATTTCATGTCCATTTTTACCATCCACTCTGTTCAGCAAGAAGACATTCAGGAATTGTATAGTATGTCAATATTGCTCAAATCACTATCCACTCATTTAAACTCTTTTTTATTTCTTTTTTCAAGTTTGATTATTAATTCAAACAATCGTTAATACATGTTTGTATAGATTAACTAAGTCTATAAACAAACCACAATTCATTTTTACCTGGACAGTGCTAAGACGCTCACTCATTTGCAGCGTGGATGAATCCAAGACAAGATGCTGCTCAATTTTCTGAGCAACTAATTGAAGCACTTTTGCCACATTTGTCTCCATTTCTCTATTCAACTGTGTATCCCATTCTACACTTCCCAGTTCTTCTTTAATTGCTGAGTCAATCTTTAAAAAAAAAACTCTGATATATAAAAATTCAGACTGATAAACCAATCCAAACAATCGTAATAAAAAGAAATGAGTGTAGTGAACATACTTTCTCCACAGAAAAATTTGCAAGATTATTTTCTTCAAAAGCTCTCTCAACTGCTTTAAACATTCTGCTAAGAGAATGAGATAATATAGCTCTGCGTAAAGGTTGCAGACTTTGATCCAAGGACTGCACAGCTTTAGTGGGATACATAGATACAACTTTGGAGAGCAGTTGAACAAAGCGAGTAGCATAAGAAGCATTTTCAGAAACACGTCTTGAAATTATTTTTGCAAGCCTTTCACAGAATTCAGTTATAATTTCCATACTTAATAAGGAATACTGTTCCAATGATACCTGCAAAAAAAAAACTTTTACGATTAATTTAAAAACTTTTCAAACTTATTTCACAAATTTAATTTAGTATTTTAAGTCAGTGAAATATTAGAGATGAGAGTTTCACTGATTTAAAATACTTAAACTAATGCACACTAATTGCATGTATTTATATAATCAACAGCGAAAAACAGCAAACTTGAATTTGATTTGCTATCTGAGGAAGAATTTTTGCCGCAATTACAGTGCTACTATTGAGCTGTAAAAACTGGCCATCTAAGCGTTTGGCATTTTCTTCTAAAAGGCGATTGATCTGAAAATCGAAAAAAGCAATGTTTCATTCTTAAAATCATTGAACGACAGTTTGCGGGTCGAGAGGAGATTTCGGCATTCTACAATAAAAACAAAAATTGTCTGTTTTATGTAAATTTGGCAAAACAGAATGTACAGGAATACCGTTTTCTGAACTACTAAGCAAGTATGGAACGCTTACCTCAAATTCATATGACGATAGATTGTTTAGTGCGCGAACACAAGATGAAACAAGTGGTGCACTAAGACTTTCAAGCGAAGATTTTAGATAACTGGCTGTATTCTGTCTGGCTTCGGCAGTTAGCTTCGGTATCTATATAGCAATTTTTTTGTAAAATATGAACTTAAACAATCAAGAATTAAATTTTTTCTTCAATTTAAAAATTTGATGGAATATGAAAATTGTAACATCGAGTATACCGAAACTAAGATCATTTCACGCGTACTGTTCAAATCTTTTAAAGATGGTATCTCAGTTGTGATTGCTTCTAATTCACAAATTATCTCTGATCGTTTTACCAATTCAGTTGTACTTCCGAGTTTTCCAACTAGCTGTTCGCATCTTAAAAGGATATTTTTAAAATAATTCTTGGTATATTGTGAATATATCTTATATTTGCTAACGATGAAATAACTCATCCATATTTACCTGTTAGCTGACACTAAAATCCGTCTTAATGCATACAGTTGTTCAAGTCTATTCGTCGTATGACATAATTTTTCGTACTCAAACTGAAATTTTTCACTCAGTTCTTCACATTCTTTGTACATACGAGACATTTCACGGTTAATAGTTGCTTGCACGCGATCCAAGTTTTGCAGAGCGCTTGCTTGTTCCATCAAACGAGGATGATGTTGCTCAACCTGAGAAAATATAGTTGATTAACATATTTCGAGAAGAAAGAAAAATTTATATCCCTAGTTTAGAGCAAAATAAACTTACAGCTTCCCTGATCTGCCGACCAATATTCTCTTTAACAACATTAATTCTTTCCAAAAGAGTTCCTTCATCGATTCTAATCGCTCTCACCAGCTCTTCCGTATATGCGTTCCAACTAGACCTGCCCCAAATGCAATCCTCCAAGCTCTCCATCATTTTTGCCAAAAATGGAAGTTATAAATAAAAAACCATAATGATAATTTGATGTGTAGCGCCTACAGCTTACAATCAAAGAAACTAGTTCTCGAAATTTTTTAGCTTTGCACTTGAATTAGACTTGTTCACCTATAAAATAAAAGATCCTGGCTGGAAATTATTACTATTATTACTATACGCTTGAGAAAGTTACGTCAAAAAATGCGTTCTCTTTTTCCCAGCATAAAATAACTGGTATTACACAACCACTGCCACAATAGGAATAATCATTTCAGAAACATTGCAACAAATATTCATGTAAATATAACAATGACACATATCCGCTATAAATTCGAACCAGATTATACAATATAAATTCTAACATTAAAAAACAATAGGATCACTATACTCACAAATTATTATTAGCCGTTAACTCTCGTTATTTTTCCAAATCTTAAAAGCAAGAAACAATGTAACATAGATGTAACTTTTATATAATCCATATCCTATTTTTAAACAGTTATTGACGCTTAGATATACCGAATCATTTTTGAAGTCATAATTGCATAAAACCAAATAATCTAATGCTTGTTAAAGATTATCGGAGCGAAAATGAATTCTGTTCAAAACTTGGACATAATGCGGTAAAATTTACAATCTTCGAAGACCATACAGATCTATTTGCTATCACTTATTAAAATATCATTGTTGTTGTCTGATAAAATTTTCAAGCCCTTTATCTTTTATATCCTTGAATGAATCCAAATCAATTGCAGGGAAAATTTCGCGAATTATGCCACGAGCAATTGTCTTTTTGTTGCCTTCTCGTATTGTAAAAGGCAGTGATTGGCTCACAGGCATTTTATTCAACAAAAGCATGTAAGCTGTGCAATGTTCTCCAGGCATTAGAATATCAGATTCCAAATGCAGGCGGCCAGCCTGAATAAAACCAATTTAACTGTTCTTAGCAGTTTGCATTGCAGCAATTGATAGCGGAACAAAATGAAAGCATGAATTTTGAAAAAAAAAAGGATGAACGAACCTGATCCCATGTACTACAAAACACTTTTTCAGTAAAACCAGAATGTACTGCCAAACGCCTTCCACCTTCCTTTTCAGATAACAAATACAACTCAATCTAAAAATCAAGAATTAACTGGTGCGATTATTTTTATAGAAAACTCTAGAGATTATTTTAATCACATGAGTATTAGTGAGCTTGAATCAAAGAATAAAACACCTTGAAGAAATTAGATGTGGTAACTGCACCTACGGTTCCGAGCCACATACCTCTCTTCACTATATTCGCTTTGACACCACGACACAAAATGCCACAGTGATCACCAGCACAAACCTAAACGAATTATCAAATTTTTAACATAGCAGTTTGTATCAAGTTTGACAGGAATTTATAAGAAATTTAGTGAAGAATTCATAATGAAAGATCTCTACAGTTGAATTTCCTACAATATATGACGCTTGTGTCTGCATTCTATGAAAGACATGTTTTTTAAAATAAGAACTGTAGAAAATCTGCAAAAAATATTTTCCAAAACAACGGATAAAAAAGACTTTATCAGTAAATCCCATTTTCAATATATTTCAATAAAAATCACACAAGTTGCTTACTTCAAGAACACTTTTTTTAAAAACTTGTATATCTGCAACAACCGATTTAACGCACTGTCCTTCTCCCGTGATTTCCACTTTATCATTTTTCTTGATTTTTCCTTGTTCAACCGTTCCGATGACAACAGTTCCCCTTCCAGTAATTGATACTCGTGATGCGATAGGCATCAAAAACGGTCCATCCTATACAAGTGCAATAGTTGGACTACATGAAGTTCTTTAATGTTCCAAAAAAGAATTTAAAAAAATTGAAAAAATTCCTTTAAACAGTAAAATTTTCAGTTGTTTAAGAAGATTTCGGGATATACTGGTTGTTGATTCTACTGAATCTTTTAAATGGTTGTTTGTACATAGAAAGCAAATTCCACTAATATCTTGCTTATAATTCCGTAGAATTTTGCTAAAAATAGCTATGCCATCAGTAGAAATGAACAACTTGCAGCCTCTTTGGAAGAGGTATCCTATCCAAAGCCGAAATTAACTGTTCAACGCATTCTCCATCATTTTTTTGCAATGCTCGCAATGCCGATCCTTTCACCACAATAACTGATTCATCTGCATCAAAAAAAAAAAAATAATAGGAAAGTAATCTAAAGCTATTTTATAAATAACGCTAATATTGTATCGCTGCACTGCTACAAAGAAAAACACTGCAAAACTGACCCGCATAGCCATAATGCTCTAGTAATTCTCGTGCTTCAATTTCTACTAATGTAACAACGTCATCATCGACCAAATCCACCTTATTTATAAATACAATAATGTTGGAAACACCAATTTGTTTAGCTAATAAAAGATGCTCTTTTGTTTGTGGCATAACTCCATCAGTAGCAGCAATTACTGAAAATCAGAATTGAATCATTCTTCTGAAATGGCACTTTCATAAGATTTTAATCACTTGAAATTTTATTCATAATAAATTTATCCTGATTAATATTAAATCATATATATGGGATGGAGCATAGCACCTTAAAAAATATAATTCAACGTTCGATAATATTTATCAATCTTTTAAAAATCACCTAAAATAGCGACATCCATCTGCGTTGCACCACAAATCATATTTTTTATGAAGTCGCTGTGTCCGGGACAATCAGTATGAGCATACCGTCGTGTATCACTTTCGTAACCGATATGTGCGATATTTATTGTTATGCCCCGTCTCTGCTCCTCTTTTGCCTTATCAATTTCCTCAAATTTGACAAACTTGGTTTTTCCTGAAAAACTTAGATATCACAGGAACAAAGTAAACGAAACAGAAATTTTGAGATCGGTTCATTAGTAAAATACAAAGTTCAACAAAATCTAACCTGTTTCCTAGGACTATAAATAGTATATTATTGTAAAAAACGACTAATCAAAAACAAGTATTAAAAGTTGAAAAACCTGAAGAAGCATCTACCTCTAGTAGATAGAATCTTGGTGATAGCAGCAGTTAGGGTAGTTTTTCCATGATCCACGTGGCCTATTGTACCAACATTTAAATTTTCCTTTGCAATTTTGACAGTATTCGAAATATTTGCAGCACTCCTTTTGATGCTTGAGAAAAGTAGTGAAAAAGTTGAAGATTGCAGGAATGAAGATCGTTTTAATTGGTAGTGAATTACAGCCATAGTATTCCCGAAATTACCAATATTAAAGCAGATAATAATGCATATATCTCCTCACTCTCTTTGATTTCACACATTTGCTTACTTATTTATTGACTCGAAGAAATGAACCTACACAAAAAGTTTAAAAATCTTATTTTATACTTTTTATATTAGTTCCACGATTAACAAAAATCGTTCAAAGCTCAAGCTCCCCTGTAATTTTGACGACCCACCTTTGCTCTTCTCTCTCGATTACTTGCTAGAAATGGTTTATTTCACAAGGGCCGTTCTGTATCACATACTATTCGTACGAGGGTTATTCTCAGGAGGAAGAATGCCTGTCCAACGCAATCTGTGGTCAGCTTGCGTAAGTGCAGAAGTCATCTCATAAGATGGAACAATGCTTGAATCTCTTTGAAGATGTGATATGATATCCGTAGGTCTTGCAAATAACACATTCAAGCAATGAAGAATAACAGCCACGATTACCCTCCGTTGATAAAGCATGGTCACCAATACCAAATGGATATGAGGAGCCGTCTATAAGGCAAAAATCCGTATTTATATGTATAATGCATTCTCACGTTTCTAATGCATATACTATACTGTGGAGTTTTTTTCTAATGTCTTCCACGCAATTTCTTCTTTAATTCGAATATTCGAATATTGAGTGGGTATTCATTAAACATAAAAGACTAGCACGAGCAGCAATACCTATTGCTTACATTGGTCCATTGTGTCTAAATTCAGTACAAATAGCACATTCTAAAGTGAATTATTTACAAACTTTGAGTTTTCACAGTTTAAAACGGAAAATGCATGAGGTCAGAAAGCAATGTGTGGTGCAAACCGGGCTTCTTCCTTATTCGATTATAGAATTTAGGGCAATGAAAAGTACAGGCAAAATGTAATGGACAAACAGCGACAACGGTAAAACAGAATAACAATCAAAATTTTAAATGTACAAGCTTTGAAGTGAACATAAATCATAAAATTTGAAGCTAAAAACAAAAGAGCACATACAACAGGAACACTTTGTATCAACTGCTTCGCATAACATGGAATTGAACATTGCCCCGCCCCAGTGTAAAGCATTCTTGAATTTCATACAAAGTAATCAGATTTGTTATACCTGACTAACACTTGAAGATATTTAGCTTTATTGGAAGATTGTCAGTGTTGATAAATGAGAATTAACGAAGTGGGGCGAAGGCAGTGAGAAGAAAAACAAACCCAAGACGGCAAATCAGAAGTACAATGATGATAGGTAACTGCAAAAAAAATCACGGCGAAAGTAAAAAATGACACTAGAGGCAAGGAACGAGCCAAAACTTTCAAAGTCTAATACAAAATATGCCAAAATATGGTTGCTTTTAGCACTTCCCCTGTTTTTCTCAGCGTCCTTTTAGGCAATTAAATTGAAAATTTGTTTTTATTTTTGTTGTGGAGTCTTTCGTCTTCGTCGTCGAAAGCAACAACACCTAAATAATTCTTTTTTAAAACGAGTTACACTAATACAGTTCATTGCTGCTAACTATAGACAAAATCTTTTTAATACTTTCTTTTATTGATCTGAAAGCGCTTCTTATCCAAATAATAAAAACTGTAAGCTTTATGGAACTATATTAACAAATATAGGACAATCAACTTACTTCACTTCACTATTATCTTCTAGGTGTGTGACAGGCTGTTGTGAACGACCACCATTGTCTTCCATCACTTCACCCACATTTGAATTGATTACCTCCAAATCATACTTTTTTCCATAATTATATTTTAAATATAGACAATGCAGATAGAAGTCTATATCATAATTAGTGTTGAAAGCTTCAACTGCATTCTTTAAAGTTATAGTTTAATGATAAAGACTCTTACATTCAGCAGCAATCATGAAAACCTACTTGTGTAGAGCCAAAACCGCCATCCTGTTGTCCAGCGCCCTGATTGGATGGTTTGAGAGTTTCACATTGCCGCCCTTTCGCAGCACCAGCCCGCTTCCCCTCTCCTTTGTGTGCATCACCGGCATGAAGAGAACCCGAAGGAGTTGACTGCAATGAAAAATGTAAAATATTGTGACCTAACAAATTATCTAAATTAAAAATTATTTCACATTACCAAACTATCAGAAAGAGTGAGATCCGTAAAGATCACATATCTCTACGATACTGATTAAAAAACTTTCTTCTATCGTTACCATTTTTAGTCTTTTCAGTTGAATTAGTCATTCCGAGAGCTGAAATTCCGCACTACGGATTTAGACAAGTGAAATTCAAATAAATTGTTGGCTTTATCAATGCAGTTGCAATACTCTATAAGACGCAATCCAAATGTTGAAATTTTGTTTTTATAGGCTTGCTACCATTTGGAAACAGTAAACATACCGCTTGATTGAGCTTTGGTGTCCAATCAAACTCGTAATCGTATGTATAACCGAGCCTATCAAGCACCGACTTAAACAGATTATAGCAATACTCGTAATCCGGCGTTTCAAAGAAGTCTAACCGACGTGCATATCGCAAATACTGAGCAAATTCCTCTGCAACAGCATCCCAATTTAATACAACAAATAATTAACCCTAAACATTAATAATGACGCGCTTCAAAATACTTAATCCCAACAGCAAACTCTACTTCCATCGAAGTATCAGTTAATTTATGATACTACATTGCATCATTTACCTGATTTTATTGCTGAAGTTATCAAGATATTTAAATTCTGATCAATAATTGCTTATTTTACTCTTCGAAATGACTTCAAAAGAAATCACAAAAAGGAAACTATGGAGAATAATCTTTTAAACATCGTTGCTGATACTGGGTCACAAATACAACGCTAGCAACTACGCACGAGAAGAAAAATCATACCAGGAAAGCCTTCACAGAGCACTTCAATTGGAGTTGCTCGCTTAGTATCACCAATTTTTTGGTATCGCTCCTTAAGAGTATCCGCTTTAAGACCTTGCCAAGGTAGTGATCCACGCAGAAAGTACATGAACATATGCCCAAGTGCTTCCAAATCGTCCCTTCTACTCTGTTCTTTACCAAGATGAGTGTTTATTGACATGTACCTCGCTGTGCCTGTCAATGACTTATGTTCCCTGTACGCAATGTGCTTACCTGTAATCGAATTGAACTGCATTATTTCATTTGTATCATTCTGTATCAAATGCCCTTAAAATTATTGAAAAATCGAAAAGAATTTCTCCTCATCATCAGCATTGTTTCCTCATTGATTTGATCGACAAATTATTGGGAAGTTAAGATATAACTTGCAATTATTAAGATAAAACTAATAAAGGCTGGACACACCAGTATGCTCATACTCGACACTATGAAAAATAATAAAAACCCACAACTTCGTTCGCCATAGCATTAGCATTCCGGTTATGTACAAGAAACTTACCAGTGTCACAGTCAATGTACTCTTTTGCAAGCCCAAAATCGATAATATGCAGTAAGTGTTGCTTCCTAGTAGAATGTCGTCCTATTAAGAAATTTTCCGGTTTCACATCTCGATAAATCAGATGTTTCATATGTACATATTCAATGCGCCTCATCTGCAAACCAAAAACTAAAGTATTTCACTTCTGAATTATATATAGGAAAGTTAAGTTCTTGAGATACTACTGATCATAATAACTGTGCTGAATTATTTTACTTTGCAGGATGCAAACTACATATGCAGTTTACGACCTGAAAAATAAAACAGTTCTAGGCTTGACAGGAGGCGTCACCAAGAGTACCGTATGTAAACCAGTATTATAAGGTATTTGGTCTTTAACGTCGTTCATTATCCATCAGAAGCCGATATGCTGAATATGAACGTGAATGAATTACGGTGTGTTCATCTGTAAAAAGAAATTCTATCTTATTCAAACAAACTAATGCACAAGTTGCAGCTATATTTAATAATGTTGCGCTATAATAAAAGCAAGAAAAACTTTGAACAAACCAGCTGCATTGCAATCATAGCAACAGTTTTCAAGGAGAATTTTCGATCGCACAAATCAAAGAGATCTTCTAAAGAATGTCCTAATAATTCCATTACCAAAGCGTTGTATTTCCCACATGGTCCAAAGTAGTGCACCTGCGGTAGTCCTTCTGGAAAAAGGTATGTTGTAAATAGATTTAAAAATGGATGACGAATAACATTCTTATCCAATAGCTTTTTTTCAAAATCCAAGGATTGTAAATTCCAAAACATTTAAGAGATAAAAAGAAAGTAAGGTGGAGCCTAAAACTGTTTATGAATAAAGAAAATAAGGTGTGAACTTATGAATTTCTTCTTTTTCAAACTTTCATTTTAAAAATGAAGTGTATTTAAAGCCTATGATCAAGATTGTATAGATATCTTTATGACAGACAAAAATTTGGAATAAAAAGAAGCCAGTGAAAAAATATAATAACTTCGGAACAAAAAGAAGCTAATGAAAAAAAAAACCGTGCTGGCCCAATAGTTTGTAAAAACGATATTCGAGATGAAGCTGGGGTGCTTTGCTCTTCAATGGTTCCAATTTAACAGCCACATGCTCATTGTTGTAAAGATTCTTTCCTAAACGCAATTCTCCAAAATTACCGCACCCAATTTTCTTACCTACCTGAAATCCTTATAATCCAGAAATAGTATTAAATTCATCTCACTTGCATTTTGATACATTTTTTTTAATGCGGCGCCAGACAATATTTCCAATGAAAGAATCCTGCAGATATCACTTTTCATTTAACACAACATCCGATCCACAAATTTTTCAGATTTTTCGCTTGCAGCTAAGCAATATTTCTCTTTAAATTGGATTTAATGCTGGTCATACGATCCCAATTTGCCAGAAAATAAGAAATCCCTTAGGTAACATCACAAAAGAAAAGTTTCTGCTCCAGAAATTTGTGTACCTAGAGCTTAACATGGAAATTAAAGAAAATAATGTGGTAAAAACCACAAAAATATTAATATAGTAGCGGCTTATAAACATTGAGAAAATGACCGCCTAAAAATCTCACATCGATTTCATCTCCAGATGCTTTTTCTCAGCTCATATTCCACAAGGTTGCAGTGCACGTATGTGGCACTAAGTCTAATTGCCATCATTTATAATGCAAAACAGTGGCCATATTATAGTCAATACAATTATTATTCATTAATCCAGACTATTAATATATTAATTCATGTTAACACGATACGTAATCACACCTTGAAATTGGGTCCAACCATCAGCACTCCTGATGATGCGGTTGCTGATGGAGTTGCAGAGGAGTTCGACCCGCGAGCGTTCGTCATACCAAACGATTGCGCTGCTACTTGTGAACTGCCTGAAGTACACGAGATGAGGTATACGAGATATTAATGAGCGCTGTCTTCAACATATTTCACAACTTTTCTTCTTATAATTACTCACCTACTCTGTATAAATTGTCATCTTGAGATGTTTCTTTGCTCATATGTACTCATGTAAGTATCACAAAAGAAGCATAGGTCGAATATTAGTCCTAAATTTATCTCAATAAATTAATGATGATTCGTCTTAGCCTGTCTAACATACTCGAGTTCTATGATTACGTTTTTGTTTGTCTCAGCCGTTCTCAATAATGATAAAACGTTACTATTTCTGCTCCTCAATAAGAAATCGAACTTAGATTCTGAGAGACAGCATAAACAATTAAAAATAGAAAATCATAAACAGTGAACCAGAAGCAACAGATTCCGTAACCTTTCAAGGAATTTGACGTTAAATACTGAAAGGATTAACAAACCCTCTAAAGTTTCTAAAATATGAGCGAAATGTTGGCCGCCGCCTGGAGATAGCCTTGCGGCTCCAGATAATTTCGATGGACGTTGTGCTGGCACACGTCTGAAAGAGACAGAAACGTAAGATATGTAAACCATGCAAAATTGTTCCATTTCTATGACGCACGTATAAAAAAAAATCATGTTAAAGCACCAGAATCAATTCCGTGTAATTTTTGTGTCTGAAGAAACAAATAAGTAAAGAAGCAACAAGTTGCAAAGCAAAGCAACAAAACGATATTCAAGTCGCTATCGAAAAAAACACAAGCAAAACAACACAATATTCAAGCTTTCAAGTCGATGTTATATATAATATATGGAAGCATAACAACAGCGACTTGAATGCTACTGAAAGCTCATCACATTGTCTGCAAAATTAAATATTCGCAAAACATTGTTTTCATAAACTGCTGCCGTGGGAAATTGTATGCAACTTTGGCAATTCGTAAAATATTACTGACATGAAGAAATTGAAGGAAATCTAGAAACTTGTCTTGCTTAATATCTCATTATAGTGTGTTTTACATTTACGGATTAACTTTCAGATCAATAAGGCATCCAGCTAAAGCACAACTAATGCAGAATGGAAACCAGTGAAGTAAAATCAAACCACAACTAATATCTAATGTATTACGTTCAGCAAAATCAGTCAACTGATTACCAATTTGAGATGAATCAAATATAATGCATTTCTGTTGTTGGAAACATCTTTTATTGCAAGTTTTTCATAGGAAATGTTTATTATATATAATTTTCGCCCTCTCGAATACATAAAATTAAGTTATCCTGAGTTGATGGATGCAAAGAAAATCGTCATATTAATACAGCGAAGTCACTAAATACTGCCCCTTGCATTCAGTTTTTCCATGTCTTCAATTTCTGAGTGGAAAAAATTACGGAAAGCTAAGCTAATATTTTTTTAGAGTAGATGAATGCATAAATGATGCCAAAATATATTAAGACTTACTCATTCTTGATATCTATTAAGTCCAACACTATTGAGACATTTATATATAAACCAAATCTCTTTATAATATTCATTCATTGCTTACTGTGAGACTGTATGTCCACTTTACAATTATATTCACCAAAATTTCAAAAATTAACATCGCAGTGATAATTTCAAGGTCATCTGAAATATCACTACCATCGGAAAAAATGTGTTCAACCTTGGCTTAGAACTTTGGGAAAATGCACCTTTATTCTTAACCTACTGTCAAAAATAGACATAATGACATAAAGTTCAAACTGTATGAACCACAGCAACAATACTTGTTTTCACAGCAAGTGAACATTCCTTCGCTGTACTGATGGCGCGACCATTTACTACCTCGCTGTCCATAGTGGATTGACACTAGACATATATAAGCATGTATGCATGTTGATACAATACATATATATATATTTCGAGCTTTACAAATTCGTTAGCTTTGGAAGTGAAGGAAGTAATGAAAATTCGAGTTACCTGAAAGGCTGAACTGGTCAAGATCTCATTCAGAAGTCTAGTCATATATTACAGTTGCCTCCATGTTAGAATTATTAAATGATATTAATAAAAATTTTTTGAAGGCTGTCTTACAGATGTTTTTTAAAATTTGAATAAATCTCATATTTTACATTTTCCCATAAAATAATTTCTGCAGTTGACTAAACTACTGCACATAAATTCCCAAGAATGCCTGATTTGCACTTCATAAGCTGATAAGCATCTAGGCTGGTAGACAACCACGAACGGGAACAACAAAAACTGGAATAGTCTTCCCAACTTAAATTAAGCAATCGATCGAGAACTGAAGCGACATTACCATTATTACACACTTTGAGAATTAAAAGCTGGAAGGAACATCCGTAACTGCAACATTCCTGAATTTTGCTTCGCTCTTGATTTAAATGTGTTTTATTTGGATGAAAGCTGCAGACATTCACTTTAATTCTTTCGCTTCACATATATCAAATATATTACGCGGATATTTTCATAAAAATTAAGCTCATTAGGAACCTTGAATGTCTTCATCTGATGGATAATGAAAATGTGGAGACTTTATAATGAACTTCTGAAATACTGATAACTTCAACTTACGAAGATAAAAAAATTAATAATAGAATGCGATTATTAACTTTTTTATCTTACTCCGACATTTCCCACAAATATTTACGATACAGTGATAATGAAATAAAAACCCCTGAAATATCGTTCCCTCCCCCTATTGTTGAAGTAAAAGAAAGCTTTAAATTACAAAAAAAAATGTATTGTTGGATCTGTCACTGAGTTTTTCAGAGGAAATAAGTCAATTAATGAAAAATCTAGAAAGGAACAAGAAAATATCCTTGTAACAATTTTTTAAAAACCATTAAAACTTTAAAGAGAAAAGATATTCGTACGGTGATTACAAGGATAATTCCAGCTCTGCAACTTACTGAAAACTGGCGATTCGCAATACAATATCAAATATTCCGCATTTTAATGATCTGTTTTGCTTACTCAGCTGCCTATTTCATGCCAGCAGTATTACTATTTTTCTTTTAAACAAGAAAATATGTGAAGAAAACCGACAGAAAATGTCGCAATTTTTCATAATTTTGCAAATTTTCACATATCATTATTATATCTGTTTAGAGACAGTTAATTTGCCACAATGCTGTCGGTTATACTCTGAACTATCATGTGACAGTTGACAGAAGGTAAGACTAATTTCACACAGTTCATAGCGATTATTAATTCAGTAGAAACGAAAATGTCTATGAGATTATCGTAAATTGATCGTAAATGATTGGTATATTTTGAAATGTGACTATGCATGACACTGATCGCGGTTATGTAGACAAGAGATATATCATCGTAAAAGAAAATGCGGAGTCAAACATTCGGACATATTCCGCACAAAAGCCCGTACAACAGTCCCGACAATGCGTATCATCAACCATGTCCAGCATAACAGCAAATTCTTATTGACACTATCGATCCCGTAGACCATATAACAATATTTTCCATCGAACAGCTACAACGATGGAGCAATGTGAAACAATATGTTTCACCAATACAAATCTCTGGTATTGATTATAGTCAGTGTGTAGTGCAACAGGTTGCTCTGGAAGTAAGAAAGCACATATGAGCACAGAGAAAAGCTAAAAATGAGAAGGAATGATAATGTAATGGAAGGAAACGTATCTGGAATGAAACCCTGGAAGTGTTGAAAGACAAAGAGCAATTAAAATTGCGCGACAAATGAAAAGTAACAGAAAGACAAGAGAATGGATGTGTTTCTTGCTTATTCCTCCATTTCATAATAAAGAGAGCAACAGAAGTATTCATAACGTGAATCTTCATCACCCTTCAATGAATCTTTCGGTTTCATTTGGCTGCATAATGATGAGAATCCTATACCATGATTCATCGAAAAAATTAACTTGGGACGGTCTCAACCAAACGCTGAATTGTTATTTTTGTACCTCCTATTAATTTTCATAATTACAGAATATCCTATTAATTTTCATAACTGCAGAATATTTTTTCTTTAAACATTGCAGTTTATCAACATTCTGTTAATAAGATCCTACCAATATTGTCGACTACAATTTGATGATTAGTTCCATATCACATCCTCAACGCTTTTAATACAAGTTTCAAGCAGCTAAAAAATTGTGAAAACGTTGAATGGAAAGTTCGGTGATAAGGACAAAAAAAATGAACCGAAGCAAGTTATTACTGGAAGTTATAATCTTACTGTACACTTGTACAGAGCCGAAGTCTATAAATGTTTCTTTCTTTATCAATTTATAATTTAAAAAAAAAATAGAATTTATACGTCAAAACACAAACATCTCTGAATGCTTCGGTAAGAGTGTTTACATAAAAGTGAAAAAAGAACTACCGCTCGGTTAATAAAAAAAAGCCTCAGGAGAAATCGAAAAGTGAAATAGCGAAGGATTGATGGATGCGTTTGCAATAAAAGTGAAGCAGATCAAATGTGTTCTTTAATAAAAATCTGTAGTGATATGCCGGAAACGATGTCCCATAACTCGTCTTATCAGAAGCTTAAAATTTTCCGGAATTTAACTGAAGATTGCATGACTTGAACTTCTAAATGACAAAATGTCTGCAGTAATTTTCAGCGGAAAATTGTTTTAAAGAGAGAAACTAAAATGACCACATGAAGTACATCTTAATACTTCAAGCGAACAGTTGTGCAATACAATAATTATTCGGTCATTCATAGAACGTCTAATAGAAAGACCGTTTAATAAGCAAACCACATTTAAAATGTACTTCGTTTGACGAAAATCATTTTAGCTGCTTTTTGGCAATTTTATAACACTTAATAAATCCGTCATTTCACTGTGTAGCAAAACCAAAAAGCAGCTAAAATGATAAAAAGTAGAATGCAGAATATAAAAATCAGAATGAACCAAACAACGTAAATACATTCCTTTATACCAAATCCCTTTATTCCTTTATACTATGTATGGTGATTTATCTTTCTCAACTGAAAATGGATATCTGAAATAATCAGATCGTACCGATCTTTTCAGGTAAACTACTAGTCGAAAATAGAGAGCACCTTATATTTCGTGAAAAATAAGAAAGGATATGGAACCGTAAATTTCCAATTAGTAGTTTTTCGAAAGTTTGTTAAAAGTAATTGATTGAAGGTATATAAATTCAAATATGAGATACCAACTATCATTTATTACTCATTCCTTACTTTTTCCGAAACTAATTACGCTCAATGCCAACGATCTTTTTTTAAAAAAAATGTCGAAAAAGCATTCGCCTCCTTTTAAAGCAAATATCTTAGTGAATATGACCATTACTTAGTAATAGTAAAATGATACGGATGATTGCAATGATGAGGAAGTTACAGAGAGTATAATGTTAGTATGTTCAGCGAAAACTGTGATGAGTCATCGTACAAATAACACTATGTTTATCACAATTTTAATGATAATATTTCTTTTTTTTCTTCCTTACTCCTAATTCAATAAGACCTTCCAGGATAAAATTATGATAGCTCTAATGAGCAGAGAAATGCAAAAAATGGAAGTCACATAACAGCAAAGTAATAAACTACTAATAAAAGGAAAAAAGGGAAATTTTACTGTTACTTATAGTCCCTGGTGAACAATTCTAACGGATATGAAGCAGTGATATCAGCAGTAGCAGTAGCAGCAGCAACACTTTGTATACGATTCATAATCAGCATACAAGAGCAGCTAAATGGGAGCACCTAACAACAACGATGATATTAATAGCGGTATCGGTACCGATCCATATTTTGTGACTCGCGCTCTGATCGTCCATTTCTATCTTGCATATGTAATAGCAGCATGTCGACTCAGTACTTTTTTTCCCAGATTATTTTTCCACAACAGATTTGTTAAGTAAAAACCTGAAATGAATTGAAAATTGAATACAAAAAAATTAATTGCTAAAACGAGCGATACCAGGAACAATCTTTTAAAACCTCGATGATGTGCAATTTTGAGATATTCAGAAAAAGAAAATTTTGAGTGTAAAGTACCACTCGTAATCCACTGGACAAACAATAATAACATACAAAGTTGTCGAGTAGATCACATAAAAAACTGTTCAAAATCAAAAATAAATTTGATCATCGACAGTTTCTTTAAAATGAACAGCGAAAATGAATGTAAATTTTCGTACACTGACATGAATTTTAGAATGTAATTCATGGATTAAAATTCTTTGTGATTTTTGAAAGACAAAAAAACTGATTTGACCTAAACATCATAAAAAATAGAAAGAGAAAAAAATTATTCTTCAAACTGCTGCATAATCTAACCTTTCCAAGAAAAGCTAACAATATTATCAAAATAGGAAAAAGTAATTGATATAGTTTTATCATATGTAAATGATCTTAACGACATGATCATTTGTTTTAGCAATATTTAATGCTAAAATTTCTAATAGGAAATCTAATATCAATAACTTTTTAATAAAACAATAAATAAAAAAATGGTTAATGGACAATGTGTAATTAAATGCTGGAAAATCGTTTTAATGCTTCTAAATGTAAAGAAGATAGTGTATAACGGAAAGGAATGTAAATATCATTAATTTTTAAGTAGAATTAACGATATTTCTTAAGCATTTATTTAAAATTATTTACTTCTTGTTTGATAAGATACATTTCAGGAATTAGAAATGGAACAATATTTAGAAAATCAAGAAAGTGAACTGACGGTTAATAGTTGTTCAAGTTTCTTAAAGTGTATGCAACACTGTCAGGTGATTTCGTGTGATTTTAATGCAGAAATAAGAGAAGAGGCAGGCTAACTTAACTGCTCCAAGTGCAACTTTTGTGAAAGTGTCACTAAAGTCATAATAGAAACACTTTCATAATAGTGTATTTGGAACAATTAAGTTAGTCTGTCTCTTGGATGAAGTAAAGCAAAGAGAAAAAAGATAAAGGAAGTTGAAAGTGAGTGAAAAGGAATAGAGTTGAATCGATTCCGATGGGCCAGCCCTCTCACTTACTTCCTCTTTCAGCCATCATTCTTTTCTCAGGCTCATTTTAATGCCAAGCTACTGAGCTGCACTCTCATCCGCTTCTTATCACATCCATCATGATGGACTATCAACTCCGGGATATTTGAAATGTTTCATTAGGAATATTTCCAAATTCATTTGATAAGATGAAACAAATTCTTTTAAATACAAGCATAAAATGATTGTAACATGGTAACAGTCAGTCCAAACTAAAGAGTCCGATAATATTATTAAGTAAAGTATCTTAGTTTAGGAATTAAAATAAAAAGCTAATCAATATTGAAAAAAAATGCTAATTAAGTTCATAAAGAAACAGCGTCGTACAATAAGTCGATTGGTGATATACTCTGATAAAAAGTATGCTTTTAGTATCTTTGACCAAAGCAGAAAGAAGAACAAAGCAGACAAAATAAATCAAAATGGAAATGACTGAGAATAAAAAGAGAGAGATAATTATTTGATGAACAAAGAGAAGAGATAAAGAGAAAGATTTCTGAAATGGTCAGAGAATGTGTAAACTTGCGATAGCTGCAGCAATGCAGTCAACAGGTGTTGAGCTACCTGGACAGACAGCCAACCCCGATATCTCTCGGTAATCGGTACCGCTCGGACTTCCCGACAAGATTGATGAATAATTACATAAAGCGTTGTTTGTGAAGATGAAAAGATCAAGAAAAAAGGACACTGCAGAATGGCAATTCAAGAAGGAAATCAAATATATTCCAGTAGTAGTATGCTACTTTGATAACGATTGGTTTGCTGAGAGGTATTCCATTGGGGGAAGAGGAGGGAGGAAGTCGTGGTTGTGCGGTGTTAGTTGGCAGCTTTTTGGTCGGTAAGCACTGGTAGGAGAATGAGTAAATGTCAAACCGAACAATGAATGGAAAGGGCTGCGATTAATATGTTTTTGATACATGACTTCATTTCAGCTTGAGATCGCTTCTTTAATTCTCTTCGAACTCACATAGATATTTTTTTCATACTAACATTATGATAATTTATTGAGGTTGTGTGAGTAGAATGGATATCAGTTCAACAAATTCAAGTATTGATTCAACGGATCCAAATTGGAATCTTTTCTTGCACCAATTGCAGGCTGAAAATCAACGTCAGAAGTTTACAGAGCAGGTTAAAGAGACTGATGATTATTTGTTTCTCATATTTTACAGTTTATCTTATATATTTGTACCTTCAGCATTTTATATCTGAAGTTATTTAATTTCCATTCCTATAACTTTTAATTTGGAGATAGGTTGTATTAACATTATATTCTGATCAACAAGTCGTTCTTGTTTTAAATTCGTAAGTGTTGGTTTTTAGACAGCAGTTCTGAGTAGCACACAAGTCCAAGTAATTTTATGCATCTAAAGTATTGTGTATTCTCTGGACTTTTTATTTCTCGGCTGTATAAAAGTTGGTCCAGTTTGAAAGTTATGAGGAGAATAGCATATACGACGAATAGGTTGGGCGCTTTTCCTGTTCATTGAAGTTACCGCATGAATTAGCTGATCTTCGTAGTTATCTATTGGTGATCAATGAAGCGGAATTGAGATTTGTTAAAATTGTTGATAATAATTTGATTTTTAAAATTATTTTTTGAAGTTTTGCAGGTGCAAACGTTAACGGGTCGTTGTTGGGACGTGTGTTTTTCGGATTATCGACCACCAAGTAAGTTGGACGGAAAAACACAAAACTGTATCAACAACTGCGTGAATAGGATGATTGATGCCAGTAATTTTATGGTGGAACATTTGCAGAAAATGAGTGCTACTGAAATGAGCTGAAGTGACTGTTATTATGCCTGTGAATTATAAATTTTTGAGATATGCTAAAATGCTGTTTTATGTTTTATGTTTTCTATGGAAACTATAAGTTTCTGCGGATCCAGCCTAGGTTCTAGACTTATTTCATAGCGCTTATGCTTTACAATTATTATGATTTTTAATTACGGTTATGACTTAAAATGATTTATTTCAAAATTTTAATAAAATATCTTGCTTTATACTACCAGTTATTGTATGTGTTGAACACTGTATATAATTGAGGTCGCTTATAAAAATTTCATTGTGCTTATTTCTATATTTTGTTTTAGAAAGGAATCGCCCATATGTGGCTTAATATTCCAGCACTTATCTCTATGGAAAGAGGTCCTGGGATGTCAAGACCCATCTGGACCCAACATTTCACGGGGAGGAGTCGAACTTTCCAGTTTCAGTTTTTTGGTTGAACATTTGTCGTCCTCACTGTCTTTGCTATAGAGATAGAGGAGCATAAATTTGAACGGAATCATATATTCTCACTACTTTTTGAATTTATTTGCTTTATTTGACTCCTAAAAACAACCGCAGGAAATGATCCAAGAGCGGCCGAATAATTTGATGTACCTTTACATACTGATAAATTCCTCTGAGGCATTCAGCAGATAACTCCTATCAGTGTAACTGATCGTCTGCTTCCTGGACAGTATGACGTTTATCTTCGCTTGCCCTATAAAATAATCAGAAAGATAATCGGAAAGCAAGGAATGCCGGACGCACGCATCGTATGTTTGTGGTGTGTGTCTATGTCTATGTGCGTGTGTGTGTGTGTGTGTGTGTGTGTGTTTGTGTGTGTGTGTCTGTGTATGTGTGTGTGTGGTGTAGTGTGTGCTGTAATTGCACCGTTGTTAGAGCAGCTATGTCATGCGAAAATTTTCGTAAAGCATTTTTTAAGTGAATTATGATAATTGATTCATTAATTGCTGCTAAATTAATTGAGTAAATTCTATAGTGAATTTGAAAATATATTATAAATGGAAGATGAATGAAATTGGGGAACGATTTCGTTTAAATCATTAAATTTGTTTCATGTTTTGTGCATTAAATGAACTGCTGAAGCAATCAATGCATTAAGTGATGGTTGTTTGTACTTTCTTTTTTAACAAAAAAATATGTTGATATTTTTTCTTCATCGACTTGGGTGGTTTGAAATAGTACTGCAAAACATCGCTGAATGTGTTACTTAAAAGTTTCGTCCGTTGACATATTCGTTGATAACTCAATTTTATTGGGGATATTTCGCATGATATATGGGTGGAAGGTACTTCTCAGAGGACCGGATTTACTGATCGATGTTGAGTTGGTAATATGCTGTGCAATATGTTATTGTTATGTTTGATAAGACTGCAACGCTTTTCCAATATTTTAGAGATGGAACTCTGCATTTTGATACTTCTTGAAAATTTTTATCCTTGTTTCTGTGATATTATTTTAACAGATCTTATGTTTTCAATTTCCTTATCTATGATTTACCCTTTTTTTTAGGAAGAACCAAATGATTATTAGCAACCATAATTCATTTTTCGTCAATCATTACAAAAAAAATGTAATGCAGAAAATAAAGATCGGAAGATCGATTCCTAAACCGTCTTCCTACCCCTTACAGGTTACTCATTCACTGCAGTTGGTGTATATTTTCAGAGAAATCAATAATATCACGGACATCTTATTCTGAAAATTGTGTTATTTCAATTTTTTCTTCAATTGTTTTCATCTCTGAAAAGATCGACGTCATTCGTTGGAAATTTTGGGAAATGTCATTTTTAACGAAAAGAATTTCCTTATTTTCAGTTGTTTATATGCTCGTGCCATTTCGGAAATCGGTATGGTTTTGCATTATAGAAATGTGGATCAATTAAAATATTACATCCTTGCGTGATGCATTGTTGGATATCAATGTCAGCTTCCTGACATTTCGTGAAGCTTCAGGTCAGTTTATTACCACTGAATTGAACACACAATGAAAAGAATTTTAAAACATTTCTAATAACCCTTCTTATTGCGCTTCAATAATCCTTCAGTTTTTAATATAAATAACCATCATAATGAGTTTTAAATTGAATTTAGAAGTTGAAGTATAAGGTAATTTCAAAATGACTTCACGAAAACGTTGTGAATATATGTCCGACAATGAATGCATTTTGTTTACTGGTAAAGTGAACAAAGTCTGCGCATTGGGGCCATAAGACAAAGTGAGATTCGTTATAATCTCTGAAGTATACAAAGCGTCACTCATGGAATAAAAAGAATGTATTTATAATGATTTGAAGTGTTAAATTATGAAAGTGTTTATATGTAGAATTATTAAGATTTTCCTGAGCAGACATTTTATCACCTTAGTAATTTATTAGCGAAAATCTAATGATAATAGTAGCACGCGAACATTCATAAATTTCAAAAAATCATGCAAAGCTAAAAATTAATAGTGATTAAATGTTATCTACTATTATTATTATGTATTTGTCTTTAGAGATTTGTACAATATGATGGTGGAGGTTCTTCCTTGAATACAGTAAACATTGGAAAAGCACTATTTTAAACATGTAATTATCATTTCACTTTCAATTTTTAAAAGTTTTTTCTCATTTCCAGCTAATTTATAGAATTTTTTGTTAGATGTTTCGTGATGGAGTTGGGTTTGGAGACAGCGCGTTGGGTGATCGATAGTTGTGAAGATTCAAAGTGTAGCAAGCAGATGCTTCAAAGAGCTCGTGAAATCATTGAGACTGGCTCTCTATTTTCCATACATACCTTCATCGTACATCGACAGTGCTGTTTGAAATTCTCTCCTTATACAGGCGTTGTTTTACTTGAAGAGTGTACGATTAAAATTGTTCCAAGAGAAAGCACTGATGATAAGGTTAATTTCTGAATAAATAAATTTTAAACTGTATTCAAAAAAAAAAAACATTCCTCTCATCTTTTTCATTGTATTATATCATCTGATGTTTTTCCTGCTTTTCTAGAGAATACCTTTTTTTGAATACATTTCCGATTTTATTTATGCCCTTCATTGCAGATGTTGGATAGTCTATTTTTGAAAAACGCAATCCAGTCCTACTTGCATTTTTTACAATTAAAATCTGGGGAAACATACAGTGGGGAACAGCTATCAAATGAGATTTATAAATATAGGTCTGCTTCTTGCCTACTTATCAAAAAAGTATTTAGCTCTTGAAAATGCATTTTTCGAAACAAAGTCGAGTATGCCTACTTTTGTTAAATGCAATCCATTGTTTCAAAGATTTCTGTTCTAGCGAAGCTAAATAACGAGCAGTATTGCGAACCTTAGCAGCTGACATATGTTCTTGAACCAATTTTGATCTAATCACTAATAAACCTTATTCCATAATATTTTTCAGGGTTTCTATGAATAATATATGTATAGATGATCAGCTAAGGAATTTTGAAATCCATAAATTTCTTCTTGGAGAGCTTAATCCTTTACTTCATGTTTACTTAACAATCAAACGGAGAAAACATGGTGTTTCATCTCATTTATCATCGTATTCTGAATCTGCTGGGTAACAGTTAATGATCGATTGCTTTTGGCTTTTCATATTTATTATCATCTCTATCGTCCATGCTCTGATAAATTCTAAATAAGTATCAGATATCAAGTCAGTTTTTGCAGATCGTTTTGTGAAGATTGGCTACTGATTTCATCGCCATTTTCCGGTGAGGGACATCTTGCTGCATCACCACCCGGAATCTCATTTTTTAATATACCAACTAAATTCCATCGAAACAATGAGAAGGAAAAGATAAAATCTGAAGGCATTGGGAAAGATAGAATAGCTGCATTCAAAACTCATAACCTCAAGATGACATCCTGTGAACAATTGTTAATTAAAGACAAGAGCGCCTGCAAGTCATTTCATTTACATTCTGATTCACGAATTTATCAATTTTTCAAAGTCCGAAAAGATGTAGAAGGTAATTTTTCCGATAAACTAAAAAAGAGAATGGAAAAATATTGTTTTTGTTGACGAAAACTTATTTTTTGCTCTTTTTTTGATTGGATTTATGAACTGATATTTTTGTATGTCAGTGAATTCCCGCAGCAATTTTTTTTTCATGAATCATTTACAGTTAGAGATGAAAAGATGCTGTTGGGAAATGAGCAGACGGTCAAGCCACTTGCTGTTGAGAGTCTGCTATCACCATCAGCATCTTCAATGGAGACTGGATCTCCATTGCAAGCAGTTCCGACATCGCCTGCCTCACGTCGAGAAACCCTGCCACGCCGAAGTCTTATTGCTTCTGCATTTCGTTTCATGTCAACAGCATCCAAAGCTTTCTCCAAAACAACAGGTCTGCCCCTGAATTCTAGTCCTGCACCATTCAACCGCAGTGAAACGAAATGTGTTGAGGATCCGTCACTAAAAAGTACCGGAAATAGGATCGCCGAAAAAACAACTAGAAAAGGAACGAGAACTCATATCTTGCGGAAGTTAGTAGTTTATCATTCTGATATTTTGTACACCCTATCATAGTCCCTGTAAACACCAGCGCAGTCTTCAAGTCACTCACCAAATTTTTTTTTTTCTCTCAATTTATATGAATGATGGAAACTCCTATAGTCTGACAATGTTGTTAATATGGCAGGAAATATGCTACTCCGATGTTTTCGCATTACGTTGAATTATCTTTTTGAAATATCTCTTAGGTATTATTGGTTATTGTAGCACGTCATTGGGACAAAGTAAAGATATGATAAGTTTCAGAATAAAGTGTTAAATGTTTGGACATTATAGTGTGCCGATAGATGAAAAAGACAGTAATTCAAATTACTATGGAGGTGGTTGTATTAGGAGAAATATGTCTTCAAACAGTGGTTTATTGTGCAACTTCGAGGAAAGCGCATTGAATGGTCGCTTAGATCTGGTCACGTCTTTAAACGGTTTTCATTTGCAGATTGGTAAGTTGAAGGTACTTCCTGTTGAAATTTATTCTTGTTAGTAAAGTTCACTAATTTAATATATGCTTTAAAGAGTTCAATCATAGCAAACCAATAGTTTAACTCTAATTTTCTTTAAATTGAAATTATTTGGCAATATTAACAAAATCATTCAGCGAATCAAGTTAAAAAATTTTATAGCAGCAAGCGATGAAACTTGTTCTCCCCATCTTACGTTGCCAGTTACAACTTTTTTTTTCAACATGCCTGAAGATGAAGCGCCTTTACCCTACATGGTTTGTTGATTAATTTTATTTCGAAACTCAGAACTATCTATTCCATTTTTCGTTTCGATTTTACTTTAATTTTGATACTGTTGAAAGAGATTTTACAGTTTAAAATTTTTATGTCTTGTATAAATACTTGGATCATTTACTTTTTCAGTTTCTGACTTTCATTTTTAGGGTTTTTGTTCATTGGAAAACATGCGTAAAGGTTACAGAATTCCCAGAAAGGGCATTTTACAGGCGGTAATTATTTTATGGATTCTCTTATTCCGAACAATTGTTCAAAATTATTCTGATCTCTTGAGAAGGACAGTTCATAAATAGAGCTGCCTTAAATCTTCCGGCAACAGCTATTAATAAACTCGTCATCGAATATAAAAATTTTGCCTAGGAATAATCGCAAAAATATCATTTTTGGACTTCAGTAATGGCGTAAACGTTCGTGGGAAATACCATCTAATAGACAGTCAACAGATATTAGGAAAACTGTTAGAATCGCCAATTCACTCACAGTATTTGATGGAATAGAAAAAGTCGGTAGTTTCATGAAACATTTTTTGATTATTAAATGAGAATTAGGACATAATTAGTACCAATTTCTATTTTCTTTTTCTTTAGAAATTAATGAATAATATGCATGTATTTATCATACTGAAATTATTTTGTTGTAGGTGTTGTTCAATCCTCAAGGTACTGTGGTACGAATGTTTGTAGTCAAGTTTGACGTCAGTGATATGCCGCCTTCTTCACAAACTTTCTTGCGACAACGTACATTTTTTATGCCGGTGGGATGTACTTATGATGGTGTGCTCCGTTCTTGGCTTAAATATCTAATCCATCTAAGGTGATCACTTTGCAGTTTCGTGTTTAGATTTACTTTGGGTTTTAGGTTTACTACCAATAAGTTTTTCCTTCTCTTCGATCCTATGACTTTCTAGTCCTGGTATCAAATTTTTTCGAGATTTTATCTCTTGTTTCTCCACACATCCTACTGTACATCCTAACTTTTTTAGTCTGTTCAAGCACTCTTAGAAAGTTATTCTACTATTCTTGTGCTTCTTTTTAAGATTTATTTAAAAATAAGAGGTTATGTTTATAGAACAGTTATGTGGTTTCACTAGTTTTTTCATGTCATATGTGTTCTGTCCTTCTCTCCAAAATTTTTTGCCGAAATTATGTCTCTTCCAATGAATGAGTCAACTTTTATATAGTATTATAAAAATTATAATAGGGCATGGCAAGGAAGAATCTAATTATATATAACTTATTTTAGCTTGGCAACAGATCGTCGTGGTAGATTATATGTTCACACTGATATAAAGATGTTATTTTCGCAAAAAAACGAGCTGGAAACGTTAAACTTTGAGTTGGGAAAAGACATAATTAAATACCATCTACAATCTTTCACGGAAATGCCTCGAAATCCGAAATATTCACCTCGCAAGTGATTTAGTATGCACTTAACGGAGGTTGTTGGGCAGTGATATCTCAGAAGACGTCACAGCTTAAGTGGCAATTAAGGTGATATATTTGGATTCCCGATTCTTTTATTTTCTGATAGTTTTTCTTATCTTCTCAGCTTACTGTGTGCTGTTCTTTTTGTACACTCTGTTTATGTTTACCTTAATGTACTAAAAAATGTGTCATAAAGCTAAATATTGAGCGAGTCTAAGGTGATTTTTGGATTTACAGTTTTTTTCGATGCTTTATTGGCCTTCCTGTATATTTTAATCATTGCTCTACTTTGAACATCTTGTAATGTATTTAGTTCAAATCTGTTTTATTTTTTTTGCCTATAACCTTCATTTCAGTGGTCGTTCTTCTTTATTTAGCTTTAAAGTTGAAGCTGAGATTTTTTATTCAGCTCTAAAGTTGAAAGTATAATCATTTATTCAACTATGAAATTGAAAGTGGAATTATAACCTCTGAATTAAAAAATGATAAAATCGCATTGTTGGTTTGCTTTTTATATTTTTGGTCCATTATAGTTTAGACCAGAATTATTCGGGATTGATATCAACCCTCCATTCCAGCACCAAATTATACAACAATCAGTTCAATTCATAAAAAAAATTTTTCGACATATAAAAATTTATAAGAACACAGAAAGTGATTATGGATTTATTCATCCTAAAGCAGATTATTTGTAAGTGATGCAGCATTCCTTGCTACGCTTTTCATTTCTTCTATATAATATTTCTAATTCAAAAATAGCTTGAATTTTGAATACGTTTTTTGTTCTGCAGATATAGCTAGTGCTTAGTTCTGTTGTCACTGTTCCTTAGAAAATGTACTTAAACCATATTGGAATAACAGATGATTTGCGGGTAAAAGAATTAGCACGGCTTCACAAATTAAGGAAAAATTGAAATGAAATTTTTAGATACAAAAATTGCGAAGGGATGTTTTTCGTCTGATTACTCTCTGTTTTGTCTAAGATATCAGATATCCATCCTTTATTAATATATTACTGCTGGTTAGTTTTCATAATTATCAGATCTGTCACATGAAGTACCGCTCAGTTTCAAAATGGTTGTGAAGCAGTATTCATAGCGAAGACGTATAGCTGAAATGAAAGAATTAGCTATCCTCGATTAATATATAAATGGTTAGAATATATGACAGCAAAGTGGCATATCATCACCCATCTTTACCCCGCACAACCTTTCACACAATTAACCGAAACTTGAAAATGTCGTGAGATAGGCACTTTTGCACAGTTACATAAACACATCGATGTCGTGATATGGGGACGCAAGTCTGGATCATTGAGGGGGAAAGAACAGGTTTGGCTAGAGCCTGGGACTTCGTTGGCTCAGCTTAGATTTAATAAGATGATGGAAAAAGGAATGGATGGTACTGGAGCAATAACAGGAATTTCTATTGATAGGATAGAATCACTGCTTAATCGTGTCCTGGGGTCAAGCTCTGACTGGTGAGCAAAGTACGATGTGTCGTGTTGTGCCTATTGTGCTTCAATTTAGATGAATTACTTTACTTAATTTATATAGTCAAAACAAATTACTCTGAAAACAGAAATGCATTTCATGTTTTCGAGTACTCCATGTAATTCGTATACGCATATCATAGTGACAGAGCAACCTTCAGATGTAATGTATTGTCATCGTTTCACGACACTGTGCAGTGGTGCGTCTTTTGAATGTATATAAGCATAACTTTTTGCATTTATTTACTTTTTTCCTGTGGGTTTGTTTTTAACGTTTTCTTTCGTTCACTGATAAACGTTTAATGTTTTTCCCAGCTTCTCATAAATGGATATGCTTACAATTTCCTTACTCACAGCCACACTCCAGGATTACCATTAATATAAAATTCTCAGCACCAGTTTTGTTCCGAGATAACGTAAAGTTTTGAAGGATTATCTCTTCCTGTCGCCATTAATAACAACAACAGGTACATAAAGGCATGATGCTGTCATGTACCGTGCGTTTTTGCTCAAAACTCTTTTTGTTAAGGGTAGATAATCCTTCATAAGAAAAGGTCCTTCAGCATGAAGAAGGGAATTGTAAGTGAAATGAATTCTTTGAACTGCACGGGTAATCCGCGTTTGATCAAGTAATGAACTTTGTTTCATGCACAATATCTGTAGCATTTAATGTATGAAACTCACTTATATCAGTCAAACATAGTTGAGTTGAGGTGGCTGCACCACATGTTAGGTAATTATTGTGCTTCAGCTTACACCAGTCTTCAACAAGACGTGCTGTCGAAATTTGAAAAGCTTCTTAAGCCAGAATGGCAAGGATCTCAACTGTCGGTGAAGGCAGTTGGGAGTTTCTCAGAAAAGAGCAGATTGCCCAAAGCAATGAAGAAAATGATTATACTGAAGACGATGATGATGATGATGATGACTGGGAGAGAATGTATGACGATGAATATGATGGTGGGTCTACATGATATCTGCTTCAGTTGTTTTGTTCTTTAATCGAAATAAGAAATCAGCGTGGCAAATGTCTTATGCAAATGGGGACACCTGAAGATTAACTCTACTTTCCTGCATATTTGCATCGTTATAAAAATATTCTTCTTTGGAAGTAGGGGGTGATATGCTTAATTAGTTTTGATCATGTTTATAGTAGTTTTTTCTTTTAAAAGACAGTTATAAAAAAATTTTATCTATTTGCACTTCTATGCCAACTTTTTATTGCTTTATTGAATGCTGTTTTGTTTTCAGATCTTATTCAAAAATTCGGCAATAGCAGTAAGGTATGACTTCGAGTTTTGATTCTTATTTCTGTGCTTTTCTTGTTCTGCCCCTTTTTTATCATAAATGTTCAAGTCATTTTGATTAAATTTTTTTTCAGTTACTTACTGATTCGGTGAATGCTGTTTCAAAAGTAACTACGGGTGAGTTTTCATCTTATTTCAAAATATTTCTTGTCACCGAATCCTAGCTTTATATTTGAGGCTTTTATGATTATAAAATTATTCTGAAAGTTGTTTATATTTTACAATTTGTTTGATGATTTAATGTGATGACAAGTAGTCCCACGTTCTACAAGTATCTTATAAAAATTATCTGGGTAGGACTATTATGAGGCACATCTAAATTGCAGTTCAGAACTGCGAGTAAACTGATAGCCTTCGTCTTTTTTTATTGGTTTTCGTAGTAGATGCGAATTTTGACAGTAACTCTTCAAGATTACACTCATTACAGGTCTCACTGGTTTGAATGAGTTCTGGAACCGGAAGCTAATGGAAGAATTTTCCCCGATGAAGGCCGTAGGTAAGGATCGATCTGACCGAGCAACTGCAGAACAGGTAATAGAATTTGTGTTTTTGGAGGAGAGCTAACTGTTTTTTATATGTCCGCTATTGTTCTTCTGATAGATGGTATAATTCATTGCTGTTAGAATAATTCTAAAATGATTTTTTTCTCTCGATACGAAAAGAAAAGCAGAATATGCAATAAAATAGAATTACATTGAACATGTTTGCTTGACTTCATTCGTTTACCTTTATTTTCTTTCAAGGTTCTGGATAAACGCACATTGCTTGTGTTAAGACGACTTTTGCAACGAGATATTTTTAATAAAATTGAAGGATGCGTTAGTACTGGTAAAGAGGCAAATGTTTATCATGCTTTAACAACTAATGGCAAAAGTCTGGCCGTGAAGGTATATAAAACAAGTATACTCATCTTTCGAGATCGTGACAGATATGTTAGTGGTGAATTCAGGTTTAGTTTTGCATTTGGATTTTTTAAAAGTATGTTTCTGTGAACTTTACTCGTATTACAAAAGCATCCGAGGAAGTGGCTATTTTTCTGACTGTATGCATTTCTCTGGTATTGATTTGGAATTTTTAAAGTGATTTTTGAGGATTATTATATATAATGTTACTTACACATTACAGTTGAAATAAATTGCCACTGAGATAAACAAGAGGTATATTTGCTATACAGATATCGACATGGTTATTGTAAGCGTAATCCAAGAAAAATGATCACGGTGTGGGCAGAAAAAGAAATGAGGAATCTGTCCCGAATGTATTCTGCTGGACTCCCAGTTCCAAAACCTGTAATCGTTAAGCAGAATGTTTTGGTTATGGATTTTATTGGTATCAATGGCTGGCCGACAGTACTTTTAAGAGTTCGTGTCCAGATTCAATAATTTTTTTGTTATGAGTATATGACGCAATGAATTGTTTTTGGTGCGGAAAGTTTTGATTTTTTATTATTTTTTGCTTTTTTGAATTTTCAAACTTTCTTATTGATTAAGGGATTTTACTGAATTTAGGATGCTCAACTGTCACTTGAACTTGCTGATATGCTTTATGTCAAATTAGTGGGCTTTATGCGGAAAATGTATAGAGATTGTCGATTGGTACATGCTGATTTATCTGAATATAATATTATGGTTATGGAGGAAAAATTATATATAATTGATGTATCACAAGCAGTGGAACATGATCATCCACGTTCGCTGGAATTTCTTCGTTCAGACTGCTCAAATGTCACAAAATTTTTCAGAAGTAGAGGTGTAAGTCTTTTATTAAAATCTCTTTTCTATTTAAAAACTGCTGAATTTGTTGGATTTGAGCTTAATATTGCAGATTCCTGTGCTCTCTACCAGAGATCTTTTTCGTTTGGTGGCTGATCCATCCATTAAAACAGAAAATGAATTACAGGACTTCATGACTAAAAGGTAATTTTTGGTTTATGTAGTTTTCTACAGTTATCGTTGTCTTCCGGTTATTCTAAATAATTATGCAAATATACGCAATATGCTCGATGTTAACTAAATCTTAAATCTCATTACATTATTTTTTAATTTTATGTTTATGTTGATGACAATTTTCAGCATAGGAAAATAGATTAGTTTTAGTAGATAGTATTGCATTTTCCGAGGAACTAGAACTTTTTTAAATCGAGCTTACTGCTTTAGATGCAGTTACTAAAATTCAAAATTTGAAAATTTAGAGGTGAAAAGTTGAAGGTAACTTTTCGACTCTAAATTGAAATTAAGGTTTTTGAGAGTTGTTTTCATTTTCCAAACATATTTTCTTTTTTTTTTTCAAAAATATTGTATCATTTTTGCAGGACCTTCGAAACACCAGCTACTGATGCCTTGTTTATGAATGCTTTTATTGCTCAAAAGTTAGAACAAGTACTTCACTTTGAACGTGATCAACAAATTGCAAAAGCTGGTGGAGAAATTCCAAATCCATTCCAAACGATGATTTCACAAGTAAAAAGCGATGAAGATGAAGTAAAAATCAATTTAAATTTTATTGTATATATATGTATGTGGTAAAATTTTATGACTTTGTTTACTGCTTAAATTTAGCAACAGTTTCAATTTTATGAAAGTCTTAAAATATATATTAGTTAGAGCGACCGTTTCTTGGACATATTTCTCTGTAATTTTTAGCATTTTTTGGAGGAAAATAAGATTAAAAGTGGAGAATTAGAAGATCAAAGTGATTTCAATCAACACCCTTACTCAACAAGTTCGTCTTCCTCGGAAGAGAAAGAGCAAAAAAATCACAAAGCTATCTATATACGCAATCGTGATGAATCCCCTAATACGAAAAAGGTTCGTGTGGAAAATTCTATCATAATCATGCAGTAGTGATTAAACTTTTTTTGAAAAAATGAATCTTTTGCACGCTTATCAGGAATGGGTTCTAAAACGTGGAATAAGCTAAGTGAATTTAGGGATTATAAGTTAATGGACTGTTCGGAGAGAAATTCTTATATCGATTGAATTTTTTTAATACTCAAAGCCTGTAAGTTACTGTCAAAATGTTTACTTATAATTTATAGTTCGGTATTATTAAGCAAAATATTTGCATTAAGCATATATGTTTTGACTTTAATTTCTTCAGGAACGGAAACGATTGGTAAAAGAAGAGAAACGCGCCAATCGATTAACGAAGACACCGAAGCATATCAAAAAGCGTCATAATAAGGCCAATAAGTGTCGATAAAAGTGTAGCCAGTAGACAAAATATAGTGACTGAAGCATTTTTGTGGTAGTTCCATTCTCTTCTCTAATTAGAAATGCTGGCGATACTTCGAAGAGTGCAAAATGTAATTTTTTCCTGCGATGTTGTAAAGTTTAAATATTATTGTTTCTTGTTTATGTATTTCGGCAGAGACAGCGCTCCATCATTCATAGATTGTAAACGCTCTCATAATTGATCTTAGATTTTCATTCTGTTTTTCCTGTGTTTTAAACTTCTCAAATCTTTGGGAAAGATTTTCCAATTCTTGAAACATTGTTTCTAATGTATTTCTTTGGTATATCTTTTGAACGCAATATTTCAAAATATTCAGATATTCCGTTTTTTAATTGAAGGATTTTCTATCATAATGTTTTGTTTGGTCTATTACTAGTTTTCAAAATGACATGTACAAAGTATGGAAGTCTAACATCAGGTTGATTAAATTTCTGTATTAAGTGTATTGCAATTATTTTTTCTATAATTTATAAGGCGCAATTAAGAAAGTTTGTATTTTGTCATTATTGTTATTTAATACTGTTATTATTATTAATACTAATGTCTTTATTGCCTTTACTATTATCAGAATTGTAGCCTTTTTTTTGCTTGTGAACAAAGCAAAATTGACATCTTACTGTCTCTTCTGGATATATAGTTGTCCACTTCTTTCTATTCATTATGCTTTTGTTTTTTGTCATCTTCAAAGTATTTTAAAATAATTTAGTCGAAATCTTTGAGTAGATGATCGGAAACACAAGTATAAATCGCTGGATTTTCCAGTTGTTGTTTTACGCTACCACTTCTATTTTATAGATGCAGGATCTATCAGAGTGAAGAATTAGTTTAACTGATTCATTCTCAGACCACACCACAGCCAAAAATGCTGCATGTGTTGTCATATGTTTTGGTATGTAAAATGAATAAATGAATTACCTTATCAAAAAAGTTTGAAATCTAAACATATCTAATAGTAATAGAGATGCGACAGAAAATTTACGAAATACTTATGTTAGCTCTGCTACCAACTTCCTCTAATCCTCTTTATAACATCGAGGTGGAGGAGTTTTGGAGTCAAGATAAGAAATAGGTATATCACTCTCAACAAAGATGACCTGCTTCTCGTCGACCGAAATTTTCGGATTCGGTATCCATTGCAAGAATACGCTTTCTATACTATTGGTTTTGTGTGTAATTTGAAAGGTGACAAATAAATGGTACATCTTAACATGTTTAGTCATATAAACGATGACCTTGCCTTTTCATTTTACCAACATCAATAACAATTCAATCGGTACAAGAAATCAATGCATCTTCGGAATATTAACTGACTGAAGTGTTCCTCTAAACTTATTGTGCGTCGATTCTACCTTTAATTTCATCCATTAGCCAATATTTAAGCTGGATTCCAACATCCTTTGTCATCCACTCAATGTATTTTTTCGATTTCACTACTCTAACTTCATCACTAACTCTTGACGGATCATTTTCCTACGTCTTATCGGATATATATGCTTGAGAAATCTAACGGAGTACTCCCACGGTCTCGTAATCGAATATCTTTCAGTTATCGTCTCTCTCTCTCTCTCTCTTACCTCATCTACACATTGAAAAGAGTGATTCATGCTTTACACTCTCTTCCCAATTGATACGAAGACTCTGACGTGATCGTAGGATGAACTTATCACTTACGCTAATTCGTAAATTGTCGAGTTCCACTGATTTTCTCTATTTCTAAAATGTTATTGAAAGTAAGTAATGTAGTAAATAATAATTTAATACCAATCTATGATCCGCTTGTTTTACTTTAGTTTAGCAAACATTTATTCGCTATTTTCCAATTGCGATATAGCAGGGACTGAACGTTAACGTATGGAGGTGGACGATTGATAAAGGGAGAGAATCAGGTTTAAATCCGGTGACAACAACAATTTTTATTTTTTAGTTGTTCAGTGATTCGAAGAAGAAAATGAATAGCCAGGAATGGCTGAGTAGAGGAAGGATGAGATTAATATATCGTTTAGATTTCCTTAGCGATTTAGAAGGAAATTTATTGAAATTAAAAATTATTAAGCCCTCAGACATTAGAATATGATTAGAAAGATGGGCGCTAAGTTTTCATCCTTTTACTTTAAATGAAAACATTTTGTGGCATCTCGTAAATAATAAAATTATTCGAAGATGTGATAATTCTATTCCTCTCATTTCTATCCTCAATCAATTATCATTTTATCATCGCATTTATTTACTTTCATTTTAACTTACAGCTATCTAATCATTCGTTTGTTTCAAAATGATACAAAAATATTTTATAATAAAAAGTGCTAAAATTCCTTTGATGTTACTTAAATAAGACTGTAAAAATGAATGATCGCAATTTAGCAATAAAATAATATACAATGGTTGACGGATTCAATCATTTTGTTAGTAGAAATGAATGAAAGAAAGAGAGAAGTGAATGTAGGAGAGATTAGTGTGAGGCCTCTCAACTAAAAACAATTGATTTTAAGGCTCGCTGAGATAGATCAGACTTGGCCTTTTTTCTTCTCATTGTCTGATGTAGCGTTGTCATGGCAGCATTTGCTTTTACTATTACTATTACTTCCACAAATATTGCATACATGGCCTACTACTTATGGAATCATCAACTATCCTTTAAGTTTTTTTTCTAAAATTGACAAAATCAATGAGTGTTTGCTACTATTTTTTATTTTGTCGCATAACATTCTATAAAATCTCGATTATTTTTTTTTTCTTCTCCCAACATTCTAATTCTCATATCCATCCATCTTTTCTGACAGTTCTTCAGCAATAGCATTATTTATGTGTTTTAGTGAATCAGTAAAGATGATAGCAGTTTTTATGAAATGAAAATGCTTTGAGATTATGACTTTTTTTAGGGAAACAATCAATGAGGATATTTTGGAAAATATTGTTATTTTTGAATTGAGAATGGACGATAATGAAAAGTTCATGTAAAGTCTTTTAAGGTGAATAGTTTTTAAATGTCCTATAATACAGTTCCCCTTTTTTTTCTCCTGCTAGTAAATTATTTTAAGTTATAATTATAATTCTGCTAATTCACTTAATTATTTCATTCTTTCTTTTTCCTTCATTAGCATTTTCCATGCAAATAATTTCATCATTTATTGATGTGAATACAAACACATTTCAGCAAGAGGGAAAGGGATTGGATTAACATCAATTTAACTCACCTTCTTGTAATTATTTCCAATTATTGATATTTGAAGAAGTGCAAATGTACGATAATCGACTGTATTGTATATTGGAACAAATTGAACTATAAAACGAAATAAAGAGAAAGTTTGGAAATTTCCAAGAAAATTTTAAAAAATGCGATAAAATTGATTCATGTGGTTGATTGATCGATTGATTGATTGATTGACTGGTTGATTAGTTGATTGATTGGTTGGTTGGTTGATTTAGTCGTTTATTCATTATTCTTAAATGTTAAAGAGTGGTTTGCTTGATTGTTTGTCATAATTTTAAAGAATATCGCCCCGTGCCTTCCGTCTTCCTTATTTCAAAAGGAAAAAGCGAGTTTTTGAAAAGTGAAATATATGATGTTTGTGTTGTTTTGTTTCGTTTCTCGATAGATGCATAACAACATTTTCCTTTCCCTCTTGCACTTTTCACTGATCTCTCTTTTACTCTTCTTTCGTCATCACCGTAATCAAACACAGAGAGAGAGAGAAAGAGAGAGAAAGGGTCCTCTGGTTTGAAAACTTGGAAAAATTTGTGGATATAGCCAATGAGTTGACAACTAATTATTGTAATGTTTAATAACTAATTTAGCACCATTATGAATCATCGAGTTTGTGTGAAAAAGAAAGTGAGTAAAGGCTTTACGTGGTCAGATTAATAATTGGGCTTCAAAATTGGGCAAATTAGCTTCGTTTTTTCTTTCTGTTTTTATTTCCAATCAATTTATGCGATCAGTTATCGAAATCATATATTATTTAAACTGATTAGAGATTACTCGATATTATTTTTGTAAAATTTCTTGCAAAAGATGGCACTTAGAATGTTGTCGTAACAGATAGGCTGAGTGATTGTTTACTGAGAACTTAGAAATAAGACGATTGCGTTCTCATAATATTAATTCATTGTACGAATGAAAGGAATTTCTGAATTCAGGAAAATTGGTATACTTCAAGGGAACAATGATAAACTGATGATTATAATTACATCATAAATCTGTTTACTCTGATGTGACTTGATTAAATTTGAATGACTATAGTTTACTACATAACTGTAGAGAATTACCCCATCCGTTTGTATACTTTCAAATAAATAGTGATATGAGATTCTTCTGATAAATCATTAGACGTGAAGATGGAAAATTATATAGGATTGAGTGTAAGTCAAAAACTTATTGCTTGCGTTTCCAGAAAAGTTTATTAAAATGACGTTATAAGCGATAACTATTATAAAATATATTTCAACTTTTTAAACAATTATAAGGATTAATTGTCGTTAGATTGTTTCTGTCATTTTGCAAGCTGTAAATAGCACTTTAATCTCTTAAGTTGAGTGATTGCTAATTGAGGTATAAAGGTTGTCTTAATTGAAAGATTGATTGAGAAAGACGAAAAAAGAATGATGACGGGGAAATGGAAGATCAGGTCGGGGTTGATGATGTAATTATTTATTCATTGCTGTTGTATATCAGTGATGAATGTCATAATGATGATTGTGAGATTTGACACACTGTTGAAATTATTCTATGATTGAGTGCTAAACTGAGATATTTCATGGAATGGAAATGTCTTTTCTTTTCTAATAATCATCGAGGAATATAAAAAATTTCTTTTTTTTTATTTCGCATAAATCGATTTTTATCAATGTGTCATGTGAAGAATGTTATGTTTTCAGATTACTATGTTGCTATGCTATCGTCTGATGGTATTATATGTGTATTATATTTGATGCAACCATCACATTGATTAATTGACTTCTGAATTCAGAATACTGCAAAAGTATTTTAGGTTAGATTAATTTTTTTATATTTTTAAAGCCTTTTTAAGTTTACTGATCACCTTCTCATCGAGAATCATCACCTATTTGTTCATCTTCCAACATAACAGAAGGCTATTTTCCATTCCTTTACTACTGGTTATTGCTATCCGGAACAAATTATTCCTAATTTATATATCTTTAAAATTGAAATATATATGACATCTATTCATGTACAGTTTGATGATTATATAATTTGAAGTATTAAGGCTTATTGGGGTATAACATACGCTAATTGCATAATCACTTTCCTTAATGAAATGTTTAACTTAATTGTATTATCATATTGTTGCATTCATGCTGAATTCGAGAGTTGTTCAGAGGTATGATAATAAGATGATATCAGTTTTGTATTCTAATTACGTTATGCTTCAATAACTGAAAGAAGAAGGAGGAGGGAGAGTTCAAAGATAGCACTTCCCCCTTGTCAATTCGTCATCACGTAATTAAGAAGTATTTGTCATCGTCTGTCCTTTCCATCTCATCCTCTTCTTAACACTTTTTTTTTTCTCTCAAATTTCTCGCCATTTGAATGAAACATTTGCTGTTGTGGTGTTTGTCGAAACTCTCTAATTGTTTCGTGCTATTTCGTTGTCTAATGTTACTGGAACGGCAAGGTGTCTATAAAAAAAATTCTATAAAACGTTTTGTTACGTGACACACGTTCCTGGTACGTTGCCAATTATAGTCGTATGAAATAGGAAGTTGACAGTGATGGTATGTAAATTCGCATTTTTAATTATTTGCGCAATCGTTTTGAATTTGCATTGAGTTCTGCATGTTTTTCTCATTTGGCCTCAAGAAAACCATTCATTTCTTTTTTTAGCGGTTTATTTGTCAATAATTAAATAGCATTTAAACGATATTATCATTTCGTGCTCCACTGATAAATGCCATTTAATTATTGGCAAATAAATTTCTTTTTGTTCAAATTTTTTAAAATAAAAAAACTCTGTGGATCACCTTTTCCATTAGTGCAGTGCTGAAAGATGGCACAACAAGATGTTTCAAAGCATGAGATAAACTATAAAACGTCAAATTATGTCATTCTCAACCAACCATCATCACACCACTACACTTTGATATGTTTTCTCAGTGTTTGATGATGAAGAAAATAAAACTCTGAAATATTTCTTTTTCTTGCATGAGGTGACATTCACCTGTAATTTGGATATGAGTGAAACATTTGACTGTTTCGTTACAATGCCAATCGATTTTTCCACATATCAGTGAATGCTTTGACAGTTTTTGTTATCATATGTCATCGTAACAGCTCTGTAAACTATTAATTTTCCTTGTTATAGTCGAAATTTATCCTTTGAAACAAAGAGTGATGAATAGTTGCTCTAATTAAATTTGTCTAAACAATATGTCTATACTAATTTAAGTTAATAGATACCACTGCTTTCTGATTAATTTCGCTTACTTTTGTTTCAAATTAGATCCTACTTATTGCAGTAAAAATGGCAACTTATTTTATAGGGTACGGATTGGAGAAGGAAAATTATGTTTCGAATTGCTCCCTTTTCCAGGTACTATTGTTTTTTATTCATTTTAATTGTAGAGAGTGATTCAAATTGTATGGTAATATGTGTCTGTCAACATTATCTACAACGCTCATCACTTTTTATGTTTATCATTTTTCAAGTGATTTACATTATTTCAAAGTTCTTGTTTGCTTTCTACATTGCATGATTACATTTTCCATTGTTGAAATAGATCTATGAGAAATATAAGAAGTATTCTACCTGATATATTTTTATTCCCCTTCAGTTATGCATTATCTTTTTCACTGTAACAATTGGCTATCTTTAAAGTTACTAAGAAATGTTGTGCGTATTGTTGCTAATGGATCGTTTTATTAGAGGAGTGAATAATTCATTTCAAAATAAAATTATGTGAATATAAATTATATGAATTCGTATTATGTGAATATAATTCAATTCATGGATTATTGAGAAAGTTCAGCATTTCTAATATGTTCACAACACTGATACGGTTGATGCGAGCTCAGTTGAATAAAGGAATCTGTGCTTGATTGAATTAAGCTACAACGTATACACTTGAACCGATCATAGCTGTCTGAATTATCATTTCATGTGATTGAATTAGGCTACAGCGGATGCGCTTGACCCGTTTGAATTATCATTTCTTGTTAAATAATAGATTGGATAGTTTATTTGTAATTAATAGTCATTGTGCAGATGTTTTGAAAAACGTCAAGTCACTATAGATTTACAAAGCAATTGTAGTAATGAACTGTAAATCAGATGTTGTTTGTATGTATTTTCGATAGTAAATTAATTTTAAGGCGAATGAACGATGGGTGATGCTGTGCGGAACGGAGCAATGAATCGCTCAGGCTACATGAGTTCAGCACGAAAGGACAATGCTGAAGAAGTGGCCAAACGGCGGGCAGCTATACAACAAGAAATCGAACAGAGGTTTTTTTTGCATTGTATGTATAGGCATCTCGGAAAGAGACATTTACTGAATATGTAAGACAGCGTTTTTAATCTTTTTTTTATTTTTTCTAGTGTATTTGCAAACTTGTAATTTAATAATCATTGATTTTTATTGGAAATGAATGGAATTAGGGTTAGGTTCAACTAATGATTAAAATTAAACCAATTTTATATGCAAGTTTATATGCAAGTATGTCGTTTTTTGTTCTAAATTGGACTACGCACCTTGACGTTGTAGGATTGGTGATGTTATCTGTTACTTGCATTACTCTGTGTGGGAATGAGAACCTGAACGATACTTGACGTTGACGTATTAAATGTGCCTAAGTACGATAACAGCAAGAGATAAAATATAATTACTGATAATAAATGAAGTATTTTTAATTTTTAGAAAAGTTAACATATTTTCTTAAAAAATTCAAAAAAAAATTTTACTCTGTAATTGTAATATATTTCCTGTACGATGATCATTTAGATGAGCAGCAGAAAACGAATAATTTATCGAGAATGAGTGTGTAGGCGATATAATTCCATTCATATCACTGTTTTATAGGCAAAAATTGGCAAGAAAATTGCAAGATGAAAAAATGGCTCGAGCTATCGCTCAGAAAGAAGGGGTAGGCTTGTGTATTAGCATTATGCATTAGTTTTTCTCATCATTTATTGTCTTCAATTTTCCATTATTTTTAGTGGAAATTAGATGTTTTACTCGCTTTATTTTTGTAGTAAAAAAGTATTCAGTCCAAAGCATCGTTTCAAATTAGTATATTACACCTGGTTAGCAAAAATAATATATGACATTGGCGTGTTGCATCTTCTTATTCTTTGTTTTATAGCATCTGCTGAAACAGCGGAAAGCCCAGCAACAGGAAATGTTACGAGCAAAAGCGGTTTTGGACCGTCGCACTCAAGCTTTGGCAGAAAAAGAGAAAGAGAAGAAAGAAGTGAACAAAATTGATTTTTTAAAACATTTACTAACTTGCCATATTTCTACTAAACAAAAAATTCTGATGTTGAACTCTTTAATATTACTGTGATGTAATCTTATATTTTTAATAATTCATTCTTAGGCTATATTAGCGAAAGTGCATGCATTGGCGTCGCGCTTTACAGCGCAGCATAAATCACGACCATTGTATGCATTCGGTAGCAGCACGCCTCGGGAATTGGAATATCTGACACAGCTGACTAGGGAGCAAAAGGTTACATTTTAGCTTCTTAAGTAAATTTTATTCATGACAATTTATCCCATCTCGTCTTTAAAGTAGTTTCATGTAAATTTTCTTAGGTCTGTGATCGCAAACTCATGCCGTCTGATCGCAGTTCAACTGCACCATCTGGTGCGTCTAGCCATGTAACACTGACTCCACCTTATGACTCACGTAATAACAACGGAGCGTCAATGACAGGAAGCCTATATATTGCTCGATCGGAATTAAAAACGCGACATAAGCGCACATCAAATTGCATGACGCAGTCTATGATGGTTACGTCAAGACTAATCAAGACTACGAAAATCAATCAAACACCCAGTATTCTTTTGTTTGTACTGTTTGTATTTTAGTCAAGCATCTATCTTGAATAGTTTAGTTTTGCAGTTCATTGTTTTCAGTTAGTTGTTTTGTAGTTTAACATTTTTAAAAAGAGCGTATATAGAAATCTCCCCCTCCCCCCTCCCTTCAAACTTGGCGATAATTGATACGCGGTCGAGTGTTGATATAATGGGAGTGACATTCGGTGCATTTTTTTGCAGTCAGTTAACTTATGACGTTAACTTCTTTTCGTAGTCGGCTGTTGTATTATGTTAGGTACATTTTGCGATAACTTGTTAAATTATTCTAGTTAATACAGTTGCAGTAGGCGGTACTTCATTTTGATAGGTCATGCTTATCAAAATAATTTTTGGATTGTTTTTTCCTATTGATAATGTTGATTGCTTTTTGCATAGGGAGCGATATGATTTCGGATGCTAATTGCAACAATAGGTGTCTTCTTTTTAGTAAATGTCTCAAAAAACTTTTATAGTTCATCGTCAATCTGTGGTACAGCGTCCGGTAACTGCTATTAAGACAGCATCATCCAAGGTGACTGAAGTGCCAATTAGAACGAAAAAGCTTGTTCAACAACATGTGCCTCCATTGTACGGGCAGAAATTTCGGATGGTGCAATCTAAGTAAGCTAAATTTATATTGCCAATCACTAATGTAATGCAACATTTGATTGTCTTGATTGATTCTAGTCAGTGAATGTTATGCTCCATTTCAGACCTTCTGAAACGAAGACTGATTCTTTCAAAGCTAAATCTATGTCTCTGCCAAGAAGAATACATAAGTCTGCTGAATTAAAAACAAATAATGAAGTCAGCACTGAAGTTACATTGGAAAAGTCACCTAGTGATCTGATGAGTGAAACACTCATAATTTTGGAGAAAAATGATAGCAAAGTTCAAATTGACATAGCTACTACGGAAATCAAACATACCGTGGATATAAAAGAAGTCGTAAATTTAGTTCCTGATACTAATGGAACTAAAAAGTTCGATGTGGAATGCGTTGTAATGGAAGTTTTTGACGAGAAAGAGAAGGGGGAAACTGCCGACTATGCATCTGAAGTTGTAGATGATGATGTGCGGGACAATGACGATGGTATGGAAAAGAATGAAAGTGTACTAGATTATCCAACAAAAGCCACAACTGCTGAAGATGCGCCTCTGCTTAACTTTTCATTAGAAAAAAATAATTGTATGAATGAGACGAAGACGGATTCTGCAGCAGTAGTTACAGTGAATAATGTAGTTGTTGATCAAGAAGCAGAAATGTGTGAGAAGCAAGAAAAGGAAAATGATGTTTCGAAGGAAGGCCAAGTAGAAGTGCAAGATATGAAAATATCAGTAACAAATTACGATAATTTTTCTCTCACAGCGTGTCCAGATTCATTGCAAGCTAAAATCTTTGACAGAGAACAAGAAAATCTGGAAAGCACAGTAAAGGTTTGTTCTTTAATAAAAAATTCGAAGCAAATTCTTGAAAGACCTTTTTTTGAAATATGAGGGAAAATTAATTCTGGTTTCAAGCAATTGATTACCATTATTTCTGTTTCAGGTATTCATTGAGAAGGAATCATTGGTTATAAATGAAAAACTTCCTAAAATTGGAGGAGATAGCAGAGAGGAAGAAGTAGCCATTCAAAAACCTTGCGAAATAGCAGAAGATAAGAAAGAAAGCGATGTACCTGCCTTTGAAGCAAATAAAAATTTTGCTAAGGAACAGATTAAATCATTAACTCAGAATAATTCAACGCTGAACGCAGACGGAATAGAAACTGTTGCAGAAGTTTTGAAATTGGCAGAAGAGAAAAATTCAGTGGAAGAAAAACGTCGAATTCAGTATGAACTTCTAGAGAGAGAACAACGTGAGCGTGAAATGCGAAAAGCTAAGCTGGCTTCTATTATGAGCCGAACACGCGGTGGTACGCCTTCAGTGACCATAGTCCCGCCAATTTTGAATATTGAGAATTCTAAAGTAATATCTTTTCATTTCTATTATCCTTTTCTTGAGAAGAATTGAATTAAGAATAAATCTAGCCTAACTCACGGAAACCATAATACCAGAATTGCTAGGATGCAGTGTAATCCCTTATGGACGAACTGCTTGGCAAGGAATGCCAATCACTTTATTTTGACAGTTAGGGCACTTACTGGACAGTAAAATAGATCCTGTGTAAATAAATATTTTTGATGACATGGCTAGAACCTGCATTAAAAAAATGAAAAAAAAAAGAAGAAAACTATATAGGGACAAGAATCGAACCAGGTCATCTGTTCAAAATATCTAGATCACTTATTGTATTTCAGATTGAAGCTCCGAAACATAGGACTGTTCCTTTATCGAATGAATGTACTCCACTGAAAAATGCTCTCAGTCATACGACGGCTTCTGTTCTGCAGGTTATTTCTGTTTCTTTTATACCTGCAAAATTTCACTACCTCATTTTAACATTTCAATTGTATTATATAAAGTCATAGGTGTGCTATGGCAAGAGAGAGAGATAACTTAAAAAGTTGGAATTTAAATGCCCTAAAAATTTTCTTGAATTTTCAGAAGCTAGCTACAACAAACCCCAAATTGTTATCTGTGCTACAGCGCAACGGCTCCAATCAGTCATTAGCTGATGAATTGTCTGCAGCTGATCCGTCGATGTCAATAACACTTCCAGGTCAACCTGTTGAGTCGATTGCCACTCACGAAGGCTCTTCTACAGTGCGGCACTTGCCCTTTGAGCCCGATGTTAATCATCGACCTGTTGCTATGAAATAACCTAGAATTTATTCTTTATATATTCTTTACTTAAAAAAACAGTTTTGATTCTATTTCATACTGTTAAGGGACAAGATGGATGAATGTTGTTTCAGGATGACTTTTAAGGTAATACGCAAAAAAGAAAAAATTGTTTCATAATTAAAGATTGATTAATTGGTTAAATATTAAATTGATTATGTAAAGATTGGCCTTTAGCAGGAAGTCATAATATAAAAATAATATCCCAATGTTGCATAGAATTGCTGCAAAACTGTTTAAGTATTTAAATGTAAGTTTAGTTTGATAATTTGTATACATTGTTGCATTGTGCATGCTTTTATCAATATGCACTAGACGAGTGTTAATATTAAATTTGTGTTTCTCTTCGTTTGCTCTATGATATTTGAATTTTCGGATGCTTTCTAGATATGCAAACCAGAAATTATGAAAAAAATCTCATGGGATATACATCATTTTCTTGTTAAAATTCAGTGTTCTTAAGCATAGTCTGATCCATACGAGGATTTCATCACCGTGCAAGTGTCGAGCAGTTTTACATATTCATAAATATCATTTACGCATGATTATCAAGTGCTGACATCATGCCCATCAGTTTTCAATTTTCAGTGATTTTATCCATCTTACACATACTGTTTAGTAATTTTATTTTTAAGGCTTCAATTTCTTGTTTTTTTTAGTTCCAGGTTATACTTAAATAATAGAAGCGGCGTTCTGGGATGTTATCAAGGATTCCTTTAATGAGTATTTAATTGAAATGACAAGTAATAGATAGTGCTTATAAGGTATTATTTTCTGATTATTGTGATGAATTCAGATGTATAGAATCGGAAAAGAAAAGGGATCAAGGAAACGAAGCGATCCTTACATATTAGATTGGATATTTAATTTTCAGCAAGTGTTTAATTTTTTTGCTCAAGTTAGATGTGATAATGTAAAGTTGAAGTTATGTTTGTGAAGAGCTAATTGTAGGATTTATAAATATTTAATGAGGAAATACTGCCTTAGAAACAATCCGTATTTTAATGTAATGTCTCTCATCCATTTCAATATATTATATATAGAATTTATCGTTCGGCGATATTGCGTCTGATTTTAATTTTAGTAAAAATGGATGAATTCCGTTTTATTCTTTCACTAGTTGCAGTTTTTTCATTGGATTTCACGTTTCATTGGTTTTCATTACGTCATATATATGTGTGAATAAATTTTTAAGTAATAATAGTATTTCTACGTTGGAAACATTGCTATAAATGTGTTGCTTATTGAATAATTAGAATTTGAAGAAATTTTTTGATTCATACGAAGATTGGATTGGATCTTAAATTGAAACAACAGACAGATGAGAATTACTTTAAATAGTATGGGGAAGACGTGAATCTTATGATGAACCTGATTGTGACAGAACTTGAGGTATGAGTAGTTAAATTGCTAATTATACAAAACATCCTAAAAAATATTATGAAAAGCTAACTTAGAAATGTGTAGCTTGTTGCGACAGCATAAATGGAATCAATTGGTGCAAACCTATCGAATCTCTTCTTCACGTCCCGTTACATTATCATTCGAGAAATTTGGCGTTGAAATAGAGGTTAAATGCCAAATATCACCAGTTGTCATTTTACATGGATTATTTGGACAGAAAGGGAATTGGAAATCGATTGCAAATAATCTGCATCATCGTTTAAGAACTGTTATATTTACATTGGACCTGCGGAATCATGGTTAGTTTTGATGGATTCTTTCTAGAAACGACAACTGATCTGATGACCAATTTATTGCTACCTAATTTTGTTCGTTTATTTCCTTTATGGAAGTAAAATCTTATAAGCTCGTTTTTCATGGCTGGTTAATTCTCAGCTATAAGTTTTTTCATGTTGTGTTTACAAATTATGACTTTTCTAAATAAATTTTTTTTAATTGCGGAAAATTTTAGTTGTTTTTGACAAACTGCTTAAGACGAACTTATTATGTTTGCTATAATTAATTCATTCTAGCATAAGCTTGCTGGATAAATCTTATTAAGTTAATACTGATTTTAACGTGTTTATCACATAGGAATAAGCTTGCGGAGCATATAATTAAATATATTTTTTCCTAGAATTATCTGTGGACTTTTTGTTGTGTAGGATTCTTTTGAGAAAGAGCTTTAGTGAAGCACAGTCGAATAATAGTGAGGGCTTAATTATTTGATTGAGAAGTTATTTGCTTTGATGTTATAATACAATTTTCAGAAATCATCAATAATAAGGTTGATCAATATATAATCCCTTATTCTCTATATCACAAATTTACCACAAATTTCTCCAATATAACATCCAGTAGAATCTAAATTTAGTTGTTTTTCTATTGTTATCGATTTGAGAGGGGGATTGTCTACTGAAGTAATAGTTGAGAAAGGGTTTCGATTGGATGTAGATGGTACTGTTGTAGTATGACACTGAAATACGTTTGAGACACTTTGATTAGAGCGTTGTTTATATTTCCTTTGAAATCAAGCAAATTATTTCCTGATCATTTCACAGACGAAATTCAAGGAATTGTCAAGTGTTGAACAATTGATCCCTTGATAAATGAATTGAATTTATCAGCTTAATTCCTGTAATATGCAAAGATCTTCATTTGCAATTACAGTTTGATTTTCACTTGTTTTTTTCTTGAGTATGATGTGATTTTCCAATAAACTTCGAGAATGGTCTTAATATAGTTTTCTTGGACTTAATGACATTTCTCTGGAGTCGGTAATTCAAGCGAGTCTATTCATAATGTTCTTTATACTTAGAATGCTCTTTGCATCAGAATTATTTTAGAACAATTATGATTATAACAGTTAATAAAGATTTGGCTAATATCACGGTCTTATTCATCTTAAGTTGGGCAGTTTTACTTACACTTTTCAGGCAGTTCCCCATGGCGTCCTACGATGTCTTACGCTGAGATGGCAAATGACGTTCGCTATTTTATTGATGAAATAGTACCGCAGCAAATAGGAGAATTCTCAAAAGTTCATCTTCTCGGCCATTCAATGGGTGGCAAAACTGCTATGTTTGTTGCTTCGATGAAGGATAGCGATACACGACTGAAATCACTTATTGTAGAAGATATAGCTCCAAAGGCATACAATTCTGCGACATCTTTCTCAAGAATTATCGAAGCTATGAAATCTATCGATTTGACGTGTGATCGTGATGAAATTGAGCAAAAATTAGCAGAAACAGTTACCAATAAAACGACACGGCTATTTCTGTTGACAAATTTGGTACCGACAGATCAGCACACGTACAAATGGCGAATAAATTTAGATTCCATTGGATGTTATATTGGAGAAATTTGTGGTAGTTGTGGTATAGAGAATAAAGGATTATATAATGGAAGATGCTTGTTTGTTTCAGGCGGTGCTTCAGAATATGTCGTGCCTAACGATTACCCCCTAATTCTGAAGCATTTCCCAAATACACAATTTTCTGTAATTTCTGATGCGGCACATTGGGCTCACGCTGAAAAACCCAATGAATTTACGGATATTGTCACCAAGTTTATTCTTTCTGTTGAAAGACTTGAAGCAGAAGGTTGATTTGAAAAAACAAGCAAAGAAAAATGAATAAATGCAAATTGTTTATATATTTGTTGGAAGTTTGAAAATATGATCAAATTTTTTCTCTACTATGGTAAATGTATATCTGTATCTTGCCTACAATTTTTTTTTCGAAAATAAGACAGCACACGAAAGTTTGCAAAGAAAGAAAACGGAAAATATGAGATTATCAGATTTTTTAACAGAGATGATCACTGTTGTAAATTTTTCTCATTAAAAAATTGTACTGTGATTTAAATAAAGTAGGCTGCAATCGGATCATGCCTTTTAATTATGATATCCTATGCAAAAGACAAAATTTTATGGTTTCCTATATGATATAGCTTAATGCGCAATTTGGATATTGTTTGAGTTATCATTGCTATTATTATCATTCCATAGTATTCCGCCTCTGTTCTTTATGGCATTATTGATTCTGACAGTCTTCCGTTAGAAATGAATAAAGCATAGTAATCTTGACGTGATAATAATATATACAATACATTGAATGTTTGGTGAATTGATTATTAATTTTAAACGTTTCTTAAATGCTTTCTCTAGGAATGTACATTAGTTGTGCATTACGCCAATCGTTTGTGTCGTTGATTCAATTCATTTTATTATATAATATGTAACGATTTCTTAATATTACTTAAATATGGTGCAAGGTTTGAACTTCTATTGATCTTTTCCTTTTGTTTCCCTTTCGCTGCATAAATTGAAACAGTTACTCAGCTACTTTTTATTTCCTTTTTTTTATTCCCACAAGCAGAAAATGTAACTATTATTTGATCTCTCTACTAATTGGCTTCCATCTAATCTAATTGTAATATATAGTTTAATTGGAAATTTTCAAGCAAATAATTTCTTTCGAAAATTTTCTGCCATTTTAAAGGGCGCAAATTGAAAGTTGAACAAATTAATAAGTTAAAAATTTTATGCTATTAATATCTTTAACTCATATATTCCTTTAGAACATAATTTAAAGAAAATTAAAAAATTTGAGTGAAATTTCCAAGAAGACAAAATTTTAAAAACAAATGGTCTTTATCACTCTCCTGTTTGGTGAGACTGATTGTAACATTGATAATTGTAGCAGAAAGAGGAATTTCCTATTATTACAAATAAAAGTATATTGCTTTTAGTTTTAATGCTTTTGTTTGATATATTACGGAGCAGTTCCTTTCTTCTAACTCTTGATTGATTGACCGAATGGTTTGCTCATTAATTTCTTCACACAGTCATTTTAATTTTTTTTCATCCAACGAGGTTTATGACAACTTTACAGAGAAACTCTAATTCAATTTACAATGTAAGATATCAGCCATTGTTTAAAAAATATTTTCAAATTGGAACTTGATGAATGTAGTGGGAAGATATTAAAGAGCATAATAATCATTCTTTTCGGGCAAAAGTTCAACTGTCCAGACGCTTTAGCGGCAGTAAATATTTGATGTTGAAATTATAACTTTTTTCAAAAATAGAATCTGTCAAGCAGCACTTACTTATAGTATCTTTGGAGCTCTCATACTAAATGATTTCCTTTTTTTTATGTTTGCATAATATATTTTTGAATTTATTAATTTGGATGTCAATTGATGTCCAGAAATGGCCAAAGATGTTATAAACTTCTTGAATAACTATATTAAATTCAAAGCTTGAAGAAAGAATTAGACTTTCGATCATTCTTTGTACGAGAATAAATCAATATATTGTATTCTTAATTACTGGGAGTTCTCATAATTGACATCATAAGATGATGGATTTTTTCAAAAGTGACTAAGAGACCAGTGGCAAACTTCCTCAGTCAACATAGTACAAGCATTAGCACTTTTAAATTATTCATTAATAGTTACTGCCATGCAATGTTAATGTTAGCAACACAGAGAGTAAAATCTGAATACTATCAGGAAATATCTCGAGAGTCTGACTAAGTCTACAACGATTCACTTGTCGATTTGTGTAATTTATACCAGATGACAAGTTTAATCATCTCGATGTTATAAGTGATGTAGGTCATTGGGTATATTTCGAAGAATCATAGCAATTTCCTATTAAAGTTCATAAGGTTGTCTCATTTAGATAAGGTGGTTTATCATTATTTGGCTATACTTTTGCTGCTGCTGTTTTCATCATTTTGATAGTAAAAATTCTCGTCGTTGAAAAATAAACGTGTACAATGCACATTGTTCGAGTCTAAAACCACGCATCTTTGTTCACGTCTTCTTTTCACGTGAATGCGATTCAATAGAATTTGCGAACCTTGGTAAGCAGAACTAATATATCAAACGGTACAATGAATACGTGTTTCATAAAATGACAGTTAAGTAAACTATTCCTGTCGGAAAAATTTTTGATTTGAATAATTTGTTATTTTACACGAATTGTTGTGAAGATTTATTCTTCGTGGAAGATTAACTTTTAACACTATATGAAAAGTATGGAGATAAAAACTTCTTGATTACTAAGGTTGAAGTAATCGTTTGTAAGTTTGGACGAGAGTTGATAAGGAATTGGTTGATTCGCAGCTCCGATCAGTAAGTAATCACGTAGCAGAAGAATAGTGATGACGACAAGCAGTATTGAATCTGACCTTGATGTGGACTGACCCGAAGTGTACTGAGTTACATTATATATACTCCCTTGTTGGGCGGCGATTGAGTAGACAGTTAGTATTTGAAGCCGATGGATGAACAAAGAATCGTATAAACATTTGACAAATGAAATGAATTGCAAGAAAAAATTGTCTGGACATACGACAGATGAAGCCAATGGTTAACCGAGATCATCCAGTTCTTTACACAATTTATGATATCTTTCGGCTTTTGCCGACAATTCCCGGCGAATTATCATTGCTTTTATTTAGGCCCTTTGCAAATACGTGAAGTGTTACATCTTAGGTCTCATAAAATCTCAAATTTTCTAAATCCAAAGAAAATCTCTTTTATTCGATCAATTACTTTTTCACCCTTCTAGATCGTATACTTGAAAGTATGCATAATTTCAAGTTTTGAACATATGGTAATCACAAAATAAGGCTGAAAGTCACTTTAAAATCCATTTTTGGTAGACGGATTGTTATCACTGTTGCGATTTTAATACCATTCCAATCATCGCCAATTTTAATTTTATCTTTAATGAATACAAAATTAAGACAAAAGAGCTTCAACAAACATTTTAGGTTTTACACCTACTATTTGCATTATGGTATTTGTGATGTGTAGCGATTCGTGATTGCTTGGGACCAGTCGGTTGTAGGTTCTGGGGGTTGGTAAGAGGGTCAGAAGCATTTTTTGGCTCTGGTAATATGAAGTGTGATTTATTTTTTAACACTGTTTAATTCTTTCTTGGCTTATTGTTTGGCTTCTTTGACATAAGCTCGTGAAAAGTTACGTCCGTACTATGTTGTGTTCTTAAAGTAACATTTTTAAATAGATTGTTATTAGTGGTGGAAGTATAAATGAATGGACAGATTAAAAAATGTGAGCAATAGGCTTAATATAGTATTGAAGTGTAGGAGGTAAGGTTATAATTGGGTCATGATTAGAAGAATGAAATTTTTTTTGCAAGCAGAATTCAGATTTTTTTCGTTTTTAAAGAAAAGAAAGGATACATTCACTCGTACAAGTTAGGGATGTTCTTTTTATCTTACAATTTTTATTTTGAGGTTAACGCGAATTTTCTATTGCATTATAATTGATTCATCTCTGATTTTTTATTTTTTTTGTAGATTTTGAAAATGGCTGCTACACCAATTACAGTATCACACGGCAAAACAATGACACTTAGTGAGCTACGTGTTTTCGAACTTAAGCAAGAATTAGAAAAACGTGGACTAGACAAAAGTGGAATTAAACTGGCATTAGTAGAACGCTTAGAGGAGGTTTGTTTCTGCGTTTATGGAAAGAAACGAATTTTTTGGTCGTAATATTCGTAATACTTTTTGAATTGAAGTGAATGATGCGCACTGTTTTATATTTCAAGCCACAAATAGAATTAGTTTGATCATTTTGCTGCATTATTGTTGCTTGAAATTAGATGTTGAAAAACCGGATTGTGAGTAGAAACGACTTTTGATTGACATCGTGGACTTCTTTTAAGAGGTTGGTATATAGCCATTGTCATACTGCATTAAAAAACATGCATGCATGTTTAATGTCAGTTAATGCATGCCAATGTTGATTCTAAGAATAATAAACATTACGCGCAGAATGGCCAAATATATCACTACTTTCTTTGAATCTTAGATGCGAAATTTCTCTATTTCACTGATTCTCATTTTTAAAGAAAAAGTAATCCGGTATTTATGAATTTGATTTGGTGGATTACGTTTGACAAATATACCACCTTTTTTGCAGTCTTAAACCACATTAATAAATTGTCATTGGATTGAAAATAAGCTTTCAAAACAAGTCATACTATAAAAGCACAATGATACACTAGATAATAACTATGAAATAGCTCCCTGTAATCTTGTCATAAAAAATCTTGCCATAAATTTTTGAATTGCATAAGCGTATGCTTTTTATTTTGGAGAATACCAGGCTAACTCTCTGTTATCAGTAATCTGGTTTTTTTTTCATAAGTGGAATCCCTTGATTTCTTTTTAAGGCTCTTCGAGAAGAAGGACACGATCCAAAGATTTACAAGTTTACGGTCAATGACTGTGGCAAATTTCCGGCCACACCCTCGAAAAGTTCAAGTGAGGCAATGAGAGAAAGTCAGTTTATTTCTAGTAGTCACGAAAGTTAGAATTCCTCGTTTTTTACTATTTTCTTTAGTAGTTTTTTGCTTTTAATATTTTTAATCAACTTTCTCTTCTGATCATCTCATCATTCCATCACTTTTATCTTTCTTTTAGCTCTTTCTGAACATGGAATTGAAGTTTCCAACGGTTGTCACGAAAACGAGCAGCAGGAAGTAAAAAAGGAAGATCCCAGTGAACCATTAGTTATCGAATCTGAAGATAGTGATGGAACGGTTGAAAAAACTGATCATATGTCAACAGTCAAGGAATCCAATGAAGTAATGGGGAGTAGGAAAGTGAAGCACAATCAAATAGAAGAAACCTCAGTTTTGAAACAGGGTTTTAATTTTTGTTGAAATCCTTGGTATATTTATTACTGTTATTTACATTTTATTTTTATCGCATTCTAAATTGCAAACTACTTGCTAATAAATGTCCGAGGACGAGGACGCTGCCGAATTCATATTAGGTATGTTTGCTAAGATAGTAAATTTTAGAAGATCGCAGTAGAACTGAATTTATCGAAGAACAAATGGAAGTAAATGAAGTTACTGATGATACCTCCACTGTCAAAAAGATAGTGGAAACCAAAGAACCGGAAGAAGAAGAAATAGTTAAAGAAATTGCAGATGAAGTTAACTACGAAGATGAGGAAATGCCAGATACAACTCGGGTATATTGTTCTAGTATTGGTAACTTCTTTGTCTAGCCTTTGCTTTTCCAGTGAGAATTTCAATTTTAAAATTTCGAAATAGTCTATGTGGTGCTTATAAAGTCAGATAACAAAAAAATTGTTTTGGTTTTGTGAGATCTAAGAAAATTTTGCAGATCAATGAGGAGGAAGGAGAAGCAGAAGAATGCAAAGAAAGTGGAAACAATATGGCAGAAAAAGAGGATGAAAAAACAGCTGGAAAAGAAGTGAAGGCTTCTAAAGAAGCTTCTAATGATAATTTATTTACGTCGACTGTCGAAACTGTAGCATCGACACCACCGGAACGTATCGATGGTGCTTCACATCCAGCAACCTCAATGCTTAAAAAGTCCGATAATTCTTTGTGGATCAAAGGCATTAGTCCGAATACAAAAGCTGCAGATTTGAAGGTTATTCTATGATATTTTAAGGTTTTATTTCCCTTTTTGAAAAATTTCCATACAGAAAATAGAGATCGACTTTGCACTTATCTTTCGACTTCTCTTTCTACTTTTTCCTTTTTTAGGATAGATATTGCACTATCAAACATCATTCGTTTGTTCTATATAACTGTACTCAATATTTTTCTTAGAAATAAGGCAAACAAATAATATGCTTTAGGCATTGTTTGCTAAGTATGGACGAGTACTAACCGCAAAAATTTTCACAAGACGACAGCAACCATCAAATGCATGCTTTGGCTTCGTCACTATGGTCGATTCAGCTGCAGCTGACCTCTGTATTCAAAAACTTCATAAAACAAATGTCAAAGGACGCCCGATTACGGTGGAACGAGTATGTTTTGTTCAAATTTTCCTGTCACACGTAAGTGGATAAAATAACAATTTCAGATTCATATACATTATTATGGTTTATCTTAAGATCCAGAACTGAAGTCATTTTCGTTATCGGATTTCACCCTTGCGCAGAAAAATAATTCGCCTCAGATGTCATTGATTCGAGGACAAAATTAAATATTACATTTGGATACAGTGCGTGCTTTATATAGGCTGTTACGAACAATCTCAAGAAATCACTGTTTTGTTCTCCGTCCTGACTTTTAGTAGAAAGTGAATATTCGTAATCAAAAATATTGTAGTAGCATTGTCTTCATATGATTTCAAGCAGCGGGGTATCCGTTGGAACGCCAGAGTTGGTAATTCACGAGAGCAGAATGCATCATCAAAGCCTACATGGTACAAAATTTTACAAATTTAGGCGGACCGTTGCAACATGCCCGCCGTTAAATCGATACCCAAGAAACCAACATGTAACGCGACAGGTGACGTGAAAAGTGGAAAGTCTACTACCACTTTCGATACTTGTTCGAAAAGCGAAGAGAAATTGTCAAACTCTAGGATAGTCGAAAAGTCGAAGAAAGATATACCTAACATTGACAAGTCGAAAAGTAGCACGTCGAGTGGCAATAAAGCAGTCAGTACCACGAGAAGTGAGAAGCAGAAAACAGTGAAAGCAATGTCGGAAACGAAAAAATCACCCGTTAAAGCGCCATCTGCGAGCACAACACGTAATATTTACAGAATTTTCTATGTATGAAAGCTGAACAATCGGAGAGATGAGGTCCTTACGCAGATGGTCATTTTGAGACCAAATTTGGTTGAGGTTCCTGGAATTGGCAGCCACATTTTGTTAATTCTGGAGTGTAAGAAACTTCTGAAATTTTGATACTGTCATTACTGAGAGGGGTTGCCTGTTATGTGCTTGGGCGTTGATCTTTCTTTCTGGTCATACCTTCCAAACAATCGACTCGTCTTTTGCAACAGATGGAGGTTGTGGCTCCCTGGTTTAGATTGAAGAAAAATCGTTACCGAAAAGGTGCAGATGAAACATTCATGAAGTTTTTCCTGACCAAAATGTTTCTTTGGAAAATACTCATGAGAATTATATTTTCGGGATAAGAGGGCCTCAGAAAATTACGATTCTATAGCTGCGAAACATACCGAGAAAATTTCTCCGATCTGCTATAATATTCAGTGTAAAAGGCGAAATGAGAAGTAGGGCACTTGCTTATACTGTTTCAGACTCAAGATTCTCAATGCTCAGCAACAGTAAACGCTCGACGGTCACACGTGTGCCATCACGGTTTCGAGCCAGTAGAAGAGTTGAGCGAGCAGATCGTATTTCATCTACGTTGCGGCGCTCGTATGTAATTCGTAAACCTAGTTATTCGTCAGCTGCTTCAAGAAGAACTTTGGGAAGTCGGCCATTTTCGAGTCGTATTGGTCGTGGTAGTATATTACGCGGAATGGCTCGCCGTGAGGTTTCCTCGCGTCGTGTTGAGCCCCCTACTTCATGGGAAAAGCGTGAAATGATGGAAATGTTGCGTAAGAAGGAAGAAGAGCACCGACTTAAGGAACAAGAATTGAGACTGCAACGTGAACGTGAGCGCCTGAAGTTCGAACGTGAGCGATTTGAACGGGAACGCTTAGAGTTGCAACAGTTACGCCAAATCGCTGCTCTCACCACACCAGTGCAACTAATGTCAGCTCCGGGAGCGCCTCCATCACGTCGCTCACATGAATATGGTGATATGGATTCATCCAGGTACAAATCAGAGAAGGAATTGAAGTAGGTTTTGATTCGGTGTTTTGTGAATTTTATTTTAATTGTATATTCAGTCCTTTTTAATGAACTCTGAGATTCAAGGATTAATTGAAAGATGCCAAACCAGTTGGTAACAGCTTTAAGAGAATTGCCGTGCCCTTTGAATAATAATATTGATACCATTTAGAGCAAAAAGTAACGCAAAGACAGTACTTTTGCAAATTATAAACAATTGCTTCAAATATTATTAAAGGCGGAGCGAATATTCAAGGCGGTCAGGGGAACGATCGTCATCACATCGTGGTGTGACTTCTACACGCAGCTCTTTATCCGATCGACGAGAAGCACACAGTTCATCGCGACATGTAAGCAGCGCACACTCTTCATCGCGTGGTGCTGGTGAACGAAGTCGCGAGCGTAGTCGTGATCGTAGCAGACACAGTATGTATTTTTTATTGCTTTTTAGTTCTGTGTTTTTGCTTTAGTTCTTCAATTTATTTGTGAAGTAATATGTGATTGGATTTGTTCTTGTTTCGTAATTATTTGGTTTAGTTTACCGGTCTTTAAAGCCTATCCTAGCTTTGCTTTTATGGAGTTTATATATGAATTTTATAAATTTACTTGGTGTAACGAATCTCAGGTACTCGCGACTATGGTTCGTCAAATGTCGTTCGTGAAAGTGTTCCTAGTTATGGTCGTGAAAGTCATTCATATTCACGTAGTGGTGATCCCACAATTTCCAACAGTTATGGTACTTTTTTAATCCAAAGTTACTAAGTAGTAGAAGATTCGAAAGATTTAGTTGGGCAGATTTCATATTGATGATTTTGGTATTAATATAGGGTTTCATATAACTTTTATTTTGATGTAACACAAAAAACATTATTTCAGGACGTGACCCATATCGACCCGATTCGACGACTTACAGCAGCCATCGTTCCGGTGAAAGTGCATACGGAAGCCGAGATCTGGGGACGTATAGCTCATCCAGCACTTATTCCCGTGATGTAGCACCATCTTCTTATAGCAAAGATTCTGGTTAGTTTTTTTCTTCCAGTGCACACTGTGTAGCATATAGTCATAACTCTGCTATATTAGTGATCATCAGTCTGAAGTAGTGCACTTATAAAAACGATGCTTAGTTTATCTTAGCTGACAACAGAAATTCGTGAAGGCATTCCTCCTTTTTGGTGAGAAATCAATCTGGAATATTTTGAAATGATGTTAGTGAACAGGGCATGCATTTCGTGGATCAAAAATTTTGGGAAAAAGACATTTCATTTGTTTCTTGTAGGTTATGGTGCTAGTTCTCGTTCTTTGGGAGGTGGTGCATCTTGGTCAGTTGGTGGTTCATCTTCGACGTATGTAGGATCATCACGCGATTACGATGGTGATGCGTGGATTTCAGGCGTGTCTGCGTCTCAAGGCCATGGAAGTCACGGCTTGGGAAGCAGTAATTGGTCGTCATCAAGAGGTTGTTGAACTGTGTCTATTTTAAAAAATTATCGTATTTGTTTAGCTATTTTGATGGTTCATGTTTTGCATTACATGTTTTCCTCTATTTTATTGTCAGAATTAATTTAATCTTTTGTTATTGCAGGCGATCACTGGTCAGGTGGTGGTGTGGCTGACACGCATGGACATGTTTCAACTTATGATAAATATGACAAATACGATTCTTATGATAAGTACAACCGTCGTTACTGATTTGTGTATTAGTTACTTGATATTCTATTTTTTATGTTATCAAAACGAAAAACTGCTCCATTTCTCCCTCAGAATGTGTCTGTTTTTTTTTTTTAATTGGTCGTCTTGATAACTCCACATTTTTGGAACTGAACGGAAAACAAATTGTTATGGGAAAGCTTAAATACCAGTCACTCCACTTCTTTATACATCGGATCCTTATGGCATGTGTATATCACCTACCCATGATGCTAAAGTGATCAAACAGATTTAAAACAAATCTGGATGAAGAAAACATGGATTATCTTAAACTTTCACATTACTATTATTCCTAAGCGACGCTAAGATGGTGCAAGGAATTCAAGTTGTTTCATGCTTAAATAAGAAGATTAACTATTTTCACTAACAGTTGGATTAATGCTGGATTCCATTGAGTTCATGTATTATGTGCAAGAAGATTAACTATTTTGGGCTTGAAGCGAATTGTTTCTCTACTTTCTTACATCTAGATCAGAAGGTTACGTAGAAGTTACTGCTTCTGTCGAGAGTGCTGCCTTTGGAATGAGGTTTAGAGCTTTGAATGATTGTCCTTACTAATGTTACATTGCGTAATTGGGAACAAAAGTGATATGTGAAGTGGGCAAACAAAGCAAATAAGATATCTCGACATTGTATGTTAAAGTGAGCTTTGCGCTATCCACCGCCCGCGAATTACATTTTGTCATGGACAGTTTCCTGTCATTTCTTTCCAATTTCAAGTGTCAAGCAAAAGAAGCTGTGGGAAAGTTGTGAATTGTCTAGTAAATTTTATTTGTCCACTGTTTATATAACAAATCTGTTGTAGCTCTTTTCGCGTTTGATTTATTTTGTGAATGAATTTTTTTTAAAGTTTATACACTTTATCGTGCATGCGGAGACTGGCCCCCTAATGTTGTTGCTTTGTGACAGAAGGTAACAATAGACATCAAGCAACTAAGCGCCCGATAATTTTATGCGTGGTGACGTCAGAATTGCTAGCTATTTTGAAAATGATCATAGTGGTGTCAAATGTGTGAGTATAGAGAGGAGAGATTTTCATAATTAAACCTTAACGAGTGATATGCAATAACATAGTCATTTTGATATTTTATAAATAAATGGAAGAACATGACTACATTTCAGCACTATTTATTGAATAAAATACACAACAGAAAAGGATGTATTGCAAGTGGATGCATTGGATTGCGAATACTGCTGTTATGAAAAGTCATTTGCTTCAGAAAGAATAATGACATTCCTTCCTATTTAATAAAAATAAATCACCCGTTATTCGCGTCGTTTTGCTTTATAACGTCACAGTACTAAATGGTCCTTGTGTTTCGAAATATTTAAATCACTTTTAGTATGCATTTTTTTTAAAGACATGTCATTAGAGTGAGCAGTTTGGAAATGCAGATTCTCTACATGAAATATTTTCAGAAAACAAGCTTACTACGTCAAATAAAAATACTGAGACCACACGAAATGGAACACACACCGACACAGACACACACACGCATGCGCGCACACACATACACGCAGAGCAATTCAGATGGGGACGTTTACATTTATCAGTAATGTACGAAATGATGGAAAGAACAAAGCGAAGAGGGAATGGACACGACTAGAAACCGTTAATAGTGAGATTCGAAGTTGGTACTAAACCTTGCAAGACACGATCATGGCGCGGTTGCAAGCGGCAGCACCGGGCCAGTTGACCTCTCGTTGTTAAAATGCGTAATCGTTCACCTCGTGATACTTCGAGCATGCCGGGTTCATTGAAGTCATCAATAGCTGACACTAAACAGCATCCCGGATCGATGCCACCACGAGAATGCAACTGATGAGATGGCGGTATTCCATCAGTTGAAGTCATTTCACCTTCGCGAGATGATGATCTTGATGAATGATTAGAACAGGCTTCAACGCTTGATTTCGTTCGCACCGGACGCTGACTAAGTAATGGAATCCGGCTTCGCCTCAGTAACTGTACATCGTTCGAACGGGCAAAATGTGCTGAATTAGTATGGTTGCTGTTATTGTAAATGCTGTTTGGTTTTTGATTTGACAGACGAGCTGGCATTGATGAACTCTTCGGCACTCGTGAATCACTGGCAAGACGTGAAGCTTCCAAGAGCATCGTATTAGGCCACTCTTGAGGTGAAAGATTGCTCGAGGATCGATGTTCAAGTAGTGTGATCAGTTCCAAATTCTCTAATAATCGCCATAACAAACTTCTATATGCAGTACTTGCCCGTAACATGAAAGCGCCATCATAATAAATTCTCGCCAATACATTCTCTTTTAGCACCACATAACACATCCAGCAGTCAACAGATCCTAATCTGAAAAAAATTTATCCAACGTAAAGAAGTAATAAAATTTACATAATTCCTTAAAAAATGAGGCTACTTCAGTTTAAATCTTCCCATACCAATTAAAATTAAATGGGAAATATTCAGTATGATGAAATAATTAGAATACAGATGGTTCCGAAAAAATCGGTGAACTTTTAAGAAATATTTGACTCTTATTGAAAGATTTACTTTATTAATTCATTGAAGAATACTTCAACACGAGAATTTAAAGACTTCTCGCTTTTATCCAATTTATTCACTAGTGAATACACATTGTTCGTCGCTGGACCTGAAATGACCTTGAACATTGCAAATATTCTTGTTTGAAATCTAAAATCAACATTTTATCGAACTATACTCTCGAAACTTCTGTAAATTAAGTTAAATGAATACCAGGCGCCGTAACAGTAACAATCATATCCCAAGGATGTTTAATTTTTAGACCATCAGCAAGCAACATCTCGAGTGTAGAACAGAGATTTGTTGATGAACCTCCTCGTGCCACTTCTGCTACTCCTTCCACGACCTACATATGGAAATTTTACAAAAATAAAAAATGAAAATAGTAAAAAAGAGAAAGAGAAAATAACCTGCTAACTTAAAATTACTTATATAAAAAGACCTCACTTTTGTTGCATCAAATGGGAAAAAAAATTGGAGTACTGAAATTTTTAAAATGAAAATCGAATTCTCGGTATAACCTTTTCGACGAGTTTTCTCTTGGCATTGTAAATAGGTAGACCAACAACGCTCAATTCTTGTGCTCGCAATCTCAGTTGACTAAACGATGTAAACTGATCTTGAGCTGAGACATTTCGATCAACAATCTGTAAATCGGGGTTGCTGATTGATGCCGACCTTCGCATAGTTACTCAGAAATAACTACAATCGTTTTTAACGACATGTACAAATAAAATTAGGCTGATTCTCAAAATGAGGTTCATTGCATTCAAGTCAAGATGGTCTTTTTTGATAAGAATTTTGCACATCAGATAACATAAAATCGTAATGGTGCTCGATGCTTTTGTAGTAATAGTCATGAAATTTACAAAATATTTTAACAATAAAAATACAAAATAAAGAAGGCACGAATCACTGCGTTTTTATATAATGTATTACAAAAATAATGCAAATAAAAATATGCAAAGTGGAAAAAATAACCTCACTAGAGACGCAATCACAAAGAACATATCGCGTTCTAGCAGGCTGAGCCCAAACAGGCGGATGAAGCCTTTTTCTAACATTGAAACATGCTCGACACGCTTCATTCCTACGTGGTATTATCCGCTCAATGTTGTTTGATCCTGTTAATAACTGACTATTTGCTTTGAAAAATGAACAAGCTTCGGCAACATGCCTGAAAAAATGATTTATATTTTCAAATTTTCTAAATAAACAAGCAAATTTATCGCTTTCCAGCATCATATTATAAACTGCAGCTTTCTTACATAAAATGCTGTAAATTCCACCAGCATACACAGGATAAACACCAGTTTTAGTAAGGCCTTGTCAAAAGCAAGCAGCTTATACTGCAAGAAAAATTACCTTCCTCGTCTCTATTTCTTTCCTTTCACCATGAAGATTTGTGAAAAAAAACTTACTTGGGCAAAAGGAGAGCTAATGATGGCCAATCCTCAATGTGTGATGGGCCACTGCTCGCTGTAGCACTGCTACCCAGTCCAGAATCGGGGCCTCGTTTCTCCAGAACGTTAAGTAATGAGAAATCAAAATTTTCATCCTCTAACACTCCTTCTTTTAATTTATCCATGATTTCACTCACTGACGTGGATGACTGGCACAAACTTGGTATCTGCAAAACTTTTTTTTATAATTCGAATCTACTAGTAATTTCAAAGTATGAGATCGTCTATTAACAGCTTGAACTAAGCAAGTAAGAATAAAGTACAGCTTTAATAAAAGAAGAAGCCGAACTCCATATAACTTTGTATATAGGACCTCATCAAAGCAAAAGTGACATCTCGAAAATTCAGAAAAAAAATTTTCGAAGTTTAGTAAGATAAAGGAACACTTAGAAAAAAATAAAAAGCGACAAAATAAGAAGCTTTTTGACATTTATTGTAGAGCACGATCCGGAAGCATTTTAAAGTGTTCACAATCTAAATGGTTCTAAATTAAGCAAACAACAACGCTGATATAATTAATACCACACTGTATTACATGAGTTTTTACCGCTGGAAAGAAACAATCAAACTGACCAATAAAACTATTGAATTTTGAAAAAATTTAAAGAAATTTTTCAAAAAACAGTCAATTATTTTCTATTTAATAATTGATATTTCTTTCAGATGTGCCAGTAAGGATAACGGAGAGAATATCACTGATCTACACTGTCTGCACTCTATCGACCACCGATTTTGTTACTTTGAATATGAAAAAGATTTCCGAACGTCTCAGTGCACAGAACAACTGTAATGAGGAAGAAATATGCTAAACAGTTCAAATTGTAACATTCTTAAAACGATAGTACTATGAAGTCAAAGATCGATAAAATTCACAGCAGTAACAAAGGTCGTGAACATAGTTTTACTGTGCCAGTGGGCAAAAGAGTAAAGAGAGAAACCACAATAATCATTTTCCTCTAGCACGCACAAAGTCCTTAACAACTTTCAGATATCACAAATCATG